CCGCATTGTTCAAACTGTCAGCCGACCTTGCATGGCTTAGCTGCCCCCTCGGCCGATCACCTACCCAGCAATGTTTAAAACTGTCAGCCGGCCTTGCATAGCTTAGCTATCTTTCATCAGCCAAAAAACTGTCAGCCGACCTTGCATTGGTTAGCTATCAGCCGATACACAAATACAGGGACTTGACTTCCCAGCACAGCTTCCTCCTACTGATCGGTTTATGATAAATCTATGTAGTTGGCCGACCCTTCTTCACCTTGATACTGGGATCACATCAGCCAATTCATCAACACAGGGTTATTGGCCCTCATCGGCCCATCAGCAGGCCCCATCAACTATGGCCTGTTTGTATTGTCGGGGCTCTCAGTGTAGCTGGGTGATTCCTACTAACTGCCCTGCTTGCATTTTGAGACAAAGTGGTTAGGCCAGGATAGAGAGCATTAATTAGAGATGCAACATCATTCCCACATTTCATTCTTTCTGGCAGAAGAGTAGAACCATCTGCATTTGTATGCTTCCCATGCCCAATTTCAATAAGCCATCGTGCAAAGTCTTTTTCTTCCTGTGAAGTATTCTCCAGACGCATATTCTCTTTCAAAGTCAGAATGTTGACAGATGTCCAGAGATGTGATCGCTGAAAACACTGGCTGACAATTTGTTCCCGTCCACCTTTGACAACTACTGGAAGAATTTGTTGAAAGTCTCCTCCAAAAATAACAGTAACTCCACCAAATGGTACATCTGGTTGATCTCTAATATCTCTGAAGCTAATATCAACTGCTTCTTGACACAGTCTATCTTGCATTGGTACCTCATCCCAGATAATTGCATTGACAATTTTCATGAGATCTGCTAGATGTGTCCATACTGAATACCATTTTGGTTAGGATGCCCCATATTCTGGAAAAAAGCTTGTTAGACAGATGGAAAATAGCCTAATGGTTTTTCTTACCACATCTACCATAGCAGCAGGTGGAAATAGAGGTGGAGGGGCAGCAAGGGGGGCAGCATGAGCCTAAAAGATATATTAAATATTAGAAAAAGAGATATAACTCTGCAACCTACCTGATTTTGCAAATTACCCACTTGTGCAGCCATCCCAGGAGTAAGGTGAAGAATTTGACCATTATATAGAACCTTAACAAATGGATCATCACCTACAGGACCTTGAGGAATTTGAAGAGGAGCAACAGGGGGTGGAATAGGGAAAGGAAGAATAAAAGGTACACCACCACCAACAGCAGGATTTTGAGGTGTTCTCCTATGCTCAGGACTTTCCAACATCCTTTCTTGACGCTCTCTTGCCCTCTCAATATTTCTATGCCTTTGTGGAGTATTAGGAGGAGAATCCCTAGGGAATAAATGATAGTTAAGTAATAAAGGCAGGGAGCAAAAGAAATATCCTACATCAAGACCAAAAGGACAACTGAAGCATATATTCTGATTACCAAAAAAAAGAGAAAAAGATCCACATATTGAAGCAACTAACCAATCAGCAAAACCTTGTGAAATCCTATCATCAAAAGTGATCAGAAGCAATCCAAGTGGACAAAATGTCAATTGAAGGTGTCTAAAAATAGTTGAAGGCTTTCCATAATGATCAAAATGTTATCCAGAAACTTACAAAATAATGTATCAGAGTTCATGGTGGTTTGTGGACAGTGAGGCAGGAGCAGCCTGAAGCCGTGTTGAGAAGTCTCGTGAGGGTGTGAAGTGCTTAGTAAGATAAAGCTGAATTTGTCAGCCATCAATCCTTTGTGTTTTCATGTACAAGCTTTAGACCCGTGCCTACGGCACGGCACTCGCTAACGCTCAGCCGTTCCTCCAGCACCGGTCACAGCTTGCTGGGGGCATGCCCCCTGGACCCCCTGATACACATCTTTAATCCCAGTTTTGGTACTCATCTTAAATCCCAGTTCTGGTACACTTCTTTTATTCCAATCTCTATATTCATTCACATACACTTATTTACAGTAATTAAAGAAATTGTACAAAAATCATAGCATAAATCTACAATATCAAATTTAGTCAAGAAGTACCTCAGGATATACAATATTTTTGGTAACAGGACTTGGAAGTTGATCATCCCATATTATCCTGATGTTATGAACAGAAGTTACTCATGAAACTGCAACATAGAACTGCCCATGGGTGAACACAGCAGATCGAGCATCTATCCCCACATAATTCACAGATTGTCCTTGTGACTTGTTGATAGTCATAGCAAAACACAGTCAAACTGGAAATTGTAGATGTTTAATTTTGAATGGAACTTGGGTCTCATTAGGAATGATCCCCATCTGAGGAATGAAGATCAGCTCTCCAGCATGTTCTCCAGTGAGAAGTCAAACCTCCAAAACTAATGGAACTTGGGTCTCATCTATGTGAGGATTGAAGATCAGCTCTCCAGCATGTTCTCCAGTGAGAAGTAGAATGGTAGTGTGTTCTTGGTAGAATGTTCTGAGTAGCATGTTCTCAATGCACATATTCAATCATAGTGTGTGCTTGGTAGTGTGTTCTCAATAGTCTTGGTAACACTTGGCCATTCCTCCAGCACTGGTCACAGCTTGCCAGGGGCACACCCCCTGGACTCCCCTGTACACATGCTTAATCCCAGTTTTGGTACACATGCTCCATCCCATTTCTAATGCACATCTTCAATTGTAGTGTGTTCTTCGTAGTGTATTCTCAATGCACATCTTCAATGATAGCATGTTCTTTGTAGTATGTGCTTGGTAGTGTGTTCTTAATAGTGTGTTTTTGGTAGTGTGTGCTTTGTAGTGTTCTCAGTAATGTGTTCTTGGTAGCATGTTTTCATGCACATATTCAATCATAGCATGTTCTTGGTAGCTTGTTCCCAGTAATATTCAATCATAGCATGTGCATGTTAGTGTGTTCTCAGTAGTGTGTTCTTGGTAGTGTGTGCTTGGTGGTGTGTTCTCAGTAGTGTGTTCTTGGTAGCATGTTCTCAATGCACATATTCAATCATAGCATGTTCTTGATAGCATGTTTTCAATGCACATATTCAATCATAGTGCATTCTTGGTACTGTATGATTATGACTGAGTCTTCATGTCAAGCATCACAGAGGGGTTTGAATGAAGGGAAGTGAGCGTGACATCACACATCACTGCAGGTTTTGAAACTGTTTCCTCTTGCATCTAAAATACCAATTCTTCTGAGCCTGTGGCACTCCTAGCTGTGTAGACAGCACTAAGAATCCTTAGACTAATTTCTGAGGGGACCTGTTGCACCATTGACGATTTGACTGCAAGGACAGCCTATTCTTGATTTTCTGAAGTACAGATGAAGAGACTGTACTCTTTGTCATGCCTCACATCAGATGTTGAAGTGATGAAGAGTTGATTGAAATAGGTCACACCATAAACGGCTTGAAGAGGTGGTCATAATCGTACAGTAGCATGTTCTCAGTAATATTCAATCATAGTGTGTTCTTGGTATTGTGTTCTCAGTAGTGTGTTCTCAATGCACATATTCAATCATAGTGTGTTCTTGGTGGCTTGTTTTCAATGCACATATTCAATTATAGTGTGTGCTTGGTGGTGTGTTCTCAGTAGTGTGTTCTTGGTAGCATATTCTTGGTAGCATGTTCTTGGTAGCATGTTCTCAGTGCACATATTCAATCATAGCATGTTCTTGGTAGCATGTTCTTGATAGCATGTTCTTGGTAGTGTGCTTGATGTTCTCAGTAGTGTGTTCTTGGTTGTGTGTGCTTGGTAGTGTGTTCTCAGTTAGGAGGTCAGGATTGATGGTTAGAATTAGGGATGTTTTGTCTCCCTATGTAGGAGGTTAGGGTGGTTACATAGTTTGAAGCTTCAATTGCTGTGAGGCAGCTAAAGTAGGATGCTTGAATTCCTATTTTGGGATTGTCATTGAATGTATATCCTCTTTTTTATCCCAGTTCTTCAATGTTACACTTGGATGTGGACTTATAGCACAGCACTCAATTCACTTGGCCACACCTTGCCCAAGAGAAAGCTCACCACACTTTGCCAGCTTGCCAGATGAAAGCCCTCCAGATCCTCCACCCAACATATGTTCACTCCCAGTTCTCGTACATATCTTCCATTCAAATCATCATAGTCACATTTTGATCAAGACCTACATGGAGCTACATGCTATATCATGATTGTAGCCAGCCATAGAAATTTAGCTATATTTATTGGCCTAACCCTCCATCATATGGCTTAGCTTAAAAAAGAAGAACTGTAAAACCATTGCATATCAATGCTGTGCAAAGAAAGCAAAAGACTGATAGCAACTGGCAGACATTTACACAGAGAGGCCTTTGGTCCTCCAATTTTTGCTAACTTCAAATCACCAAAGAAGGAGCAAAATGTCCACCCACACAAAGTACTGGGAAAATGTAAATCAGAAGAGAAAAGTCAAAAAAGAACTGCCTAGCAGAATAACATCAGACATAAAAGAAGCAGGAGTGGTTAACCATAAGAGAAAAGAAGAAACATACACTGATAATGACTTTGACACAGGTGTAGAGGGAAGTCAAGGGTGATAAAGGTGGAAAAAAAGCGAAATTGAGGGTGCTGAAGGAGGTGTACCCACAAAAATGCATGGCAATTATTCTATGCAGTACAGAATGTAGTTGTAGGGTCTAATAGGACCAACACAACATTGCCTATGGCCAGAGTTTCCAGAAAATGCCACTCAGGCAGCTGGTATAAAGAGAAAGAGGTCGCTTAGTCATATATTACATAGAGCTGTGCAACCTTCTTTTAATATATTAGATAGAGAAGATAGATATGTGTGCGTGTGTAATGAATACATGTATAAGTTTTATAGGCCGGGGCCCATAACCTGTTGAGAGTATATAGCGCAGTGGTAAGTTCAAAGAATAATTATTATTGTAGAGGGCAATTTCGTCGCCCTTATATACTACAGAATGTAAATACTAGAATATACTACATGATACTAGGTGTCTGATAAATCACCTCGGTGATGTCCTCGGGCTTAGTAATTAAGTATTCTCGATCTATCTACGTAGTTCATGAAATGGCTGACCATATGCTAGGTGTTATTCCAACAGTATTGGATCAGACTTGGATCAAACTTGGATCACTGCTGCCCCGTATGTTGCATCGTCTAGACTGCATCGTTTTTCTGACCAACTCCTTCCAGAACTTCGACAAACACATTCGGGCTTTCAATCATAACCTCCGGCGACCCATCTCACACGTTGCGTTCGACTGGTCCCTGGGCCCTCCATATACAATTATCGGACCTTCGTTATTTTGCTTCGTAATGGAGGGAATGGTTAGTTATAGGTGTAAGATGAGGGGAATGCATTTATTCATTGGCGAGGCTTTCAGGGGTAGAGAAACCATAGATACAAACAAAATCCATAGCATTGATAGCCAGCATAGATCTGGCTGTAACTATTCAGCCGACCAATAAGATATTGCTTCCTCAAGCAGCTCTAGGTACTATCAAATAACATGGCCATGCTATCATGACCAATGCAGTTACATGTTGTGCTCGGCTAAGGTACAGTGCCTACTTTATCTACATTCGGCTACAGAACTAACCGGCGATCTATCGGAGAAATCATCTTTTCCTGATGCAGACTCCCTTTGTAGCCTAAGTTGAAAATTCGGAGTCACATCTTCTCTACCCTCCCCGTGAGCATAATAGACGACAATTCTACTCCAAGAAACGTGGCGAACGGAGATTATAATATCGCTACGAATGATGCCATTCTTTCGCTGGCCAACTTGTCGTTGACCTCTCTCACAAAAACAAATGGCAAAACCGCTCCTGCGGCCATTCACTCTCTACTACCACCAGAAATAATGGCCGAGATATTCACGACGGTATGCGATTATATTCCACAGCGCCGACCTCCCAGAGTAACCTCCCCGCTGGTCTTGGGAAAAGTCTGCGGCGCGTGGCGGGAACTTTGTTGGTCGATACCATCCCTTTGGGAAGTCGTCGATCTTCTCATCGTACCCGCCAGATTAGATGTGCAAAACGAGTTGCTGGAGGAATGGATTTCCAGAGCACGCTCGCGGAACCTCCACATTCATCTCAACGAGGAAGAGCCACACAGAGGTTGGAAAGAGGCCCCTCCACACAAAATCATGCATACTATCGCTTCCTTCTCCTGCAAGTGGGAAACGGCGGACATATATCTTCCGGAGGATAATTACGCCGATCTTATTCCAATAAAGGACAACCGTCTTCCCGTCCTAAAATCGCTCTCTATCTGACCCCCTAAGCAGGAGTGTATTGTTGAAATCAACCTGTCCGTATTCGAAAATTGCCCCTTACTCCGGAGCCTCTATCTTGTGGACTATTACCTGGCAAACTTATTTCTATCTTGGAAGCAGCTCACGAGATTGTATGCTGATGGTCTCCTTATAGAGGAGTGCTTTCATGTTTTCCGCGAATGCCGAAATTTGATCACTTGTCACCTTGACAAAATAATAAGCGACATTGAAGACACCGTCCCACTTCCTGTTCCCATTACGCACCGCGGCATAGAGTCTTTTGACATCACGAGCTCCGAAGTGCAAGAGATAGCCTCGGTTTTCGGGAACGTCACTCTTCCTGGCCTGAGAAAGCTTCGAATCACTTGCTCAAATTGGACGGAGGATACAACTCCACCCTTGCTTGCTTCCTTTTTTTCACGATCTTCTTGCAGTCTACAAAGTCTGATCATAAATCGCATCTTTCGCCTGGAAGGAGACCTTATAGATATCCTAGACGCCCTCCATTCCCTCATCCACCTCAATGTCGAAGAAAAAGATTTTCACTTCTCCGCCAACTTTCTTGATCTCCTACACCGCGGCGACTCCGACAATCAACTGTTTCTCCTCAACTTGCAGGACCTGATGCTTTGCGGTAAGAACTCGTTTGGGAGCTATGACGTGTATAGGATGTTGGAGGGTAGACGGAAGAGCGACAAGATCACGACACTCAAGTCATTCAACACCTTTTATTATCGCCTGGTATCGTATGTCTGAGCATGTGCCAACCAGGTGAAATAACATCAATAATTACAGCTGGATATCAAGTCTGCCAGCCAGCTGAACCCACACCCGAGACTTCAAGCTTCAGCTCTCAAGAGGCTAGACCTTTGACTAGCAGACAGGTGGAACAATACCTTCAGAACAGATGTGCAGCTATATGAAGAAATCATATTTTCCATTTCGATACCTCACTCCCCAGAGCTTGCGTTACCACATCTTCCCCTGTAGTTGACAACCCAATTCGCTGGGTGTATATTTATGCACAAGAAAAAATACCCTCATGGAAAAGTCTCTCTCGATTTTTGGAGGGGGGCGTATCACAAGCCTGAGACCCTTGCTGTTAAAAATTACACTGTATAGTACCTTAGACCTTACTAGATATCATATGAATAACTAATTTATATTTTGTTCACTATTAATTGCATAGCAAGTGAGGAAAGTTGGAGAACATGATAACAGAATGATACAACATGAGGGCAGGTACATAGCTGAGACGAAACAAAACTGGCCTGGAGATTCTTTACCTGAGAGCGTTCAAAGACTGCAACAAACCAGGCATCTCTTCCCTCTGAGAGGGGTCAACGTGCCAGCATTTTCTCATGATGTCCCAGCAGCTTTTATCGTAGGGAAAGCTGGGATAAAGGGTTTGGTTAGGCTTTTCATTCCTGTACGAGACCGCCATCGCCGCCTGTAGCTCGATCAAATAATAGAAGGGAATTTTCCCCGTAAGAGTCTAAAACAAAGAATCAAATACGGTAAGGAGGACGTGATGTGCGTAGGGAAAAAAAATACAAACCTCGAGCATCACCATGCCGAAACACCACACGTCGGCTGGCTGGGTAAAGGCCTTCGTGGTCCGATTCGCGTTCTCGGTCGTCAGAATTTCCGGGGGCAGGTGTCTGTTTTTTCAGATTAATATCAAGATCGCGCGCCGAAACGAAGTCTCCCTGACCGATGTACCGCCCCACCAATTGAGGAAGTATAGCCGGCTATTTCGAGCACGCGAGAACGGCCGAAATCAGATATAAGCGGGATGAAATTGCCATTGATATGCTCGATGAGGACGTTATTCTATTCAGTCCAAGATCAAGATTTTTCTTTCCAGTCATGGAAACAAATATTTTCTTTACCATCGTCAAATCGCCATGAACCACATTTTCCCCATGTATGTACGTAAGGCCTTTCGCAATTCCCTTCACCTATAGAAAAAAGTCGCACTGAGATTGGAAGTAAGTTTATGCCGTGAAGGTGACCCTCACGATAGGCAGTCTGTTGACAGACGCTCTTGCCGGGTCAGAGAAAAAAGCGCGGAGATCGCCGAAAGTGCAGCGCGGTGCCACAATACCGGTGGAAGGAATTGCTGGGTCGTCAATCAACCCGAACAACGGAAGCACATTTGGATGGCGAAGAAGCGCCCAAACACGATACTCCTTGTTCAAAAGCTGGAGATTCAAATCAAATAAGACTAGGGACGGTCAAGAAAGGGAGAGAGACACTCGCCTTCAAATACTTCCACTGAGCCTCTGGAGTATTCGCCTTGTTGTGCGCATCTCGAAAGACTTTGATGGCGACCTTGTTGGAGGGCAGTGTTCGTGAATGAGGAAGGGGAACGATATAAATATCAACGGTACCCACAGCAACATTTCGGCCAGAGACTGCAGAGTCGCCAGTCCATACTCCGGGACCTAAGAAAGCTAGGCCACCGTGCCAAATTCCGGGATATATGTCGGCGTAACCACCACAAGCAATAGGATACTTTGCGGTTATCTCTATATGGCCGTCCAAACGCTTCAGAACGTAGTGATATCAGCTAATGGGGAGGGCTGCTAAACGGTTGACAATGACCTGCATGTCTTGAACATCAATGCCATTAGGAGCCATTGTATCTTCAAAGGAACCGCGACAAGAACGACCGTCTTGCATCTCAATTTATCGTACTTGAAGAGTTGTCATGCTGCATCACATGGTGAAAATCTTTGCGGGAAGGCGCGCTTATGGAACGTCAAGACCACGTTGTTTACACGCTGGAGACACATTGTAACCGTGAGCAGCATGTCCGAAGACGCTCGTTAATCTTGACGCTTGGAGGTCTAGTGACACACTCGTCTCGCAAATGTGAGAGAATGACTTTAACGGGCCATGCAATCCGTCGTTGACGGAGAGAAGAGGACACGTAGCAGCAAAACCATCCCGAAGCAGAACAGGAACCACGGATACCAATGGGACAGCGAGGCAGGATATCGGACCTAACGAGCGCGCATTGAAACCTTCAAACGGAAACAAAAACTTGTCCATTAGAGCAAAGAATGACATCATAAAGCTGAGCTACACTGGCAAATATCCACGAACAGTGTCCAGCCTAGTAGCAAGGTCAGAAAGTGACCTAGATTTGAGAAAAAAAAAGGTGAACAGACCAATCCCAGTACCAAGTTGTCTGAGGAGCGGTCAGCGATGTGATCTCAAAAGAAAAACCACTCGTACCAATCCCAGACTGCGGCAGATCTGACGGGCGGTTGGTCGTTGATCGGGGTTCTGGCTCCAGCACTGTTGCACAAGTTTTGCAAGATCAGATTTGCTTTCAAAAAACTCCGGAAGAGTTGGGCGATTTCCGTTCAAGATTGCAAAGATAACGCTGCTATCGCTTTTCTTCTCGTTGAATGGTCGTTCCCCAGCAAAGATCTTATCGGGTGTGAGTAAACGCCGGGCAGGTGAGGCTGGAGATATACCTCAAAGACAGTCATGGCATAAGAAAATACGTCACTCTTAACGGTAAACTGAGGTAAGGGTATATCGCCACTGGCTGGCGGGTCCATAATTTCCGGTGCAGTCCATCGACAGGTTCCCGCGGTTTTGATAGAGGTGAACTCAGCGGAATCCATAATTGACGCTAAACCATAGTCAGCCACAACAGCGTGTCCTGCGCTATCAATGAGTACATTCGCCTTGATGAAAATTGTGGTCACTGAGCAAAATAGAACGATGAAAGACTAACCCCTCGCAAGTCACCATGAACAATAGGCGGCCACTGTTGATGCAAGTATTTCAAACCGAGAGCAATTTCCCCAACCTGACAATAAGGTTCAGAATTCAAATTTTGCTGCTATCAGAAATGAAAGGGTTGCAAACCAGTCTTAGCTTCGTTTCATCAGAATTTTCACGCTTTGTGTACTCCATGACATTCTTTCCTTCATAAAACTCCAATACGAGCCCAGGAAGTATTCCAAAGTTGTAGACAAATCCATAGAACTTAGAAACGTGAGGGTGGGACAACTTCAGCCAGAGAATGCCTTGCCGACGAAGCGACTGGCATAGACGCTCAGGCGGTTTGCATGTCTCAAGTGATAAGGAAGAATACCTTGATTAGGTGCTCTCTAAAATCGGGTCTGCTGCTGGAACCTCCGCGAAGAACTTTTATGGCAACCTGTGACCCGCCATGAGTAAAAATATACGTGAAATGACGACGGCCTCACCAGGGTGGGAACTCCCTCAACCGACAGTCTTCCCTTCCAGAGATCAGAATGCTCCCCGATACCAATGTTGAATTCACCATCCCTTTCGACAACGTCTGTCAAATCCTTGAAGGGCGAAATAAGTCGTGGTGACGAAGATCAGGAAACCACCCATTGCTCACGTCATCATTATTGTCCAGAAGACACATTTCTTGTGGAGGCACGCCGGGCAGGTTAGCCATCAATTGAACTGGAAGCAAGCCAGCGTAGTAGCTGTCTTTGAGGCTTGAGCTGTCTTCTTCCTGGCGCTCGAGGTTTTTACATAAAAGTGGAGCGCCTATGTTGGGCGTGCGAAAATTGACCCTCCGAGCCACCGCACAATAAAAAAGGTGTTGCCCATTACAGGAGCTGTTGGGGTTGGAAATACACGAATTCTCCGATATGGAACAAAATATACCTACTACGGAGTCTTGATGGAGTCAAAACCCGAGGACTGGATGTTGCATGAGAAGTTTCTGTTATGTAATGGTACGTGACGTTTTGTGACACAGGAGCCACGTATAGCGTGCTCAACGTTTCAAGTCTCCAGGCCTATTCATACCCTGTAAAACTATCATGGCGAGTACGCGTTCGCACCCTGCGACACTCAAATGACTTACTGGACTATGCTAGGCAGCCGCAGCCGTCTCGGATTCGGTGCCCATCGAGACTGCACATGAGGATATGATCGTACGCCTCATTTAATTACAACAAATGCACCTCCTTGTAATATGTGAAAACCAGCACGACGCGCAGCTCGACTACTATGGCAAACGCCTAGCTACCTGCTCTTCGGATCGCAGTGTGAAAGTCTTCGACGTAGTTGACGGGGATGCTCAAAGATCAATTGCTGGTCAGACACTCAAAGGGTACGCGTTACACTTATGGATGTTTCGACCTGACTTTACCTGAAACGCAGGCATACTGGGCCGGTCTGGCAAATCGCTTGGGCACACCCAAAATACGGGCACATCCTCGCTTCGTGTTCGTATGATGGAAAGGTGTTGATTTGGAAGGAACAACCTGGTCAGGGAGCTGGTCAGGGAGGGTGGATTAAGATTAAAGAGCATACTCTGCATACAGCCTCAGGTAAAAGGTTCCAATCCTATTGCGCGGTGATTTCGCTTACCCATTTTACCAGTAAACTCTGTATCCTGGGCGCCCCATGAACTCGGAGCCATCCTTGCCTGCGCATCCTCTGATGGAAAGCTTTCAGTTTTGACCTTCAAAAGTACGTCTATACCTGATCACGTTCACATATACCTTACATATCATGGTCAGACGATGGCCAATGGGACGCTGACATCTTCAACGGTCATGCTATTGGCTGCAATGCTGTTTCATGGGCGCCCGCAATTCTCCCCGGTTCTCTCATCACCCCCCAACCTCAAGTAGCGCCTGGCCAGCCCCAATCATCACCTACATCCTCCGTCAAGCGCTTCGCCAGTGCCGGCTGTGACAATCTCGTCAAGATCTGGGGATACCGCGAAGATACACAATCATGGGCCGAGGAGGAGACGCTAGAAGGTCACACGGACTGGGTGCGAGACGTGGCGTGGGCTCCAAATGTTGGCCTTCCGAGGAGCTACATCGCAACCGCCTCGCAGGATAAGACAGTCCTCATCTGGACAAAGGATACTCCCACCGCTCCATGGGTGAAAACCGCTTTGGATCCATCGACGTCACTTGCTCCTACCTCTGGTGCACCCCCTCCACCTGGTAAATTCCCTGACGTCGTTTGGCGCGTGTCATGGAGCCTTGCAGGGAACTTGCTTGCTGTCAGCTGCGGAGATGGTAGGGTGACCCTGTGGAAGGAGAACCTGAAGGGCGTCTGGGAGTGTGTCAGCGATATGAACAGCTAAACCTATTGTGACTGTAATGGTGCGGGCTTGTAGACTGGATGAGATACTATTTTACAACTTTTTATCGAAGCGCCTTCTTGTCCATGACGCGATCCTGCGAGTCGCAGTGCATTTGACGCCCCTTTGCTGATTGTTCACAGAAGAACGGTCCGAGTCACGGCTATCATGCGGTGATTCCTGACAACGCTCATCCCAACAAAATCTTCCTGGTCCCGATCAGTCCGAGAAGCAGCATTGTTATCGCTGGAGGCGCGCAAATTTCAGCGTCAAGGCTGTTTCTAAATCCGAGGACAGATCTCGGAGGAGGCTTCCAATTCATTGTTTCAAAAGGCGCGCGTCAACTGCTCGGCGCCAAAATTTTGAATCCCAAACCTGCGCCCCTGACGCGTTCGTTGTAAAAACCCCAACAACTCTGTTGTTTGGATTGCAGGGGCTCATGGACGGCCACCTTTCTCTAAGAGATGTTATTGTCTTCTTAACTAGCTTGCAAAAGCTCAATCGACCCCGTCTTAGTATGCAGTGCCACAAGTTGATCCTATGGATGCACAACATATCGACAAGACCGCAACGAACACATCAGGTATTTCCTCGCATCTTTTGAAGGCCTTTCTTACGTCTCCTTTATATTTGCTTAACAACGGCATAGGTTAAATCCCTAAAGTGCCTCCTTCCATCAATTCATTGTAAATGGGTTTGTCGTGTGACTCCTGCCGGTGGATGCGGATTGAGGCGTTTGATGGTATGTCTATTTGAACATCTCTTCGCCGCCCAATTTCAGGTTAAAACTTAGCTTTTAAGATTTCACAATTATGCGGTCCGACACAGTGTTTGCAGGAGATTATGTCAATTTCCGTCGTCGCGGAGATCAGGTTTAACACCTTTGCTTTGAACGATCCCAACAACCGATACACAACTTCCACTGCACTTCGCTTGTCAGCTGACGATACAACCCATAAGATGTATCGACGGTCAAATATTTGAAATAAGCAGAAAAACCCGCGGGTGGTAAGCCAAATCAAGTCCTACTCGGCGCTCGGCTCTAGCCTCTTCGTGACATCGCACCTCACCTAGGCTATGGAAAAGGGCGACGTGGTGTCAGCCTTTGGCGCTTTGGCGCTTTGGCGGCTTTCAAAAACAGGCCGGAGGTTTGCTATTGATCCCCGTCGCGCGTGGCTGGTACAACTTGTATAACACCGCTGCCAAGGACATTGCGTTGCTTTGCATCGGAGCACATATAATAGATCATTACCTGGCTGTACACTTAGAATTGAATAGAGGCTAAGATGGGCTGTGTGATCATATATTGATGTGTTAAATTGGCGTGGGCTCTAGAGATACAAAGTACAAAGTCCGTGGTAAGTGGTGCAATGTTTAGAGGTCAAAGCTTGTTTTGTGGTTCATTTTCATGGGCACTGTGAGCACGGTCCTTGGGTCTGTTTGGAAAATAGCCTTCATCACCATCGCTGAGTCGTGATAGGTAAAAATGAAACTTACCTCTCCAGTAATAATCCTCTCTGGCTTATCGAAATACCGCCTACAACGACACTGAGTTCTTGTACCACAAGTGGAGGGGTGATTGGTGCTGTTATAGCAATCAGAGGAGCCACAGTCGACATTGGTATCGCCAATGAAGGTCAGATGCCCGCAAGGTGTCGTTTTGACGAACCGGAGCTGTCTATGGCACATATTTCTAGCGTCACGCTATTTCAGAACCGTCGCGGAGTCAGTGTCGTCGAACAGGGACCTCACGTTTTGTTACGTCGGCGGAGGTAGGAGAGGAACAAGGCTTGATCGCAAATCAGACTTTTTTTGAGTTCAATCTCGCTGTGGATTGAGTTCTATCAGCGATCGGTCGTCGTTGAAGCAAATAAGCGACTTACCGTGCTGCTGGGCGGGGAAGAAAGACGTTGGCGAACAGTAGTTCTTGGTTCCCCTTCCAAAACTGCTTTATAAAGAGGGCTAAACCCGTTTTTGTAGGGCGAGGGTTCGCGGACCGGTACGCAGTTCCCCCCCAATAAACGGCCGAATTATGTCTGGAATATTTGGTGAAGAATGAACCTATGACTGAGGGGAGTTTGAAAAAACAAGGTTCTGTCCAGTACCTGGCATAGTTGTGATGTACATCGAGATAAGGACAGAGAGGAATAGGCAAGTCTTGGCCAGTGGTTCGGGAGTGAATAGTTACGAATGATATCGATGGGCCTTCCAAAGGAATTTATCCAATCAAACCACGGAAATCGATCTTGTTTCCTCGATCCCCCCGACGCAGAGTTGATAATCTCCAGGGCAGACTCGACGAGAGTGGAAATGTCAGGCCGTCAGCCTAGCCCAGAGGTACCTGTGAAACAATACCCCTTTGGACTTTGGGTAGATATTAATTTGCTGCTTCGCGGGTAAACCTCTATCGGAATGAAAGTCATGTAACATTATTGTCGAAATACGATTCGACACTTATATTGCGCGGACAGTATACGCTGGTGGAGGCTTGGAGAAAAGGGAGAAAAGTTTTCCCGAGGCTTGGCTGTCACCTGGAGGTTTTTTTCAACCGTCAGTCAAAAAAACAAAGGTACGGAAAAAATCCAGCTGTACTGCAATCTGTCCAGGATTGACGCGATAATCAGATTGCGGAGGCTGTTTTATTAACGCCGCACACTTGCCTTGTGAAATAAGTGCAGAGTTTATTCTTGGTCTTCTATCTCCTCTTTGCCATGGACCGTGCATGACCCTGGTTGGTTCCCCTCTACTTACCTCGCTATACCTTTTAATGCTGCAGTCTTCCAAATGTAGTTAGAGGTGTTGGGCAGCCACTGTGTCCGAGTCGCACCTCGTGCCATTTACAAGGAGATTTAATTTAAAAACGAGTGCTCGTCAGGTCATTCCTAATCATTAAATTCAACCTTGTAACTAACTGATAAATGCTAAAAAGTCTCCTACTTTGAGACCAATGGTCAGTAAAGGTTAACACTGGCCAAGAAACTGGTAGTTTGAGGGTCTTTTGAGGGTTTTTCGCGAATGACGAGGTGCTGGCGTCCGGTTTCTCTGAAGTACACACTGACAATATAAGGATTCAACATGAATATGAGGAAAACGTATCATTTTGAACATTGATACCTTTCCCTCCTACGCCAAGAACATTTTGTATGTGGTTCCGAATAATTATAACCGTAGGCAGTTTTCGCACCATGATCGAATTTCGTGTAAATCGAAATGACTGTTCCCCATCGTCGATGCTGCTGAAACGCACCATTCCTAAGATGTATAACCCTTAATAAACATGACGTAGAGTCGAAGAACGCGACAAACATTGAATGAATTGTGGGAAGAAGGATCCATTAGAGATAAGAAGTCAAGGGATGACGCTGTGTGGTTAACGCTCGTGCGAGTCCACAAGGGGGCTTGAATTTGAGCTTGTGACCAGTTGATCGCCAACTCTGGTGAAAAGCCATCCAAGGAAGGCCAAGTTGGTCCAAGGAACTGATGACGCCTTTCGTGAATTGCGAGGTGCCACTCGCTGGGTAAGCAGTGTGCGCTAAACATACGGCATAAACATGAGTGAAGAGTCAATAAGTGCTCAAAGCATCAACTAACTTTGATCCTCAAAGAATTGGTATGAGGTTCTGATAGATTCCAATCAGGGCTCGAGCCCGTTCACGGGGGGTGCAAATCACGGTGGCTGTTCCATACCGTCGACGCTGCTGGAATGCGACGTTCCGTACGATGTCCAACCCTAACTTATAAAACGTCAGAGCAAGTCAACAATGTGGCAATCAATCTTTAACAAACATTGACTGACGCGCTCACTGTTCTTCCCGACTGAGATAGTCGGCTTACTGAGCATGTGCTTCGAGCCCGTTGACTTAATGGCAAACTACCGGGTTGTCCGATGTCTTTAAAGAGGCCGTCAGTACTAAAGGCCAGCAAAAAAACTCGTGGAGGCTTTCACGAGTAACTTTTCCATGCGAATGCGCTACTTACTAAATGCGGAATTATAAACTTGAGAGATAGGTATAAGTCACCAATGGTTTTCCGTCTCACGTAAAAAAGAACTCACATGTGGTTCTGATTGGTAGTCAGGGGCATTTCTGGCCCCGTGCACGGGGTAAATCTGTGTAAGTCGATATGACTGTTCCCTATCGTCGACGCTGCCTGGACTATACATTCCGTGGGTTGTCCAACCCTACATGGACGTCAGAGAAACTCACTAAACATGCCACTGTAGTCTTGCCACAATTAACTATCAGAATACCTTTACGGTATCAGAAGGTGTTAGTCGTCGTGGGTGTAATAACCCTTAGTTTTGCGGATTGAAAGGAAAGCTTGAAAAACCCAGGGAATTGTGCAATGTGTCCAATGGAGGGAGGACGTAATGTTTTCCGAGACCATCGGCATTCGGGACACGTCCCTGCCAAACGCGAGTAAACACAATCTAGTCAAATGCCGTCACTCTTATCCTCTTACTTACAGCCAACTCACAGCCGCCAAGGTTCTCAACATATCCGGTTAAGACTACGGCCAGCGGAGATATTAACCGCGACTCCTTTGCGCCTGCGTTTAAACCGCCTCACGTTGACTTCACGCGTTTTCTGCTGTATTGAGTATTATCGTTTTTTCCTGAAGCATCTAACTACTATCGATACGAGCGCGGGTGCTCTGACGGAGGAGATCATCAAGTTTCACCTTGTGCCAGATAGAGGTGAGTTACATAAACGCGTACAGGTTTACGACTTGTTGAATTTGTCCTGCTCGTCTCTAGTAACTTGCTTGAAGTGGCGCTGTATATAACAAAGCGTCAAATCTCTTGCAAATGCCTGCGAGTAAGTAACGTAAGACTGATCCACCTACAAACCAGCTTTTGCACTTTACTTCAATCAAGCCTAAAGGCTACGTTCGAGGCTACTTCCAGAAAAACCCAACTGCCGCTGCCAGCGCGTCTGCTTCCAGTACTTCAAGCTTATCCGCCTTCACCTTCAAAGCTGCGCCACTGACTGACGTCTCAACTCAAAACCTCAAGAGAAAACTTAAGGAGGCAGGCCGCAGCCGTGGAACGCGCCTCTTCGACCTGGACGCTGAAAAAAGCAAAGAAGGCGAAGGCTTAAAATTGAAGTACATTTACCCTGAAAGCGTCCGACTCATACCTGCAGTCGTAAATTCTTCTATTTCCTCCATCAGGTACATATGACATCGTTCTCTGCCCTACATTCTCGTAATCTTTACCGTAAAGTACAGCTGTACTTATTCGTAAAGTTTAAGATATTCATCGATACAACCTCGGGACAATTGGGAGTCCATGCACAATTCGATCATCCGGCTACTAATCCACCGCTGTAACATCCATCGATCGCTCAAAATGTCGCATGCATACGCAACCGAGGAACAAGTAGCTGTAGCTGCCGTACGCAGGGCTTGCCATCTCACCTCGTCGGTATTCAACAGGCTAGTCAAAAACGAGACACTCACCAAGGGCGATAAATCTCCAGTCACTGGTATGAATCTAATCTACCTACCAATCTTCTTCCCCCGCCACATACCATGCTCGATTTGTTTCTGATCTTCTCCTCCCAGTTGGCGACTACGCAGCCCAAGCCGTTATCAGCTCCATCCTCCACCACGCGTTTCCAGGAGATCCGATCGTTGGGGAGGAAGATGCATCGGACCTACATGCCGAAGAGGGCAGGTTGATGAGGGACAGAATCATCGAGCTCGCCAACGAGGCGTTGACAGCGGAACTGGGACTGGGGGACAGCGCAACGTGGGGGATCGGGCCGGGGCAGGTGAAGAGCGCTGAGGAACTGCTAGATGCGATTGATAGAGGGAACCACCCTGGTGGAAGGGATGGACGTGAGTTTCTGGAAAGCTCGTTCGTCTCTAGCATGCTTTTCTCATTCAGTGCCGAACAGGAATGTGGACTATCGATCCTATTGACGGAACGAAGGGGTTCCTTAGGGGAGAGCAGTACGCCGTGTGTCTGTCACTCATTGTCGACGCAAAGGTGCAGCTGGGTGTGATTGGGTGCCCAAATCTTCCCGTTGACCCTGTTGCTCCGGAAAGGGGGATTGGGTGCATCTTCACTGCCGTACGAGGTCATGGCGCGCAGCAAGTATACTTCCTTTCTTTTCTTACTCGATCCTTCTGTGATCTGAACAAGTTCCCCCGTTCATTTAGCTGACACTGAATGGGTCTAACCCCACACCCCTTGTCATCCCTCAAACTACACCGGAAACCCTGAACTTCCTGGAATCTGTCGAGGCAGCGCACTCATCTCATTCATTCAATGATCGCGTTTCGTCCCTTCTGAACATCACGCGACCCCCGACAAGAATGGACAGCCAGGCGAAATATTGCTGTCTTGCTCGGGGAGAGGGAGGCGCGTACCTTCGTATGCCTACTGGCGTGGGATACAGAGAAAAGATCTGGGTACGTTGCAATGCGTCTTTTCAATGTATCACCATGCTCAGTTGGGATTCAGGACCATGCCCCTGGCCAAGTCCTCGTGGAGGAGGCAGGAGGGGTGGTGACGGATTCGCGCGGCGAGCCACTAGATTTCGGATTGGGAAGAACCCTTGGAGAGAATTTTGGCGTGATCGCTGCAGGCAAGGAAGCTCACTCACGGGTGCTGGCTGCCGTCCAAGAGGCTCTCAATGAGACGAAGGCAAAGGTGTAGGCTGCTGCCATGCAGTTCGGACATTGCGTAACACAAGTTTTGTAAACCTGCAAGCAACAGGTTGCGACAGTTGTACTATTCTCCTTTCGATGTCGCCCTGAAGACAAAAAGCCCTGAAGGCAAAAAAAAACTGTGGCGCCCGGGTTGAGGCGAGGTAGTCAGGCGTAATCAAAAAAACGCTCGAGCTCCTTTAATCCCTCATGAAACCCGTTCAGGTAGGACCACGAAACAACAAATATTCACTGAGGTATTCAGGCGTAATCTAAAAAAGACTCGTGCTCCTTTGGTGCTACCCTCATGAAACTCGTTCACCGGCTCGCTTGGGTAGGACACGAAACAACAAATTCTTTCATAGAGCCGCGCAAAGGGATGCAGGGTGACTAGAGAATATGTAAGGACAATATCCTTGGATCAATACTAAGATCCAACAATTGAAAGTGTGTAAGTAAGCCTTGGATCAATACTAAGATCCGACAATTGAAAGCGTGTAGCCATTAGCATGACCACTGCCAGTATAAACGGTGTAAACCGTCGTGCCACTCGGGATACCATCACTGCTAAAGGAAGTCGACCCTCCAGACGCCAAAAGGATATTACTCCCAGAAGAGACCTACGTAGTATTTTAGGGAAAAGATTCGGAATAGGGACGACATCAAACTTACCGCAGAGAAGCTCGTCAGAGAAACCCCACTGCCGCAGGCAAGCTGACCACCACTAACGCCGCAGTTACCCTTTGACGAGGTCATGGTGAAACTACTGCTCGTTCCAGAGATCGTAAACGTGGCGAGTGTTTGGGTCGACCAAGTTGCCAAAGACAAAAGGCCACCGACGGCGGAACCGGATCGGAGAGCCTTGATGGTAGCTTTTGTCGGCAAACTTGCTGGGGCAGACTACAATTCGTATTCAGAAGACTAGGCAAGGCGTGAGGATCAGAAGAAACTTACAGTAGTCGAGGTTGCAGACGAAGTAGTTGAGGTGGCAGACGAAGTAGTTGTCTGTTTATATCAAACTTGAGATTCAAAGAACTTCACAAAGTCGATTATGCGTACCGTAGACCCCCCTGACTTCGGAGGGTACTTGATTCCAGAGGAGGGGCAACTACCAGCCAAGGGCGCATCTACTCACTACGTCAGATATCCATACACATTAAATCGACTAGCTCACCGATCGCAACAAACGTCCCATCGATGACGGAACCTTTTAGGTTGAAGTACCAGCTAATGCCGTTGAGAGCTCCCGATGTGCAGTCGAGCGCGGGGGTAAATCCCTATGTACCAAGAGATGAGAAGGTGTGGCAGGCTATAAAACGACACGCGTACTCCAGATGCCGTCTTGAGAGCCGAGGTAAGAGTGGAGAGTGTGTAAGTTGCGCTAGTGCTCGGGGTTATTCCTACATTCGCGAGCCAGGTGTATGTCGGGAGCGTCTGAATGAATCAAGTCAGCACCAGAGACAAGGTGATCTGAATGGAACGCATACTTGGAATAATCGGACAACCGTCTGGAAGAAGAGCACGGCCTACTTCGAGTCAGACAAGACAAGTCGCAAGGGAAGAATGAAACTACTCGACCTCCAAACCCGTCGGGCTGCCGCTAGGAAGGCAAGCGGGTTTGAGCGTGCTGAAGTATGTCAATGGTCAACTCGACGTGCCGCACAGACATATGCGGCGTACCTCATGCATGTGCCGTGTTTAGCCCATTCGTGCTGTCGGTGGATACATCAGCCAAAGCCACATTCGTTTCGAAGCAAATACACACCTCCCAAAAGGCCTCGTTGTTCCCGTTAATATCGACCCAGTACTATAGGTACACAGTGAGAAAGTTTCAAACGTGTGCGATCGATCCTTACGGTTTGCATATAAGCCAGGGTGTCACTTGCACCATTGGCCGTAAGAAGCTATGGGAAGGTGTCATTGGGTCTCAAGAGATACAATGGTTCAAGAGCGTACCCCGGCGACGTTCGTGTAAGCTCTGGAGGGATCACAGTTTGAACTGAAAGTCGTATCACAGCTTTTTCAAGTTGCGTCAGCCAGGTGGAATGCAATCCTCGAGAAAGGCTACACGAACTTGTCGGGCCAAAGACCTAGCAAGAGGTGTAAATTTTTGAATGCTAGAATCACATGTTCCTTACCGTGAATGGTCCAGCTATTGGTTGGCCCGGTCGAAGGGTTGGTGTCCCAAAACTATCCTGGAATCAAAATCTGCCAGAAGTGTCCAGTAGGATGGAGCATGCCTGTGTTTGTAATAAAAGTCCCTGTAAAAATCTTTAGTACTCATACAGTGACCGTAGAGGTAGAAAAAATGGGCTGACTCCTGGAGCTTCAAAGCAGCACAAGTTTGAAACTACCGAAGTGTTGTGGCAAGACGCAGGGCCTGTCGTGGAGCATCCAGAGGAGACAGACCTCTTAAATAGGCCGAGGATATCCGTTTGGCCTAAGAAAGGCGAAGCCAACGCGGTGCTAACAAAGCTTGCGAGTAGAACTGCAGAACGCATGGTCAGGACACGACACTAGGGAATGGTGTTGGGAACAACGAACGTCGATATAGGCGCGGTTTTAAGCGCGAGATGCGACAGAGGTGGCGGAAATATCATCAAAAATGTGGACAATTCGAGATAGACTTGACAGTCGCACGAGGGGGGCATCAGGAACAGAGGGAAGTAGGTTGACCATGTTCGTTATTCTGGGAAGAAGGATGATGTCACAAGATCGGCGCCATTTGCTCCGTTGAGCTGTATCCAAGCACTATCAATGCATCTGAGCAAAGAAAATGGCGATCCGCGTCGGGGTACGGCTGACGCGTCCGGAAAATTCGCGACACGTGCGTCGATTGGCATGCGGGTGGCGACGTCGCGTCCATATGTTCAGTATGATCAAACTCTTATCGATTTTGGAGCGCACTTATTAGCCTAGAAGGAATAATTGATGGCGTGTCGACACGCCTCTATCAGGCGATTTAGGCACCTCGTAATTTGACAAACGGAAGTTGCTAGCCTGGAAGAGGGATGCTTTGTGAGGCACGTTGGCGAAGGTTGATAGATGCCCGCAGGGTACTCTGTCGCGCTTCCTGATGAAGGCGTTTCCGTGGGAGAGACATATTTTGTCTGCTCATGACAAAAGTCGGTAACTGAGGGCAGGCATGCTCAAAACCCCTTAATCTGAGTATGGCTGAAAGCTTCTTCAGCCATACATAGTCAAGCCTTGCTTCAGACTCAGCACCACTTTCTCTGTAAAAATCGACGTGCGCACCAGTCCAATCATGGACGTTATCGCCCAAACATCCATATTCCTTTCCTAAACTTTTCCAAGTGCATTTATGAGCATGGCCTGTCGTCGCGTAACCATGGTGCAGTCGAACGACAAAGTTGGGAGCAAGTTGAAGACAAGTTGAAGAGTCTTGAAAGCTAGCTAAGCTTGCAAGTTTTGGCCTGGCTTGGCAAGGGCTTGGTAGAGACTGATTTAGGTTCCGACACGCCGATCTGCCTCCGCGCGCTTGACCGGCACTCCCACGGCCCCACAGAGGGTTTGACGCCCTAATGCGCTCGCTTTTGCATAGCCTGTGGCCTGCGCTTGTTCCCTATCTATCAGTTTTGTTCATCGTCAATCTTTCAACTCATTAACACCTTACCAATCGCGCACGCGCTCTTCTACTCATTTCATAACAACTCAAGCCGACATTACAATGGCAAACTGGTATGTGCTCACGCGCCTACTTGAAAGCTCCTTATCAATTCAAATTTTCCTATAAGGATCGACTTTCTCTCTCTGTTCGCTGTACGAATTTGGTTTATTCGACCCCGTATCAGTCACTGAACTCGTAGCAGACGATAGCCGTCGTTGGAGGTGTAGTTTATGGTGTGATATACATCATAGAGCAAGTAACGACAAGAATTGAGAGTACAAAAGAAAAGTACGTCTTCCCAACTGTCTCGTCCACTTCCTGACCTAATTTCGTTGATTTCTAGTCTGAAAGCCAAAGGGCTGGACATATCTCATACAGGTGTCTCAGTTAAAACGCAAAAACGGTTCGATAGGGAGGACTACGTGGACGCAACACAAAGGTACGCTTGCGCTACATCCTCCTTGAACCCTCACCAACCTGACCGCACCCACTGTAGGGGTCTCGTCAAAGTTGTCAACGCATCCTCATTCCGTCGCGGGGGCGCTTCGTCAGATCCCACCGGCTCATCGCCCGATATTTCAAGACCCACAAAAATGGACAGACAAGACTCAACGTCAAGCGTCAAAAGTGGAAGCAGTGGAGAGGAGAAGAAGAAGAAAAAGGGTCTGTTTGGATCACGAAAGTGATTGTCAGGGATGGTGCGATGCGTTCGCGCATAGGAGGCTTCGTGGAAGCGGCTGGAGCTCGGACGTACTTGACCCCTCTTCAGGTGAAGAGAGGAGTCGGTCGCCACCCATTCCTTACAGAAAATGGGCTCCTCGATGATCTGGATTCGGGCGTCATTGTTGGTGTATCTATTACCTTTCGGTTGTATGGATCTTATATTCTGTTATCTATTGCGGTTATATCTTTGATATGCTGGATATTCGCCCAATCATCGAGCACACCAATTCAGGCGCGCCAACACGAGAGAATCAACCCAATCAAACACGTTCAAAAATCAAGTCTTCTTTGTCTGAGCTTCCTGCTGTATCTTTGACTGCAACACGCTAATCAACGAATTCATATTCTCCCGCTTCCTCATGATCGTCTCCTCCAGCGTCTCCAAGTTTTTGTGGATGTAGTTGACTTTGTTCATATAGTGCTTTAAAGCCTGTGCGCGCGTCTGTCGTCGGAGGTGTCAACAGCGTGTAGATTCTGAGTAACACAATGACAAACGCACCTTCCGCACGAAATACCCCGTTCCCACATCCACGATGACATGATCGGGATCGCAGAGCTTCCCTGGGACGTAGAGGGAGTTGGTCAAAGGAACCAAGATCGTCTTGCCTATCACACATCCCAATTAGTCCCTCCCTCTCAACAAAGACGACAAAAAAGGAAGAAACACACACCTTTATTTTGAGGCTTCACCTCGTTCACATTCTCAATGCATGATTTGAATTTTGCCTGCGCTTGCTTGAGTTGGGCAAACGAGCTTGTGAGGTGATTTAACTCCTAGTTCAAGGGTCGCGGTCAGTGAGAGATCCGAATAGGGATTAGGGATCGGGTGTACATCTTCAAGCTGTTTTCGTACGTCCGCTAGTTGGGCGACGTCGAGGTCGGCGACGTTGATGGTTTGTGGTTGGGACATGGATGATGGAATGGGGTGTGTCACGATTGAAATATTGTTAGTTCTCATACAATGACCCTATAAAATTATATTACAAAGACAATATGTCAGTGGCCGTCGTGGCGCAATGGTAGCGCGTCGCTTTCCTACGAAAAAAGTAGCAGGCGGAAGTTGCGGGTTCGATCCCCGTCGTCGGTTCTCCAGGTGTAATTGGAAAGCAGTCTTTTTCATAAAGTTGGATTCAGCAGCCTTTTGCTCATCCCTGCCACTCACTTTTCAAGTGTTTTACATGAATTGCAGCAAAGACCTTGAGCATTTCACCTGGTCTAGTTTCCTTTGTGCCAGCTACCCTGATGCTGACTGTCGAAATATTGTTTGTGTTGCGAGAGTAGCTGGCACGAAAAACACCAGTTGTCACATGGTTCATTAAATCTTTGGCAATGCTCTCCCCCAATTGTAAAGCATACTTTTAAAAGGTTTGATTCAGAACGAAAACAAAGCAAGAGCAAAAATTGTCTCACCATGTTGCCAGCATCTCTTCGCCAAGCAGTCACACCAGAGGTAGGAAGGCTGGCTTGCTCAAGCCAATGAGATGAAGAATCCGATACTGAATGTGCCATTGCTGCTCGATGGGGAACTGAAAAGGACCTGCCACCTGGTTCGGATGCCAGAAAGCTAAGAAACAGGGGTGTTAAAGGGAAAAACAGCCACTTGAAATGCAATCACATGCTCACAGTGGTTCGTCCTTCATATCCTCATCAATAAGGAATTCCACACTATCGTCCTTGCAGAGATCTGTGATGCTCTTTTGGCAGAACTTGGTCAGGCGAAACAAGGGCCAAGATTCGTCCTTCTTACCTCGTATTTCTTTGCAAATGCATTGCGAAGAAAAAGGTGGGCGATTAAGACGACAGTGGGATCAAATAAGATGTTATGGGGGTGGCAAACACCTTCCAAAACATGGGTTTGTTCGTCACCAGTAGCAGTACCGATGGCACACTGCAGGGGCCCCATCAATGAACAAAAAAAAAAGAAAGAAATCGGTAGCACAAACCTTGAACTCCCTGAAATATACCATAACACTCCAAGTATTTTCGCCCTTTCTAAAGACACGAACATGTTTTAATTTGATAAACTATGGGTGGAATGAGTGACGAGTGGCAGAAATGAAAGGAGGAGACTTACAAATCCCAATTCTCGCCATTTTGCATGTGTCGGTCCTTGGGTCGATCCCCTCGCTGTGGTAAAAAAGGTGATGCAGAGTCTAACCATGTTTTGGATCACAACCTGGCGACCAAATCATCTTGTTGAGGAGAGCATGGTGTTGAAAACCATGGCCAAATGTTCGCGGCCAAGGTACTGCCGAGGTTGATAGTGGCAATCAAGTTTATGCTTGTGAACGACTAGCACATATCAGGTCAAATTTGAGAGAGAGATATATGCTACTTACAATGCACGACCTGGTCTCGGAGGTAATTGTAATATCCATACTTTGTGAGCAGTGCCTGGCCTGCCCTTTTGAGAGTGCTGGGTTCGATGGTGTAATTGCTGATGATGACGATGAAAATCGTGCAAAGATTGCTGAGGGTGCGAGCTTTGATCTGCTTGTTGAATTTACTCTTGGGCACGATGCTTTGCAACTGGAACCGAAATCAGATGTGCAAAGAAAGAAAAGAAGAAGGAAAGAACTTGCAAGGAATGGCAAAAACAGTTTTGCATGATCGTGGATGACCCCAAAATGCCAAAATGTCTCCATTTTCCAAGTTGGTTGGAGTTGGCTTATCATGACATTCCACCAAGCCATGACAAGGGTTCGCTTGGCGATGGTGTGTGGTGAAGCCCTGGTGGTGACAGCTGCAGCACATTCTTCGAGTTCGGCGAATAATCGGGTTGTCGCTTCTTTGGTCCCATCATAGCCCTTTGCGAGGTGAACTGTAGCAAACTTGGTTTGCTGCTGTGCCATTTTCCTCTCAAGATCTGGAAGTTGAGCAGCTGCAGATTTGTTTGGAGCAATGTTGCCAGTCCCATGAGGAATGTAGGTAGTCAGAGGAGGTGGGACTGCAGCATCAAAGTCTTGATCGTCAGATATTTGTTGATTTAAATGTGAGGGATCATAGTGTGCGAGGGCATCGGCATGGACTTGGAATGGGGTGGCATTGTCCATGATGGTGGTTGGGAGAAAGAAATGGTGATGCGACGCATGACAAACACGTGACACATTGTTTTCCTCCTTCTCTCATATGGTCAAAAGACGAAGAACCACTGTTGTTAAGTCGCCCAGCGAGAACTCTGGATCTGAAGGAGAGGATTGTACTGCTGTGGAGAAAAACCAAGAAATCTCGTGCTCCAAATGTGCTGTACTCGTCGAAAACCAGGCTGTATGCGAGGCGAATGCGATGGCCGACTTTTATTGAGCTGAGGCAGCAGCATCTGCAGCAGCTTTCAAACTTGAGGAGCAAAAGCAGGCAATGGCAAAGAGCTTTGAAGGTCGAGTTCAGGCTCTGGAGATGGAGTTGTTAAAGATGCAACGAGGGCTCGCTGCATTGGAGAGTCGAGGCAAGTCGCACATTTGTATTGTTACCCCCAAGCTTATCATCACCCAGTTGAAGGTGATGTGAGGGCATGCGAGGGGGTGCCTGCATGGGATGTGGCCAGCACCAGTGGAACTCGTCATGGACACCTTGATGCATTGGTTTCGACAGCACACATCGAGCAGCCTGCAGCTGCCTGGAATGTCGGCAGCACCAGCGAGTCATATGGAAGGAGCATGAATTGGACAAGTGATAATTCCCATTGGAGTTCATAGACAGTGCACAGACAGTTTTTTTTTTTACACACTAAGTAGTATCAATAAAGTTTTGCACAAGCTGTGCGAGTTCCTGACCACCTGTTACATGAGCGAGAGAGAGAGCAGTGAGATTGCTCTTTGATGCAATACAAGTGTTGGCACAGATATGCTTGAGGATGTTTTGAAAGCTTTCCGAGCGACCATTGAGACCTGATTTTGTTGTTTGAGAGGGAACATCCCAAATCGGATCTAGAAACATTGAAGCGCCAAACTGAAAGAATGTGAGAGAATGCCGAATTGATCAGACAAAAAAAAAAGAACCTTTTTGTACAAAAGAAGGAGGGTGTTTCGAGCTGTGATCGTTCGTTGGTGAGCTTGGACAAAGTGGTTGCGATTTTCATTGTATTGCCAAACAAGTTTGTCTAATTCTTCTTTGGCTTGCAATGCATGGGCTTCATTATTGAAAAGTCATTCCTGGTCGACTTGTGTGCGAAGGTCGTCGATGGCTTTCTGAGTTTTTGGATCGAGTGATGCATAGAGTTTGGCCAAATGTCTTTTTTTCGTGTCTTGGCCACCTGGCTGTTGTTCAAGCGAGTTCCAGATGAGCATGAATTTGAGTGTTTCAACTGATCGGACGACATAATCGACATAGGACTGCATGGCATTTTTGGGACCTCGGGTGGTCAAGAACTAGAAATGGGGAGGGGTTATTTACTTGACTAGGATGTATTGGATGGTTTTACTTGCCAAATCACGATGGTATAAATTGTCTTGGACCAAGTAAGTGTCCTGTTTAGCAGACATTGTACATATCGAGGTGAGGGAGGGCATGGGTCCCACAAAGCCAGAGAATACATCATTCTGTGTGTGGTGAGATTAGCTAGATTGAATAAAGAAAGAAAGGAGATGGACATGCCCAGACTTGAAGCAATGCTGCCTCGTATCCATAGATGAGTTGTCTAAAGCTCGCATTTTCTTGTTCTTCATTTGTTGCATCCGAGGGGGAGGTGAGGTGTTCAAAAAGGGCTTTGGGGGATGTGCAGCTTTTGTCTTTTTCTGTAATAACAAGAAATCGTGCACGAATTGCAGAGGGAGTTTCAGACTCTGCACAAGCAGGTGTGCGAGAACGAGAGGGAGCAGAAGGCTTGCGAGGATGAGGTTGGGGGGAGCGAGACCGAGAACGATGGGATCGAGAGCGAGAGCAAGGAGGAGGAGGCTTGTGAGGATGGGGGGAATAAGGCTGAGAAGCAGAGTGAGATCGAGAAGCAGGGCGAGATCGAGAAGCAGGGCAAGACTGAGAAGCAGGGCGAGACTGAGAAGCAGGGCAAGACCGAGAAGCAGGGCGAGAGTGAGAAGCAGAGCGAGAGCGAGAAGCAGAGTGAGAGTGAGAAGCAGAGCGAGACCTAGAATGTGGAGAATGAGAGCGAGATTGAGAGCAAGGCTGAGAACGATGGGAGCGAGGACGAGAACGATGGGAATGAGACCGAGAATGGCGAGAGTGAGGGTGTGAATGGGGGGTGCGAGAACGAGAGCGAGAGGTGACAATGTAGTCGGCTGTCATGTTTGCCTGGTAGACGAGTTCCTGAACAAGTCCAATAAACTTGTTGTGGGTATTTGGGGAGGGGTTGAGTGGGCATTGGGCGATATTGGAAGCCAGGGCAGCAATGGTCGACATGCGGTCGACGAGGCTTCCATCTGGCTCAAAGTCATCAGAGCTCATGTTGAGGGGGGCACAAGCAACAAAAAGTTTTGTCATGAACAACTAAAGATTCGTTTGGCACGTGACCTTTTTTTGAAACGACGGGACTCGAACCCAGGTATCGGTCCGAAGTTGCGGGTTCGATCCCTGTTGTCGGTTCTCCAGGTGTAATTGGAAAGCAGTCTTTTTCATAAAGTTGGATTCAGCAGCCTTTTGCTCATCCCTGCCACTCACTTTTCAAGTGTTTTACATGAATTGCAGCAAATTCCTCCCTATAGACTCTTTTAGTTTCAACTAGAAGCACTAGGAGGGCATCTGGCCAGTACTAGTTGCTCACTGCCTCTGCTCACAATTGGTGATCATGTAGAACATCCCAATTTTTTGGACTCTGAGGCTCAAGCTTTACTTAAACATTCAGCTTCCATGGTCACAGCCTCCTCTGTACCATCTCAACCTTGCCATTTCAAGCTTTGTGTTTTGTAGTAGTTCAAATCGGCAATGACTTCTTTCAGCAGGTCAAGGCAGGTTATATATCTAACCCAGTCAAAATTAGGGGCATTGCGGGCCCCTGCAGAGAAACCAATTTGGACAATGGCACTAGGATTGTCCATCTTATACCATTTATCAGGAAGGGTTGCATTGTAATCAAGATGGTAGCACTTACTCGGCAATTGTGACAGATGTCAACAGATTCATCAATAATGCCATTGACTGAGCCAAGTACTGTTTTGTTAGGGCAGAATTCATGGAAGATGTAATACACTTCCTCTCCATCAGAATCATGAAATAGGTGGCCATTATCAACAAGCACATCATGGTCAAGGAGAGACAGGTCGACTTTCATCAGGGGATGGTAGGGGTTGCAAGGGTCTTTTCAGTCGCCCAACATGAGATGTTCCTCCCATTGATTTTGAATCACATCAGTTTCGTACACCCAGTGGTTGGGAGGTGGATAAGCATTTTCATCACTGTAGATTTTGACAGTGGTCTTGGTGGCACTTGCAAATCTTGCAGTGTTAGTTTTGTGAGCATGAGCTGTGAAACCTAGGCTTTGGCCTAATCGCCTCTTCATCAATTTGTGACTGTTTGCCTTTTTCAGCTGAATTTTGCTGGCTTTGACAAGGCATTGGGGAATGGTATGCCTTTTGGCTGCACATGCATTAGTGATCTTGCACAGCCAGTCCTGCTTTACAAGCTTGTCATCACAGTAGGAAGAGGAGTTTTTGAGGGCCAGCAAGATGCAGGTGAGGAAGGACAAGCAGCCCCCATCGTTGGTAGCATCTTTGAACAACAAGAGAGCTGTGTCGTCTGCAGTGATAAACTCAAGTAGGCATTGGACAGATGTTTTGATGTCATGTTTTTTCATTGTGGAGATGATGATCATTGATGTCCTGATTATTTGGAGATAATCTATCGACCATGTTACATGGTGATTGTATGTAGGCCGAGGCTTTTCTGTAGGCGTGAGCTACCTAAACTACGTAACTGTCCCACTATTATGCCAATTTACATGACTTTCTGTTTGTAACACACAAGGGAGGGTAGGCCAAAGGTAGGTGGCAGCAGGTGTGTTGTTTCTTTGAAGGTGAAGGTGTGTGTGTCATGTGACTGTGTTGAACACATGTTGCTATGACCATTGCCACTGCCAGCTACCCTTCCTTGCTTTCCAATGCCAGGTGGATCAGTTTTTGCATTGTGCGCTAGGCACCTTAGTTAGGCTGGGCCCCTATGTGCATATGAATCCTTTCTGCTCTGGCAATACAGCTCTGCCATCCTTTCTTTTGTGCCACCTCACTTGGCCTTTTGCCAAAGCGATTGGTTTTCACATTGTGTGCTAGGCACCTTAGTTAGGCTGGGCCCCTATGTGCATGCGAATCCTTTCTGCTGTGGCAATCCAGCTCCATTGCCCTGCTTGCTTTTCCCTTGCTGCCCTGTTACCCCAGGGGCATGGTGCAGCTGCAGCACACCACATATGCTTTTTTTTGTTTTTCTTTCTTGGAATACTGTAGCTAACACCCCTGCCCAGCAGCATCCTCTACGTTGGCTGCTCAGATTTACTACTGGCACACATTGCCACCTTCTTAGGTGACAAGAGCAAATCTGGCCCAACCTTAGCCCAGATGCAAGCTACTTTTCATTCTCTCACCATATCCTCACTAGCCTATGTGCCCACCCTGCTGCATCAAGCCCCAGCTCTTCCCTACCCCCATGCCCTGCTGCAAACAATTCCTTGCACAGCATGAGCTGCCAAGTCTAGTTTGCAGATTGCAAACAAGAATCCCTGCTGCTCCAGGTCCCTGCACTCCCTTGCCCCATTCTCTCCACTTGTGCCTTCCCTGCAAATCAGCCTTCCTGCTTGGTCTTGACATGCCCTGCCACCTCTTTATGCCCAAATGCTACCTGTCTGAAAAAGCCATGATAGAATGCATGTATCTCCCTGCAGCCTTCAACACCCCCACAAGGCAGTTCTGCTCTCAACTTTAACACCTTGGCCTGCTAGCTGTTGGTGGCTGCAGGCCCTGAAACTCAATCACTCATTTGAGGTTAGTGGTGATGCATGGAAACAGCATGTGCCACAGGGGGTTGCTGATTATAACATGCTGTGGGGCTTTACATGGGCTGATGGTGCATTACCAGGTGAACTTTTCATACTACCTACCGAGTCCCAGGAGCACCCAACTGGGTGCTTTTCATTGGGGCAAGGAGAATGGTAAACAGTAGTATACATGGCTGTGGTTCATGCTGCTATGCATGGGGCAGACCCCAATTACCTGGGGTCTGGCATGCTGCTTGTACTAACAAGTGGCGGTATTACCCATTTATGTAACAGAGATCTATGCAATACTACTTTTGCCACTGTGTAATAGAAAAGCTGGGATGCTTGAGGTAAAACTTTTCACAAATCTTCTTAAAATGCTGGAGGTGTGAGTGGAGGCAGGGCTGCAGTTGCAGGTGGTTGTGATGGAATTTCTCCTGGATTGCCTTGAATTTTGGAAGCTGTGTATGCAGGCATTGCTGAGAAAAAATCTTTGAAAAGAGAAAATGAAGAGATAGGCTGCTGTTACTTTTTCATCACTTCCCCTGCAGGCCCTTTTGATATCTGCTGCATGGGTCATGTGCAGCTTGACATGGAGCAGTTGGCAGGTGCACACATCTGAAATTGTATGTTTCCAAATGTCTTCAATATCACTGGCACTATTGAAAAATGATGGTCAGATTTAGAAATGAATAATGGCCTTGCGCTTGCCTGAAATCCCCAGCAGGACAATGGAATCCAGTGTTGTTGAGTTTGACCATCTGCAGCTCCAGTTCTTTCCAAGGCAAGTGCATGGATAAGCTGATGGTGGGGGTTGAGTCGGAATTATGCGAGGCAAATAAAAGAACATTACAAATGGTGGTTGAGTTTTGCAATAGTTGCAAACACTGGCAATGGGACCAGGTCGCAATGTATGTAGCACTCGCACTTGCAGCAATGAAATCCAGACATGCAGCCTTGTGTGATCACTTTGTCAGTGACCTAGAAAGAAAAGAAAAGGTAAAAAAAAAGCCTTCAGTGAATCGAAAATGCTGTCCTTGTATGTTTCAATTATACGTTCAGCAAGAGCTGGGGCAACAATGTATTCGAGCATAGCCAGTCACATGGTGGCAACAGGAATTTGAAGGATGTCGATTTCCTCAGATTCCTCAACTGGTGGGCCAGAACAATCAGCTGGAATGTCACCATCATTGGTGACAGCTTTGGCTCCATCAGGATGGTTGATGTCTTCCCTCGTCTTTCTGCCTGGTCGGCAAACCATGTTGTTGAGCAGCTGGTTGTACTTTTTGACATGCACATCGAGTTCCTCATCTTCGTCTTCTTCATCTTCAGCTGCAGCCGAATTTTCAGCCTCCTGTTCTCACTGCAGCACATGGGTGAGCGAAGCCTTCCAGATAGATGGGTTGACCTCTGGGGACCACTGGATGTTTTTGCTGAGATCTGCAGCAACTTGGGCGACGTGGGCAGATGTTTTCATTGCCTCAACACTGGCTGCATTCTGCTTGTCTGTTGTCCCAGAGGCACCCTTGTTGACCATGGAGTGGGTTCGGTTCTTTGCAAGATCCCTCCTCTCTTTTCATGCCCAAAACTTGCGCAACATGGCAATCTCGGTGTACAGCCCTGTCAATTCAGCCAGCATGCCTGCGGCCTTTGATTTTTGGCCTGGCCAAAAGAGGATGTGAGTCTTCAGGCGGCGCAGCTGGGGGTTGGTGCCCATAGTGAGGCTGTAGATCCTGTTTGCATTTGATTGCAAATGCTTGTAACATTTGGCATTGGTGGTAACGTGCAACAAGAAGACCTCCCATGCATGCTCGATCTTTTCTTCAAGCTCTTGAACTTCTGTGATCTCTGTTCGTGGGCAACAAGAACTGAATAAGATAAAAATGAAACACCCACCACTAGTAGCTGCATTCTACATCAATGTATTTATGGCAGCTGCCATGGCAAAACTTGATCAGCTACTGTGAATGAATGAAATGCAATGCATTTCATTCAATACAGCACCAATTTCATTCAAAATAATTCATTCTGTTTCATTCAAAATAATCCATTTCATTTCATTCATTCACAGCAACTACTTGATTTTTTATTTCATTCCACCACAGCAACTGTTTCATTCATCGCTTTATTGTTAGAGCTGGGAAAATGATTATGTAATCAATGTAAAATATTAAAGTGCCTTATTTGGCAACAGTATGCCTCAAATGCAAAAGTACTCCCATATGGACTCCCACACCACTGCAGTAGGGCACAACACATATCAGGCATAATTGTATATTATTTCCTTATTTAGGTGTGTATTAAAACATCGAAATTGTTGCCTGAAAGAATGAAATAAAAATGAAATAACTGCCTGGAAAGAATGAAATAAAAATTCCATGGCAATGAATGAAAAACAGTCGCCAGGAATGAATGAAATGGAAGAATAAAGCAAAAAATGAAACAGTTGCCATGGTGGAATGAAATAAAAAATGAAACAGTTGCCGGGAATGAATGAAACAGAATAAATTTCATTCTTGTGAGTAGAAATGAAGAAAAAATTGAAATGAAACAAAAAGTATTTCATTCTCAACGGCAATGAATGAGAATGACTTGGAATGAAACAGGTGCCATGAATGAATGAAAATTCATTTCATTTCATTCATGGCAGCTAAGCAGGAACTTCTATGGTACATGCCAGGTTTTACATGATGTAAATGGCAGCTACTAGTCATCGGTAGCACAAACCTTGAACTCCCCAAAATATACCATAACACTCCAAGTATTTTCGCCCTTTCAAAACACACGAACATGTTTTAATTTGATAAACTATGGGTGGAATGAGCGACGAGTGGCAGAAATGAAAGGAGGAGACTTGAAAATCCCAATTCTCACCATTTTGCATGTGTCAGTCCTTGGGTCGATACCCTCGCTGTGGTAAAAAAGGTGATGCAGAGTCTAACCATGTATTGGATTACAACCTGGCAACCAAATTGTCTTGTTGAGGAGAGCATGGTGTTGAAAACCATGGCCAAATGTTTGCAGCTGAGGTTGATAGTGGCGATCAAGTTTATGCTTGTGAATGACTAGCACATATCAGGTCAAATTCAAGAGAGAGATATATGCTACTTACGATGCATGACCTGGTCTCAGAGGTAATTGTAATATCCATACTTTATGAGCAGTGCCTGGCCTGCCCTTATATGAGTGTTGGCACAGATATACTTGAGGATGTTCCAAAAGCTTTCTGAGCGACCATTGAGACCCAATTTTGTTGTTTGAGAGTGAACATCCCAAATCAGAAAGATTGAAGAGCTAAACTGAAAGAATGTGAGAGAAAAAAAGTGATGAATCAATCAGACAAAAAAAAAGAACCTTTTTATACAAAAGAAGGAGGGTGTTTCAAGCTGTGATCATTTGTTGGTGAGCTTGGATGAAATGGTTGCAATTTTCATTGTATTGCTAAACAAGTTTGTCTAATTCTTCTTTGGCTTGCAATGCATGGGCTTCATTATTGAAAAGTCATTCCTGGTCAACTTGTGTGCAAAGGTCGTCGATGGTTTTCTGAGTTTTTGGATCGAGTGATGCATACAGTTTGGCCAAATGTCTTTTTTTTGTGTCTCAGCCACCTGGCTGTTGTTTAAGCAAGTTCCAGACAAGCATGAATTTGAGTGTTTCAACTGATTGGACAACATAATTAACATAGGACTGCATGGCATTTTTGGGACCTTGGGTGGTCAAGAACCAGAAATGGGGAGGGGTTATTTACTTGACTAGGATGTATTGGATGGTTTTACTTGCCAAATCACAATGGCATAAATTGTCTTGGACCAAGTAAGTGTCATGTTTAGCAGATATTGAGCATATGGAGGTGAGGGAGGGCATGGGTCCCACAAAGCCAGAGAATACATCATTCTGTGTGTGGTGAGATTAGCTAGATTGAATAAAGAAAGAAAGGAGATGGATATGCCCAGACTTAGAGCAATGCTGTTTTGTATCCATAGATGAGTTGTCTAACGCTTGCATTTTCTTGTTCTTCATTCATTGCATCCGAAGGGGAGATGAGGTGTTCAAAAAGGGCTTTGGGGGATGTGCAGCTTTTGTCTTTTCTGTAATAACAAGAAATCATGCATGAATTGCAGAGGGAGTTTCAGACTCTGCACAAGCAGGTGTGTGAGAATGAGAGTGAGCAGGAGGCTTGCGAGGACAAGGTTGGGGGGAGCAAGACTGAGAACAATGGGATCGAGAGTGAGAGCAAGGAGGAGGAGGCTTGTGAGGATGGGGGGAATAAGGTTGAGAAGCAGAGTGAGACCGAGAAGCAGGGTGAGACCGAGAAGCAGAGCAAGACCTAGAATGTGGAGAATGAGAGCAAGATTGAGAGCAAGGATGAGAATGATGGCAATGAGACTGAGAATGGCAAGAGTGAGGGTGTGAATGGGGGGTGCAAGGACAAGGAGAGGGAAGGCAAGAATGAGAGCAAGAATGAGAGCAAGAGGTGACAATGTAGTCAGCTGTCATGTTTGCCTGGTAGACGAGTTCCTGAACAAGTCTGATAAACTTGTTGTGGGTGTTTGGGGAGGGGTTGAGTGGGCATTGGGCAATATTGGAAGCCAGTCGACAAGGCTTCCATCTGGCTTGTGGTGGGGAAGCACAATGCCTGTAACTCATTTGACCAGATGACTAAGTGCACAGCTACACAAATCCTGCCAATTGTCTCATTTTATCTTCGCAAGTGATTTCCTTGTGTTCCACCACAATTTCTAGGCTGGTAAAGGCATAACAAATGTATGTATGTTAAATCACAATGTGAATGTGTGGTAAAATTGAATTGGCAAGGGGGTGTCAGGATCATAATCCTGGACTGGGGGCCAGTTGGTTGGTTGGGCCATCAGGCTGTTAATAAAAAATTGAAAGCTCAAAATTTTGGCCCAAAAACATTATAGACAGCCTTCCTGGTGGATAAAGTTTACATAATAGATACTAGAAAGCCTCAAGATGCACTAAATGCCTCAGGATGCACCAAAAACACCGATGAGACTGCTTACATAAGGCAATAATAACATGGGACCATTGATAACTTTTGTTAGTGTGGGAACCATTAACGACCTTTGGTTATAATTTGTTAGCATATTCCAGGGCATGTAAACTCACTGTGAGATTCCACAGAACAGGATGCTCACACCGTGACTCATTCTGACACCAACGAGGTTCATAGGCCATCTATTTCAAGCTTGGAAATTGTCAACAAGGAAACATGAGGTCGGTGCAAAAGATGAAAACGTAAGGTTGTTGACATTGGAGGATTAGAGGATTGCTTTTGTGGATCCCGAGCAGAGCTAACTGCCAACAATGTGATCCAGTGGAATGTGAAACTCTGTGGGTAAGTAAACCTACTTTCTGTTAGGGGTTCAACATAAAATGTACTTACATCTTCACGTCAAACCATTCTAATATCATCTCATTTGTGTTTACCATGCGCAGGTGCCCATGCATTGGGTCTGTGATGCATATTCAATGTCAAGAGGAGGACCAGGAGGAAAGGCTGCACGGCGGTGATGTCATATTTCCTAAAGTAGACACATGCCTGATTATGTTGGGTGGTTGGTTCAGCCCAGCGCTCACTACCAAAAAAATCGACCCTAGGTCTTTTTTAAAAATCCCGACACCCCCTTGTGAATTGGTGACTATGCTAGGTCATCATGATAGTCAGAGTCTTGTCAAAGTCATAAAATGAGTCTCATTTTCCAGCTTTTTATCTGCTGTTTGTAGTCGAATAGTTCATGCTCAAGGTCATGTAAATTTTTCCAGATGCAAACACAATGTTTTCTGCTTCCTTGTCACATCTGTTGGGCCAACAAGCAAGATCTGCCTTGTGCTGAGATTGAATTTGTGCATTGGAGTGCTGCTTTTGGCCTTTGTGCAATGCTTCACATCATCAAAAGTTGCTGAGAGTAATTTGGGTAGTAAAGATAATGTAGAGTGGCCTGGATAGTCATATGAGAATGTGTATTATCAATGCATTGACATGACACAATGCCTCCTTTACATGATTACATAATCTAATTTAGTGTGTTTTGCAGGTAGTTTTGAAAACAAAATAACCACTTTGCACAGCAGATGGGCCTTACACTATATAGTAAGACTACACTTTATTTTTGATTGTTCAGGGAATGGCCTGAGAATATCAAAAATAATCATACTGCTCCCCATAGATCAGGGAGATATCTGCACCTCACCATTGACTTGTTTTGGAAATTCTCAGGCCATTCCCTCAAAAACTTGTTGTAGTCCCAATTTGCATATCAGATATTGTGCTGGGTCACGCAAAATATTGATTTTCCTTGATTCTTGTCAAGGGGTATGTCGGAATTTGCTGGGGGACATGACGTAGGGGGGGAGGGGGAGAGCAATTGAGCCTTAAACGAATTTTTTGTTGATACTGTCCAACAGCTTTGGAAGGCCAACATCAATGATTAGAACATTTTTCATCCTTTTTTTACCCTTTTCTCACACAACTCAAAGGAGGAAAAGGTCTTTGACTTGTCCAACTTCATGTTCTCACTATGGAAATTGTGAATCCACGGCATTGAGTACTCGTTATTGTGTGACACATGCAAAATCAATGTAAAAATTGGCTTCTGTGGAGACACAAACATGTCAATAGCACAAAACTATGATGCCTCACGGCTCCACCCATGCTTGAGCACAAGAAATTCACGACCTACCTCAATGCCTGAAGGAATGGCTGATCAGTGATGATTGTCTTACCCAATATGCTGTACATCTGCACTTTGTTGAAGTTTGAGCTTGAGGATGGTGATGGGTATTTTTTTGACCAAATTCTCAACCAGATAATTGGCTTTGGTATGACACCTGAGGTTATGACAGGCATGAACCTCATGGGATGGATGGATTTTGGAAGGACACTGATATAAATAGAACTCAGGGACCAGCTAAAATAGAAATAGATACCTAATTAGGATGGGAGGGGAGGGGGGGACAGTCAAATTTGACCTTAAACGAAAAATATAACGTCGTGTACTAAACGAATTTTTTACATACCCCTTGATTCTTGTCCATGTATAGGGAGACCAAATAACTGCAAAGACAAATTGATCTCGCAGGCATTGCGCCTCCCCACTCATAGTCATCGGAGCTCATGGTGAGGGGGCACAAGCAACAAAAGTTTCAGAACATGCCAACACAAAGATTTGTTTAGCACATGACTTTTTTTGAAACGATGTCGAACCCAGGTATCGGTCCGAAGTTGCGGGTTCGATCCCTGTCCTTCATTTTTATGCTACATCTGATTGATATTCGTACAGGCATCTTGAAAATCTTTCATCTTTTATTGTCGTGAGGAGGAGGGAGGGAGGGAAGGAGGATGTTGTTGCCCCTTGTTTGGTTATTGTCTCCGCCTCTCTCCTTCTCTCCTTAACTTTCCAACTGTTTTAGACGAATTGCAAGCAAATCCCTCCATATAGACTCTTCGAAGACTCTTTTGGTTTCAACTAAAATACTCGGAGCCGCCTGGCCAGTACTAGTCGCTCACTGCCTCCGTGCTCACGATCGGCGATCATGTGGAACATAGCAGTTTTTTGGACTGTGAATCGGCTCGAGGTCTACTTAAACCTTCCATAGTCGCAATTTCCTCTGTAGCATCTCATAACCTAGCTATTCCAAGCTTCAGGTTTTGTAGTGGCCCACCAGAAATATGAGTAACCACGCACCCATCGCTGTCGAAATTATCTGGTTTACACCGTCGGAGGAATACCTCGCGGATCCCGAAAAAATGCTTGCTCCTGTTGGGAAGATTTCCTCAGAAGCTGGCATGATTGCGTGAGCACACCCCTTCCGTCAACTACAACTGGCTTTTGTTGAGATAGCTTGCATCCAGCGCAAAGTATGGCCTCGATTCGGAACGCCAACGAACGGCGGTGTGGGTCTTTGGTAGGTCTAGTAAAGTCCCCAGCGTAGACATATTTATTTAACCTACGCGTATCAGGTTGGCAAAGTCTAGCGCATCACCGCCGTTTCCTAGAGGGCGATCATTATGTTGACGCGATGCTCCCCATCCTCGGAGCCATCATTGGACCCTCTTCTGGATTGACACAAATAGTTCTTGACGATAGTTCTGAATTCCTCCAGGTTATTTCTTGTCTCCACACACAGTTTATCTACATAACTGCCCTCCCGCCACACCACGACCATTTGGCCCCAATCGTCGCGACTCTGAAAAGGTTACACCAATCTCTACCTGGGTGTTGCGGCTCAAGTTGGGGTACATCAGTCAATGGGGATGTACAGGTTGGGATGGTTGGGTGGAGGAGCATAGAGGTAGGTGCCAAAACAGCTCACACGTTTGGAAATTCATTGTGTTTTACGAGAATAGGATTGTGCGCGTGCCTTTACGGGAGAGTTAGCGCCAACTATCAAACTCTTAAAGGGACTTAGCAGGCTCGAGATTCGGTATACTACCTTAAACCCCAAACCGTCAAAGTATTGCGACACCGAAAGTGAGTGACACACGTCTTCGTCCTATAACTACTATGAAGGAGTGCAGATTGTCTCCCCCGACCTCGAAATCCTGAGGACGAAGTGACCATTTTAGGGAGCTAGTCTCGCTCTCGGAGTTAACCCATACATTATTGAAATCAATTTCGAATCTTTTGTCTCCGGTATCAATACAACAACACACGTTCGCAGGACCATCCTTGTATAGAATTTTTAAAACATGCAGGCGGATAACTTTGGCAATATACACCGGAGAACTCAAGGATGTTTCACAAAAATTTCGGGCCAGACCCTCCTCAATTGTTCGAGACTCGCGATCTTGACGACACCATTTTCCCTCTCGGTGTGACCTTTCTCGCCTTCCAAGTTATCTCTTTCACAAAAATGCACACATTTGGCCCACCCTCACTGGGCTACAGCACGCGCAGCGTCGACATGACCACGGTTATCGTCGACGAAATAACACTTTGATGGATCAGATAGGCCCGCTTCAAGCTCCATTGCCTGATAATTGTTGCATTGAACCAAATAGTCTTCTTGCAAAGAGAGAAAGAACCACGTACCATTGCGAAATATTCTGCTGCTGGTTCACAGACGAAATCTTTCACTCGATAATCGCAATAGACAATCCCCTCCACAAGGTCGTCAAGCTTGAGAATCCGGAGGACGAGCTTCGCATGCTGAAAAAGCATTAAAACTGTAGACGCTGAAGAAATCAAACAAACTGGCAAAAAGGCGTTAGTCAACCCCCAAACACGAGCTTTCGATTGATCAAAATAATTTGCGGACACTTGGATTGAATTTCATCTTGTCTTCGAGGGGAAGCGGTACATCAACTTTACGATCGAAATCCAAAGGGTCTAAAAACAAGACTTAGTAGGATACTTATGGCTTTTGCGTCCTCATAAGCGTCGACTTTACCGATGGCTTGGTGCCGAACCAATCCACGAAGGGCGAGGCTGTACTGTTGCGAATATCGGGTCGTAAGTTTGTCCGCCTCTTCGTTGCTGAATCCAAGGTTCGCAACATAGGCTGGAATTTATTCAACGCGTCACGCATTTAGAATGTGTTGGTTTATAAAGCCTCACCACGGATTTGAACACCCATCTCCTGCTCGATGTTTGCGTCGCCTAGTACCCTATCGACACGTCCGTTTGTGGTTGCTGAGTCCCCCATAGCAAGTGAGATAATGGCTGAGATCGTTAAGAGTGCAACACAATAAGCGCCCATGGAACTTAGACTAGACCCTATAAAAATGCATCACCTAGGCGCCTCGCGGATACAATATATAAAGACGTTTTGATTTTAGCCATGTACACCGAGAGTGGGTTGTAATTGGTATTTATGAAAACTCATGGTACAGGCTTACAGGAATATTTCTCATCGTTTCTGGCATGTGTATGTTAAAAGTTGTTAGTCCTTATTTGTCCATAAACGCGTCCAGGGAGGAGCACGTGCAGTGACTGTGTTTCAATTAGATCAGAGCTACGCCAGCAGCCATGATACCCAAGTCCATGCCGAATTTGTGCAAGCTCGTCAGAGAAGAGATCGCATTTGTGTCAACTTCGTAAGCAGCTGGCGAAACAATCCTGACAGACTGAAGTCGAGCGACACTTATGGGTGTACTCCCCGCCGACGAAGAAGTTGTTGAACGATGCCACCGCCATTCAAGCATGGCAGCGAGAGCTTGACTAGGGCAGGAAATGGGACCTTCATAGTCAAAATGTTTGAGGTGCGGCAGAAGAACGTCTGGTGGATATTCTTCATCCATCTCAGAAGGACATAATTTTGTAAGAAACTTCTCCGACAAGCCGATGCTTGTTTCAGTACTCCAAGATAATACAGCCAGACGAAGCTCCGTAAGGGTTGGAATGACTTCGAGACACCTCAACAGATCGTCCTCGGCAAAGATACTGCGTTCGATGCAGAGCCGCTGGAGGTGGCAGGAGGAGCGCGAGACGAGGGATATAAGTGGACGAAGGGAAACAAACTCGGTGCCGCTATAGTGAAGCTTGATGTCGCGGATGGCAGGGAGTGAAATAGTATTCAATAACGACATTGCGGCTCCTTTGATTAACGTAACGGCGAGTTGCTTCAGTTGGGAATGAAGGATTTGTGAGGTAGGTGGAGGGAAAATATCAGGAGAATAGACGTTCTCGAGGTGACAACTTTCCAGACTTGGAGACCGACGCAAGATTTTGACGCATTCCGCAACTGTGAGGAACTGCGTTCGGAATTGCTTCAGTTGGTCCCAAGGTAACACCATGGAGGAGAAATCGTAGCCCGATAGGTCCACGGCGCACAATCGGGGTGCAGAACGAAACATGTCTGGAGGATGGCTGAACGTAGATATAGTGCCTTTCGGAGGACGAACGGAGACGGAAGTGAGATTAGGGAAGTGGTTATTTGCCAGTATATCATGGCACTGTGGCGGAAGAAGGCAGTCAAGGGAACCCCAATGCATTGAACGTGTCACAAGGACATCCATGATAGCCCTGAGTGAGTAAAAGATAGACTCGTGCTCGTCATCAGACGTAAGCTTGATGGAGAGGGAAGAGGTTCCTGCTCTAGCTAGCCATTCTTCGAGAAGCTCGATTTGGGCGTTATGCGCTTTGCGAGAGACGTGTAAGGAAATAGAGCTCCACAGAAGAGGGGTCGACCATGCGATTTCCCGCCACTCCCCACAAATTTTTCCAAAAAATAGCGGAGTAAGAACAGTGTTGTTATGCTGCGCATCTTCGATTGTCGATTCCATGGGTTCACAAGCCATACGAAATATATCGGTGATGATTTCCGGCGGCAGACGCGTGGTAGGAGACAAGGAGTTGATCCTTCTTCTCAGTCGAGTTCTTTCACGGGCCAACTCCTCCATGAGGTTCTGAACTCTTGCCATCTCCGCCTCCAACTCTGGAACCTAAATAAAGACGGGCGTCAAAAAAGGTGGTTGAAAATGAACACAGCTTACCGTTAAAGATTGTCTGGGAGGAAAACTGGACCAGACTTTAACCTCGGCTTTGCATCGTTCACAATAAACATCAACCATTTCGTGAATGGTTAAGATTCGGTAGATAATAGCACGGATTACCCCCTACAGCTAGGAGATATTTAGAGACAAGCAGGAAGAGCTTGAAAGAACGTACAAGTGACCCCATATTGCAAGAAAACTCTTGGTCAAGCATGTTTTCAACGTGTCTGCATTCGCCCCTACCGCCTGGAGCCAGGGCGAACACCGCGGGATTTAATCGCCAACATTGAGCTGGAAATGTGACTATCATGGGCAAAAGAGAGGACAACAAATATGTTCCAAACACACAATCTGAACACGCCTGGCTTCGCGGTGGGTACAACCTTCAGCTTCACTCGTCCCCAGTCACTCAACAGTCACTAGTCCCCATTCATCGAATTCGTTCAATCAGCGGCTGCGGGGTTCTGGCTCGCCGCCTACAAATATACACATTTGCTGTACCAATTCCGTCATGGGGCCTGTAAAAACGTGTTCTTATCGGGTTTTCAACCTTAGAGTCCACGGGGATACTCGACCATGACCTCTCTTCATACGTCAATTATCGTCAACTTCGATTTCGCTCAATTTTGGCCACGTCATTGATAGTTCGGGGAAATTGATCGGACAGCCGGATGAGCCTGCATGCGAGCAGCTATCTGACAGCCTGCACGGTGCATTGCACGCTTCCATGAATCCCGCTCAAGGTACTTAAGTGCCACTGGGATGCCAGTAACCACCTTTCATCCTTGTCTGACCACCATGTCTCAGGGGACCTTCGAACTCTTCCCAGCTCCCTCCAACACTTCGGTGAAGTCTCTTCTTCCGACTCCCCGTATCTGGCCTGGTGCATCCCCAGCAGCCATACACAGACTCCGTTGGATTTTAGAGGACAATCATATCCAGCATCAAATTTTCACGAACAGCTTGCGTTTCCACAAGTTGAGAACTTTCGTTTGATAGTGGCTCAATTCTAACGCTTTGCAATTTTTGATAGCCACACCGCTCACGCTGCACTTGCTCGGTGGTCTCTTGGTGCCGACGAAACAATTCTGGATGCATCCTATCAAAGGACGGCTTCGATTACCCTTCCTTTGTCTCGCTCACCGCAGACGATCTCAAGAGACAATTGGAAAGATTATTTGGCGGATACCCAGTGCGTGTATTGGAGCAGCATAGTGTTCTTTGAGCTTGATAAATTACATTCAGATATTACCACGCATACCTTACGTTTTTCATTGAAGAGCTAAAGCAAAAAGGCGTCTCCGAGGTTCTAGAGGAATATCTATTCGCCTCGAGCTCCAACTTCGTGCCCCTTAGAGGCAAACAACCGCAAATGCTAAACAGGTTTCTTGATGGTCTCATGCATCCGATGATTCACGTGGGGCATGGGTTAGAATTCGGATTGCCGGGAACAGTCGCCGAAGGTGCTCACTGAGTCCCGTTATCAGTGGCATTAATTGAACGTTAACTACAGGACTTGCTATGGCCGCCGGACACTATGCGCTATCTACTCAGTTGATCCCTGAATCACTGTTCAGTCACAGTGCTGAAGAGCTTGAAACAGATGTCCTAGCCCAGGCGCACCCTTCGGCGAACAAAGTTGATGCTTTTACCGTATTTGCGCGTATAATTGCGGATGGGCGATTTGAAACGCCGTTAGATGTTGAACCACCAAGACTGTATGCAAGCCTGATGAAGCGACATGGGACTCTTGTCAAGGAGTATGTTGACCAGTGGAACCTCCAGGGCAATGTTGTAGATAAGATTGAGGAATTGATGTGGATCACCGTCACTATATATGGCGTTGGAGGCTACACAAGCGACACGGGCTTCATTCCCGACTTTTTCTTGTATGTTGCTGACCTCCTCGACATGGCCATTACTCATCTTACAACCTAGCATGCACTTCGTCACATCCGCCATCTTTTTGCCTTCGATTCTGGCTCATTTAACGCCGCAATCTCAATTGCTCCTCCTTCGGTCATACTTCTCCGTCTGCATTGGCTGGTATGTATGGCGTCGCAGGCCAGCCATCAACATCCGTCATTTTTACAAAAGCACTGAAGCCGCCAGCGGTTCTTCCGACTCTCCACAAGCCAACACATACAATTTGTGGTCGCCGATATTGGGTGCATCAATGACACATTCTGATGATCATCTACCCAAGCTCCAGCGCACTCTGAACCACTGCTCAGAACTCTTTGGTGACAGAAAAGCAGGATACTTTTCGAACTCTGAGTTGAAGGGCGCAGAGCTCCTCGATGGGTCGCTATTTTTGAGGGTAGCGGAGTTGACTGCAACACGGATGGAATCACTAACGGAAAACGAGCCACCCTGGAACAGGTCTTGGAAGTTGTAATACTATGCCAACATCCTGTACACCTAGTCTCTCCTAGACAGACTTCGATATATGTGAAGTCGCACCTTGGTTCACGATATATCTGTACACCCTTGTTTCCAGATTTTTGTTTGAACTTTTTCTTGTCTTCCAACCCTTGTCCAACCTCTGTCGTCGGTTGCGTTTTCTGAACCCGCTCACTGTCGCTCATCCCGCGCAGTGTTTTTGGGAAGATATCCACTATGCATAATGTTCCTTATTCATCGGGAGGTCCCACTATATTTCAAACCGCAGCCCGGCATGGGCTCCACGTAACCTGATTATCATCTCCCTCCCGGTTGGTCATGCACTCACGGGGCCCCAAGATGCTTGACGTCAAGTATAACTAAGCAAATACTCGTTGGATGATAAAAGGTCGACTGGAGCGCTGACCGTCAGCGCTTCAGCGCTCAGCTCCAATACAAAGCTCATCCTCTCGTGACCATGTCGGGATCGGATGCCAAGTTTGAACTTTTCCCTGCACCTTCTCATCTTGACAAAGGCGGTCTTCTCCCTCCACGAGTCTGGCCAGGACGAACGCCAGCGTCTATAGCCACCCTCCGTCAAATTCTCAAGGACAACCACGAGAAATGGCACATTTATTTCAATACCCGAGGCTTCCACAAGTAAGTCGGTCAACAAGCTCGACTTCATTTATCACTAAGCTCGTAAATGGAACCTTTGTGATTTAGCCATGCTGCTCATACTGTGATCGCCTTGTGGGCTCTTGGCGCCAACGAGGAAATCCTCAATGCGGCATACCGATACGCGAGCTCCTACCTTCTCCCGTTGTTTGAATCGCCTGGCTTGATTAATGAGGGAAATTGGGAGACACACCTCGGCGATGAAAAGTGGGTTTGGCCAAACCGTCTTCGTACTTGCTTCGAGGACGCTGCTGATTGATATCTCTCTAGATATTACCAGGCTTACATCTCATTTTTCACTGAAGAGGTCAAGGCGAAAGGAGTCGATGCTGTCCTAGAAGAATATGTGTTTGCAACGAGTGCAAACTATGTGTCAGGACAGACGGAACAACCTCAAATGCTGGGCAGATTGTTGGATGCGGTCATTCACCCATTGATTCACGTGGGTTATGGCGTTGAATTTGGCCTACCAGGCATGGTGATTGAAGGTAAGTAATACCTCGCTTCCTATTTATCAGCGCACTTTTCTTATATCGTAACGCTCAACAGGGCTTGCCTGGACTGCGGTTCATAAAGGCTTTTCAACGTCCGTCTTGACCCAAACCCTTTTTTCGGAGCCCGCTCCTGAGAAGAAAGATCATCCAACACATGCGTTTACTGTTCTTGGACGTGTTATTTCTGATCCACGGCTGGCCAACAACGCTGACCCTCAGGTTATCAAAGAGTATGTTGATCAGTGGCAGCCAGAAGGTGATGTCGCCAAACATCTGGAGGAATTGTTGTGGGTCAACTCCTTGGTTTATGGAGTTGCCGGTTTGGAAGAGATTGGGCAATTTAATGCGGACTTTTTCTAGTAAGTCTATCTTTTTTTTTTGTTCTCAAAAACCGTGTTCATGTTGACGATTGATAGTATGCACCTCGTCACATCTTCCATCTTCCTCCCTTCTCTCTGCGCTCGTCTAACCGAACGGTCTCAAACGCTGTTTCTACGCTCATACTTTTTGATTTCTCTCTCGCTTTACGTCGAGCGTGGTCGGCCTGCGCTCGACATCCCTCGATTCTTCGCGAATGATACAACGTTGCATCCAGCTGATGACTCAACTCCTCATGCAGAGGGCTTGGTGTCATTGCCCAGCGGTGTTACTCCAAACCCGTGGCTGTCAGTGATCCAGACCTCATTGGTTCACCATGACGAGCATGTTCCCAAGTTGCAGCGTGCTCTTTGTTATCTCGCAGAACTATTTGGAGGAACTCCCGCTGGTTACTTTAAAAACACGGAGTTGAAGGATGCGGAATTAGTTGACGGGACGCTTTTTGTGCGTACAGCCAACTTGTCGGCGAAGAGGACGGGTCGAGGAGAGGTTCCTTCACGCGATGTGTGGGATCGAAGGGGATTTTTCCAGTTAAAAGCATGATTCTCCAACACCTCCAGAAGCTATATTCTTGTAAATTTTATGAATTTTGATTATACATTTCATGTCTGTTATGAAACGAATTGGAAACGATAGTTAAGTACTGATCCTGATGTGGTGAGGAAACAAGTGTCACATACGTGACAAGCCAGGTTCGACCTCTGCCAGTGCAGAATCCTCCTTTCCTAACCATTTACTGAAGGCAGCCAAGAATGGTGATACAAAGCACGGAAAGTTTTGAAAAGTGCGACTAATTCTACCTTTTAGGCTCTACGGACATCGGCAGCCATTCCAGCTCCTAGCGCCCGATCCTCCTTCATCTCGCAACCGAATGCCCCATCTTCATCTGCTAATCCTTCACAAATTCCCAATGCCAATGCGGCTATGCCGCCTGAACTAGAGCAGACATTATCTCTGCTATCATCGCATCGTTCTGTGCTCGGTTACATACTTGTCGCGCGGGGACACCATCCAAGCATAATTCGCCACTCTGGGGTCGTCTTTGAAGGTGAACAAGGGAAGAGATACGCTGCTGCCGTCGCGCGTATTGTGGAGAGCGTGCAAGGAGGCTTGGAAGAAGTACGAGGAGACGATGCGTTAGCAGCAGCGGGAGGGGATGCTGATGTGGTGCGTCACTCTTTTCGATCCTTGATTAACCAACTAATTAGTCGCATCTCTACTTCTTAGGATGAAGTGCGCTTTATGAGAATACGGACGAAGCGACATGAACTTATGATTTCCCCTGGTGAGCATCGTCGCTTATGGATGTTGCAACGCACTAATCTGGTTCGTTAGACGATCGGTATCTGCTAGCTGTGCTTCACGATCCAGCAACATGACACGACCTTTTTCACTCTTGTATACCCCTTATGTACGATGCATCCTTGTATACATTAATTGGGATTCCTAACCTTTCAAACGCCTTTGCTGTCAACGCCCATTTTGCGACTTTCAGTCAGATGACAGAGATACTCACTTGGTTCTCATTTATTTGTAGCTGGCTCAGCATGGCACATCAACCGGTGGACAACGAAGTGATGGTGTGTAAACCTCGATGTTCCCCAAACGATTATTTGTATGCTGATTATGGACCTCATCAGCAGGAAGTCCCCTTTCAAATTTCAAGAGTTGCTCTTCGCCTACCTTGTTCTACGTTGTTTATCACACCAGATGGAGCCAAACATCGGTCAACTGAAGTATGGTCTCACTGGTTTCAACGTCATTGCGCTGTCCCAGCACTCTTCTAGCCATGACCTCGACTTTGGATTTTCTCTTCCCTACCCCTTCCGCTCCCCCTTCCCCCCTCAGTCCGTCTCACGGATCTGGAATTTCACCACAATCTACAGGAGCTCTTCAGAAAGTACTCAAAGACAATCATGAAAGGTGGCACATATTCTTCAACGACAAACGTTTCCACAAGTTCGTATCGTACCATACGCCATTGTCTGGCAAATTGACGTACACATAGCCACATCACCCACCGAGCACTAGCCATGTGGAGCCTTGGAGCCGATGGTGCCATTATCGAAGCAGCTTACAAACTTGACAGCAGCTACCAACGCCCCGCATTCAAGTCTCCCAATGTTATCAACGAGCATAATTTCAATGAGCACCTCGGTGACGAGAGGTAAAATTGCACACAATACATAATAATACAACATTCATCAATTGGAGCAGGTACTATCAGGCGTATAGGGCCTTCTTCACACGATTCATACAAGACAAAGGCATTCCAGCTGCCGTTGAAGAGTTTATCTTCTCTCATAAAGCCAACCTTGGTCCTGATCCAAACCTTTCCATCGACAAGCGGCCTCAGATGCTGGATCGCTTCCTGTCTGGTCTTCTTCACCCAATAATACACACGGGCTATGGCGCCGAATTCCGGCTACCTGGAATGGTTGTCGAAGGTAATTATCTAAGCTTTTAGAATCGAAGAGCACTACTCAGATGATGATAGGTCTCGCAGAGACGGCTGTTCATGTACCAACGTCCACAGACTTGATTCCCGCCTCCTTGTTTGAGGATGCCGGCTCACTTGGTAACGTGGCTGCAAGTGCGGGAGAGGCCATTGGAAGCGCATTTTCTTCTACAGTGCACGCCTTTGATCATGCACTTGACACCGTCCTACCTAGATCTCTCCATCTCAACACGGATAGAACTGGTTCCACCAATTATCCTCCTGCGTCTGCACCCCCTCGCAACATCCGTCTCCGAAACAACGAGGGTCCACCTAACACACACGCTTTGACCATCCTCGCCCGGGTCTTACGAGATCCTCGCTTTGCCCCATCTGCAACTACTGAGAGGGACGACGCAAAGATTTACGCCGCGACAATCAAGTTACATGCACCAGCTATCGTAGAGTATGCTGCACAGTGGACTATCAATCTTGAGGCTCTTAAAAATGGGAAGGGTGAGGTCGAACGGAAGGTTGAGGAATTGGCGTGGACTGTCTGCCTGCTATACGGAGTCGCAGGTTGGACGGGGCGTGCAAAGGAGCGTTTCAATGCGGACTTCTTTTTGTAAGTCTATCTTTCGCCATTACAAGTCCTTTTTGTTGACGATTTCCACTTGGAAAGTTTGCATCTGGTCACATCTTCTACCTTCTTGCCGTCTATTCTTGCAATAGTGTCTCCACACTCTCAAGCCCGCTTTCTTCGCGCATATCTAACTGTTGTTCTGACCATTTACGTTGCCCGCGGACGCCCGAGTCTTGATCTCCCCGGATTCTTTTCCGAACCACTCGGGTTTACACCGCCTGGAGCTCAGCCAAGCCCACACGAGGGCGTCCTTCCCTCTGTCAATGCCAAAGAAGCAGTCACCCCAAACCCGTTCCTTTCCATTATTCAAACCAGTGTCGTTCATCCAGACGAGCACCTGCCCAAGGTTCAGCGGTCGCTAGCGACGTGGGCGCAGATGTTTGGCACCCGCGTATCTGAAGTCACGAAGCAGGGAAGACTCTACGTCAAATCTGATACACCCGGTCTCGCAGGGATGCAAAAGAAGAGCGACGCAGCGGCAGGAGGAGAAGCTGCAGGCCTGGGGATGGGCTGGGGGATGGATGCATTCACGGACGATGCTGAAGAGTTGGGTGAATATCATGCTTCTCATCTTGACGCGGAGGGCAGAGCTGATCATGAACTTGTGGCTACGGAACTTCCGGGAGCGGAGTACATTGATGGAACCCTTTTCGTTCGCACGGCTGAGTTGACTGCGAATCGGATGGGGTGGGTGAGGGAAGGACAGAAGCCGGGTGAATTTTGGGATTTCAGAGGATTTTATGGTGATGATGATAAGAAGGCGGTAAGAAGGGCTAAATTCTGATGTTCTTTGATCAGCGCGACATTTGCGTTGACGAAACTGTACAATAGCTGTAAAATAAATGGACGAGCTCAAAAACTCAAAAATTGTTTGAGGAATCCTGGATTACTTTGAAGCCAACCTGAGGGCGACGTCCACTTGCCAAGTTCCAACGCCAGTGACGTAAGTCAACCCCAACTTCCAACTCTTATGAACAAGTTTCAAATGTCATTGTACGATAATATCTTCGAAACTCTATCTGCAGAAAAAACTTGGTCGGCTCAAAATGAAGAGGTGCGTTTCTAGCAGCATATCGATCATTCATTTGGCTGAACGACGTGTATTACAGGTCATCCTTGAGCCTTTCACTTTCATTACCTCGAATCCAGGCAAAGAAATACGCGGCAAGCTTATCGAGGCATTCAATACCTGGCTGAACGTTCCGGCGGACAAACTGCTGGTCATTACAAAAGTCGTCAACATGCTGCATGCTGCTAGTCTCATGTGAGCACTGAAACGACAAAAGAAATCGGATCGACCTTGCCTCATCTTCTACAGGGTGGATGATATAGAGGACGATGCCTAGCTGCGGAGGGGAAAGCCAGGTGCGTTTGGATTGAGTACCTTCCGTTTTGCTCGAGGCTTACTGCCAGGTTTCTACTGCTAGCTGCGCACAAAATCTACGGGATACCCCAAACCATCAACACGGCGAACTATGTGTACTTCCTTGCTTATCAGGAACTTTTGACCCTCCGAAATAGTCCAACAACTTCAGCCCCACGAAAAGACCTAGATGCCCTGGTTACAGGTATGCCTTGTATCGTTTCGATGATGTTATTGGCCCATGTTTTTTTCTCCGTTAGAGGAGTTACTCTGTCTCCACCGTGGCCAGGGGCTGGAAATTCTCTGGCGGGATTCCCTCCAATGTCCTTCAGAAGAGGAATATATAAGTATGGTAAATAACAGTACGTGCAGTACATCATCTGTCACAATATCTAACTAACAATGTTCTTAGAAACTGGTGGACTGCTGAGGATGGGTGTCAAGATCATGATGGCTTGCGCTACTACAAACATTGATGTGTACGCTCATTGCTTACCTTCTTCCAACATCTCAAACCCAGTTAACGATTTGTCCCATCACAGCGACTATGTACCACTCGTCAACCTAATTGGAGTGTTTTTCCAGATACGTGATGACCTTATGAACTTGCAAAGCACAGAGGTCAATAAACTTTCGTGCCGCTGGAGTGTTTACATAGAAGACCTGATTGTTTTCTCCAGTACACATCAAATAAAGGCTTCGCAGAGGATCTCTCAGAGGGCAAATTCTCTTTTCCCGTGGTACATGGTATCCACGCTGACACCTCAAATCGTCAAATTCTTAGTACGCTTTACCCACATACTCTCCTTTCAATTTTGACTTATCCCAACCTTTACTACATAGATGTATTGCAGAAACGACCCACGACTCCGACGTTGAAAATACACGCAATATCATACCTGAAAAACCATACGAAATCATTTGAGTATACAGTATCTGTGTTGCGTATCATCGAGGCGAAAACGCGGGCTGAGATTGCAAAGTTGGGAGGGAATGTTGGGTTGGATGGGATCATGGGCCTTCTGCACGTGGACGAGACAACTATCGCTTGAGATGGCTTCGTGGTCCTCCACTCCTTTCGGGAACGCAGACGCATGATTTTGAAAACGGTCCTTTCGAAAGAGTGCGACCCAAGCTACCAACCCGTGGGTCCACACTCCCTTAACACAGACGTCTCATGTCCTCATCGATCGCTCGTTTAGCCAGGTCAGGGACATTCTTCAACTTCGTCACCTTGGCACTATAAATGGGATTATTTGCAGTCGCGTACTGTATATCCGTTTGGGTGGCAGAGAGCAAGCCCCAGATACGCGGGACCTCTGAATTCCACGATATGCGACAAGGTTCTATGCCTCACCATGGGCATGCACCGATTATAGTGTTCTGGGTAAAGCAAAGCAAGATATATAATAGATGTAGAAGTGTAGATATAAAAGTGCATACATAAAACTTCCCTAGTATCCTTACTGATGTCCTTGTTATTTCCCGCATTTACCTAACTATCAAATCCTTAAATTCGACATCTGAGTCATTGTTCAGCAGTCGCGAATCCGATTTGAAGGGCCGCCTCAAAGTCGGCAATGATGTCCTTGATATCCTCAATACCGACGGATACGCGGACAAGATCAGGCGTAACGCCAGACGTCAGCTGCTCCGCCTCTGTGAGTTGTGAATGCGTGGTTGAAGCAGGGTGGATGACCAAGGTTTTGGCGTCGCCTTAATTGATGTTTATTATCAGCAAATATACGCGAGGGGCGAAAGATGATACTGACCAACATTCGCCAAGTTGCTCGCAAGTTTCAGGCTGTCGACGACCTTGCTAGCGGTCTTGACGTCGCCTTTAACTCCAAAGGAGAGTGTCCCTCCGTAAGCATTCGGTCGCAAGAGTTTCCCTGCTAGCTTGTACGATCCGTGTGATGGAAGACCAAGATAAGAGACCCAGGCAACGTTGGGGTGTGTTTCGAGGTATCTGGAAGGGTTTGTGAGTCAGCGACAGACAGTGACTGTCATTCGGAATCATACTTGGCAAGCGCGAGAGCATTGTCGCTATGCCTTTGTCCCCGCAGACTGAGGGTCTCGAGACCTTGAAGAAGGAGGAAAGCGCCAAACGGGTTCAATGCTGGCCCGATGTCGCGGAGAAGCTTTGAGTGAAAAATTAGGTCTGGGAACATCAATTATGATAGATATGTGTGTACCTCTGTTCGAACACGGACAGCAAAGGCAACAGATCCAAACGTTTCGCTGAATTTGAGACCATGATATCCTTCAGCGGGTTCTGTGAATCCAGGGAACTTGCCCGATTTCGTCCAGTCAAATTTACCTGTTGCTCGTTCATTGGGCTGGTGATTGTGTAGATGAAGACTTGCATACCTCCGTCGATGATAACACCAGCAATTGTCGTTCCGTGCCCACCAATCCATTTAGTCGCACTATGGACTAAGACACTGTAAGTGTGGTGGAGCGAAGAGATCGAAGGTCACCGCGTACCAACAATGTCTGCACCATGTTGGATGGGCCTTGTCAGGTACCCTCCCATTCCGAAGGTGTTGTCGACGATCAACGGAATCCCATGATCGTGCGCGATCTGCATGACATCACTCATCAGAAATGTTCCGATGAGATAGAGTTGAAAATGAATTATGACGTGCCTTGGCCAAAGCAGGAATGTCGCTGACATTGTATTTGGGATTAGCGATGCTCTCAACGTAGATGGCCTTGGTCTTGTCGTCGATGGCAGCGGCGAAAGCTTCAGGAGTAGTCTCTGTAACCCATTTTACGCCAATGCCAAAGTGCTTGAACGTCACTGTTTGACAGTGGTAAGTTCAATTTGAATCACCGGGGAAAGTGAAGTCGAACCTTTGAACTGATTGTAAGTCTAGTCGCAGGACTGGGTTAACGGGGATTTAAATATATTGGAAGAGGTGCTTACTCCTCCGTAAAGGTATGACCTGAGAAGGAAATTAGCGTAAAGAGCGTAACAATGGTTGAGAGTAGCGTACGTCGAGACAATGTTATCGCCAGCTCCTGCAAGAGCGCTGATAGCTAGAAATTGGGCGGATTGGCCTGACGAGGTGGCGACAGCCGCAACACCTCCTTCAAGAGCCGCCATTCGGTTCTCGAAAACGTCCTAAAGGAGAAAGTTCTCAGAGGTCGCCAAAAAATCAGACATTGCGAGAACATACGACGGTGGGGTTGCCAATACGAGAATAGATATGACCGAGAGCTCTACCAGACCTTTGTGTCAGAGCAGGGAGAATGGAAAGCCTGACGTATGAAATACCTCAAACCAAAGAGGTCCGCTCCATGCTAGATAGACCAAATGTTAGGGGAGAATATTATAGAGAGCAGTTGGTGGTGACGCACAGCAGAGTCGTTGAAGACGAAGCTTGTAGATGCGTAAATTGGTACCGCACGAGCGTTGGTCGCAGAATCGGGAGTTTGTCCACCGTGGAGTTGGATGGTGTCAAATTCGGGTTCTCTGTAAGTACGTTAGTCGTCAAGATATGCCTATGACTAGAGAGGCGGTTTACCTGTGGAATGAGTTGGCCATGATACTGGAAGGTCGGATAATGAGGATTCAGAGCTATGTTCGATGAATTTATATGTGCCCAGGATTGCGTGCTTCAGAGACATACATACTAGATAGGATGGTGATCACGCCATCACGCCAAAGTCTTGCTACATACCGCCAATCTCTGTTCCAAGCTTGCTGAAACTTTGAGATAGAAGCCCATATGACTCCTCCGCGATTATTGACGGCCGCAGCTGTGATGTGAATATAGATCCAAAAAGTGGCGAACAGCACCCTCGACTTTGACGTGGCTGCAATCTTATCATCTCCGACCCTGCCGATCAATAATTAATAATGAGCACTGACATCTTCTTGTCTTCCAGCTTTCATCCGCCCATGGCCAATTGTTTCCCTCTCAAACGAGACCGTAACCCCCAAGGGTACCTGCTGTCGGTTGCAAACCAGAACAATATTCATAAACTTGTCATCCGCAATTATGGCAACTTGTTCTCAGAACTGCAAACTATAGAAATGACTTGGAAATGACAGAACTAACGGTGTATAGTCCTGCCGGATGGAAACAAAGACCGTGAGGTGCTAAATCCGACGTCAAGGCGCGGCGATCCCGAACAATGTGACTTCAATGTGGCCCGCCGGCCACCCAAATTAAAACTCAACACAATTTCTTACAAATGATCTCTTCAATCCCAACCACCACTGTCATGATAAGCTTGGCCGTTATTCACTGAATTCGACATGACATCGTTGAAGGCCGCGACAGACGGGGTCAGGACGATAGCCAAGCCCAAGCTTAGTGAGCTCAAAACCGATCTTTATCACCCGTCCCACCTGCTGAACGCAATGATCTAGATCAGGGCACCGTTCAGCCCATTGGCACGTCTCAGACCTCAGAAACTCGCGCCTCAACTCACAGCCCGCTTGGTAGAAGCGTGAATAATTTACCCCCTCCAGGCGATATCAACTTGTCGGTCAGACGACGAACACGCCAAAATTCAGCAGGGCCCCATCCTGCTGTGAGAGGAATTTTGGATATAGGTCACTCGATCACCGTACCCCACGAAGACACCCACCCTTCAGGGGAGGACTCACCGCCACAGATACGGAAATCTCGTTACAAGATCGGCCCGCTCCTGGACCTGCCATTTGAACCCCGACCCGCTGGGACCAAGCGCAAGAAGGTGAAGGCAAAGCCTAAACCTCCCAATCCCAAGGCGTACCTCGAACCGGGTGAGTAAATTTTACACCAGGCTCTCTGATTATTTTTGTAATTAATTGCTGCTGTAGCAAATACGAGGTACCGTAGTTTTTTCTGGGACTTTTCATTGCCATGGGTTGATACACCACCTGCCTCTCCCGAGATGTCCCCTACGCCGGTGGCCTCTACGTCGACAAGCTCTACGGCTTCTGGGAGGCAACCTTTGTCGAGAACGGTGTCCTACATGTCTTTGGGACCCACCTCGGAAATTTCGACGCCTCGCATCGACACGCCTCCTGCATCTCCAGAGATGTCCCCTACATCAGTAGCCTCGACGTCGACAAGCTCTACCGCCTCTAGGAGGCGACCTTTGTCGAGAACGGAGTCCTACCTGTTCTTGGGATCCACCTCGGTAAATTTGACGCGGGTCGATACACCCCCTGCATCTCCGGAGAGGTCTCCCGCACCCGTATCCTCGACGTCGGCAAGCCCTGCAGCCTCTAAGAGGCGACCTTTGTCAAGAACGGTCTCATACATCTCCCTGCAGCCATTAATCCACCAAACCCCCGCCTTGAGCATCCCATCGCTACGAGTTGACACCCCACCCGTGTCTCCAGAGATGGTTCCCACACCTGTACCATCCACCTCGGTTAACTCTGCGGCTCCTACTCGAAGGAAGCTAGAAAGAACCGTTTCTTACCTCTCGTTGGAACCAATGGTCAGCGGACCTGGGAAATCTATCAACGACAACTCATCGACAAATGCTTCCATGGCTAAGGCAAGCTCGAAGAAGAGGGCACGCGACGACCAATGGGCTTTGGAGGCTGAAGCAGAGCGACCTTCTCAACGGGTTCGTACTGAAGCGGCTGGCGGTGACGATATGGAAGGCGCTTCGGATACAGGCCTAGCGCTGAACCCTGTGAGCGTGGATCAAACCTCTGTCCCAGCTTCTGGTTCTTCACAGACTGCGGATGCGGCAGATACGAAGCCGAAAGTCAAGGTTAGATTCGTACAGGCGATGTCTTTTCAAATTGCACTTGAGAAATTCAAGGAGAGTCGTGGATATGGTTCTGAGGCTTCCCAGTGATGAATGTAGTTTTCTTATTCTATTTGCTACCTGTGTAAGTTGTAACATTGTACATATGTTAGTTGTGGATTTGTTGCATAACATTCTATTTTTGGAATTCGGCCAACACCATTGCCAATTGACTCGCTAAACCTCAGGCTCGCGTACGCCTTGACGGCCATGCCTATCGCTTCCTCAAGTACAGCCAGAGGCAAATCACGGTCTCCCGCGCCTCCCCCCCCACCGCGATCTTTCTTACCACCCTCCCACTATGCCGCCGCCGCGGGGTACTCATCTTCAAAACCTGCCAAAGCTCCTTCCTCGTTGGATGAGCTCAACAAAGCTGAACCACAGACGTACCATGCAGTCGATTATTCTCAGTACGACGACTTCATGCCCATGTCCCAGCATTCCCCAGAAAGATCTAGTCCGGAATCCTCATCTGAGTACAAGTTGCCCAAGGATACTCGTTTCAGCTTCATCGCCGAAGCTAGAATCATTTCACCAAGGAATAGCCAGCGCGAGAAGCGACAAAGCACGCTGACGGGGCTTCCGAACATTGAGACTCAACTTCTACCATCCCTGAGAGACACCATTGACCGAATGACGCGCCCGCCTTCTCGACCACCTCCGTCTCAACCGAATCAAACAGACGCTTCAGCACACAGAGGCCGACCTCTAGATCCCGCGGATGTAATATCCGTGCACGATTCTCGACAAATGCGCTCTCACCATCCTGTCCACGAAGTAGATTGGATGACTGAGGCCCCAGAAATCACGCTGGGTTCCCACTCAAATGACACCCCGCCTTCTGTGGCTTCCACGCCAAAGCTAAAAGCCCCCTCTCATTCTGCTCTGAAGTCATCGCTGCGAACGCCAACTCCCAAACTACCCCTACCAGACACCCACATCCCCGTCCAGCATACTTCTGGAGGCTCCCTGAGGTCTGTAAAAAGTTTTTTGGGGAGAAAAATTTCTTTCACGACACCGCCGTCTTCACCGGCCACGGCCTTCATGACCAATAGGAGTCAAACTCCTCGAAAATCTAGTTTAAAAGTTTGTATCAATCCATCCTCTCTTTCTATTCGATGCTCATCTAGCAATAGGTTACAAGTACGCCAAATACACCAACTTTCAGAAGCAAGCACCAATTCGACACCACCGTACCTATCCCACAACCAGCAAAATCTCACGAGCCCACGATTCCACCAATACCACCCGACAAAACGCCCGCCAAACCAAGTGCGAAAACCCGGCCGTACCAGTCAAGCATACCGCGTCCTAAACCCAGGTTCAACCCGCCTTCTTTCCAATCCAAGGCGAGTACGGACGATTCGGACTTCGAGAACCGATACGAGCGATACTCGAGGGACAAGCGAAAGCTCACTGTAGCGAACGCGGAAGTTTTACCATCGGGTTCCAGTTCATCAGAAAGTGAAGTGGAGTCAGGGAGGGGGTGGGATACAGGTGTAGGGAAGAATAATCGAGGCGCTGTTGGGCTGGGACTTGATATGTCCATGGAGGTGGGGCGGAATGATATGGGAGGACGATGGGAGGAAGACGTGGATATGCCAGACGCTCAAAGCAATTACGAGAGCGCAAGGCAAAAGATCCTTCGTTTCTCCCTACCGCCTTCTGAATCGGCTGGCTCGAGATACTCGGAAAGCAGTGAAGCTGCCTTTCGACAACAACCCCAAGCGGATTTGGCTGCTGATCATGAGAGGCGGAGGGCAGCGCTGATGAGTATCGTTTCTGGGCTTGATGCGGAAATGGTGGGTTCGACACCTAAAATGAGCGAGTCCCAGGAGAGTGGTGAGTATTTTGTTGAACAGGGGTTTGCGTATAGTGGGTCGCAGGATATGAATTTTGCGGTTGCCTTTCCTAGTAGGTTGGAAAAGGGGAAGGATAGGGACGAGGATGTACGAGAGTGCGAGAAAGGCCCCAGGAGCTCCAGCTGTGCGTCTGCGCTTTGGGTGTCAGCGGAAGAGGCTATGGGTGAAGTGCCTCCGCGATCTCAGTCAGTGTGCCATTGGAACGCTACTTCGCCCTCCCAGTCGTCATACCGCGGAGGTCTTGAAGCACCTGTGGATGAGGTCAAGAGACGCTCTTCTTCCTCTCGTCAAAGTACTCTGTCAATACCTCGTCGTCAATCTGTTGCTGATGACACAAGACTTTCCCCTGGAAGTCGCGGCTCTGGAATTATGGATGGCGGCAAGAGACAGTCTTCTCCCATTCGGCCACCAATACCTCGTCCTTCTACTTTTGAGGACAAAGACACGGTACGACACCCCCATAGATGGGGCGTATACGACGATGAAAGACTTCGGAGGCAGCAGCAGCAGCTTTCATCCCCTTTAACCAACGCCACCGATCATTCTTCTTCATTCCACTCCTCAGCAGGTAACAGTTCATACTCCGTCGCCGCTCGCGAACGTTTAGCGTTCGGTATACCTCCTTCCGAATCAGACGAGGTCCACCTGATACCGGAGGTACTCTCCCAAACGGACAGCTCGCTCTCTTTACTTGAGGGTGGGCACTGGCAGGAGGAATGGGATACATTGAGTTCGGGCGCGGAGTCTTTGTTTAGGCAGTTGAGTTTTGAAGAGACGGTGGGGTATCAGCGGAGAAGTCGGCAGGTGGGTTTTTTTTTCTTGTTCGTGATTTGTGTGGTGGTGGACTGATTGAGGATTTGAATGTTTGGGTAGGTGTTGTTGGAGCAGGTGAAGAGGTCCAGCCTTACTTCTTCGGGTTCTTATCGTTCCAGCGAGGATGAGGGGTTGCCCAACGATGATGCTTCTTGGCGAGCGACTCAGGCTTTTTATGGACATGCGGAATCGCCTCGACAACAAGGGCTGCAGGCATCACCTCGACATCAAGAGCCGCAGGCATCCCCTCGATATCAAGAGCTACAGGCATCACCTGGATACCAAGAGCTTCAGGCATCACCTCGACACCGAGAACCGCAGGCATCACCTCAACATCAAGAGCCGCATGCATCGTCTCGATACCAAGAGCTACAGGCATCACCTCGATACCAAGAGCTACAGGCCTCACCTCGATACCAAGAGCTCCCTATACCGCCTAGAAGTTATGAGTCACCGCGTCCTCCTCCATCTCCGAAGCCACAACAACGAGCGACCCAGGATTTTTACAGACACGAAGAGCCGCAGAAATCACCTCGACACCAAGACCCGCAGGCATTAAATCAACATCAAGAGCCGCCCCTGCCATCTCGAAAACAAGAGCTGCATGCATCACCTCGAAGTTATGAGTCACCGCGTCCGGCTCCATCTCCAGGAGCACTTCGGGCCCCTAGGGATGACTCTACACTGCCAGAGACGGCAAGGGAGCGTGTGATCCAGGAATTACGAACAACGGAGGAAACTTTCGTCGACCGCCTGCAAACGTGTGTACGCGTCTTTATTCTGCCTCTTCGTGTCCAGAGCAGTAGGGAGTGGATAGTGGGTGTCCCTGCGAATGTCTCCCGACTCCTCGATTGGTTTGAAGATATTGTGAATTTGCACTTGTTGATTTTGCAGGCTTTGAACACCTATCGTGATCGCGCATGGGATTTGACTAAATCATTGCGGGCTTTTATTCCTCGGTTGGAAATCTACCAGCCCTACCTGGTCCGGCTCGCTGATGTGACGGAGGAGATTGTGGTGTCGATGGCGGATGAGTCGAGTAACTTTGGCGAGTTTGTGAATATCCAGGAGAGAACGCGAGAATGTCGGGGCTGGAACTTTGAAGAGTTTTTGATGGAGCCTGTTCATAGGCTCGCTGCTTACCAGGATCTGTTTACAGTTTGTGTCGCTGTTCTTTCTCTGAAGGATGGTTTGCTAATATTTTTTATCCACAGCGGCTATTAGAGTCGACTCCGACGCGGGATCCATGTTACATTTCAACGTTCTTTCTAGCTCGATCGACGGACTTGGTCATTAACGTTATGAAAGAAGTCAAGATTAGGGAAGATGAGTATAATCTGATTAAGTCTCTTTCTATTCGAATACAGGGGATACCGCTGGATCAATTGGCTACACGGGAACGAAGGCTTTTGCACTCTGGGATCCTACACCTCACCACGCAAGATGAACACCTTCAGAGGGCGGGCGCTCCAGAGACTGAACCGTCTCCGAAACCTACCAATCGAGCGAGTCGGCTTGTGAATGCTATCCACGAATGGGTCCCCAAAAGATCGAATTCTGTCAAGTCCACGGCGTCATCAAGCACTGGGACTTCTGCTTTCTCTGACTTGCAAATCTGGCCGCCTGGGTCTCCTAATTGGCTGCCTATACCCAAACGACTTGGTGCACGCAATTCGTCTCCAGAAACTCCGATCAGGACATCTCCTCAATCATTTCCTGTCCAAGTGTTTGTTTTCTCTGATCTCGTCCTGCTCACAATCCCGCTGGCGCAAACCCCAGGACAAGAACCCGGTTATTCTCTGGTTTCAGGAGCCCGAGCATTTAGGCCCTTCTCAATCGCTAGGATGCAAAAGGATAATACTGATGGTCTTCCCTTTTTTTATATTGCTTATATGGTACTGATGCTTTCCGTAGATGTTCTCCAGGTTGAAGCAGTCTCAGTCGAACCCAGCGAGCTCAACAAAGAAGGACTTTTGGCCAATGCTTTGCTGCGATCTCTCGAGTTTTCTGTTCCTCAAGCTTCTCCGACGGTGTGCTCTTCTGGTACTGGGAAAGATGTCGACCGCATTCAACCTTGGTTGTCAGCCTTCACCCGATGTTCTCGCTTTTATCTCCGATCCCTGAGTTTTCCTTCTCGGCATGAGGTTCAAGACTATGTATACGATTCGGATGAAGCATCAGACTTTAAATATACGGTTTCCTGCTTGCTTTCCTCGGGGCTCCCAATGCCGAAAAGTCCTTCTGGCCAATTGTCAACCAATCGCATGGGTAGCACGGAGATGGACATTAAGACGGTTGAGAGAGAAGAGCGGGGATGGTGGTCTTTGCGTTTCCAACAAGTCCTGGGCGAACTTCGGCGACGAGATTTATTTCTATCCGAGAGTGTCGATCTTTGAATTGTCATATGCGTTCATCCTAATTCGTTAGCAGTCTGTATCGTCGATGTCCATTGTAAATTTGATGAGTAAGAGGGCTGTGACTTCACTGGGTGCCAATGGATATGACGAAAAGGTATGGCATTGATATCATTGTGGTAATACATTCTTGTCCAACTCGATGGATCGTTGCTATTGAGGCCTGAGGCCTGACTGACGATGCCAGCACAAACTTCTGGCTCACCATTCATCCGCCGCCTGAATGTTTTGTCCAAAATCAACTTTTTCTAGGTATTCCTCACAATCAACCAAGTAAAAGGCAGGATCCCCTACCGTTTCTTCCTCTGGGGCCGGTATTGTCGTGATGACTTCAGGCTCTATGCCTGAATCTGATTCCGGTTCCACGCCTCTGAGTATCCTTGAACTGCTTCCAGTTGCGGGTTTGAGGCTCTGGAATGGACGGATGTTGAAAAAGGAAATTAGGCTGTTGGGTCACTTCAATAGTTGAACTAACCTCGCCAATGAACCAAGAAAATTGAAATTTTAGTCCTCCAAAGAACACGACGAATTGCTCGTCTCCCTGAATCTCGATCAGTTAGTAAAGTAAAAACATTGCTTTTCTACAATTCACCTCCAAGTTCCCGAATCCATTCCATCCGTCTTCTTTTCCGTTATGTTTCCACTCTCCACTGGGTCCGGCTTCGCCAATCCCCACCGCTTTGGCCGCAAATCCAACCTTGACACCCTTCCCACCTGTCTTCCACATGTTGATCTCACACAATTTTGTCGCGAACGTGGACGTTACGATCCAAAATCCGTAATCTTTTACCTCAGGTCGCTTTTGCATGAGGATTTTCGCGTTTTCTTTGACCCACTTCTTGAAGTGTGATTCAAAGTAATATCTTTCGTGCACGACTGGGGGAGCGGTAAGGAGGACAGCACCATTGGCTGTTTCGGTTGAATACGCATAGGCTGCTGAGAGATTAACTGGGAGTGCTGTTGCAAGGGCCGAGTCACTGACAGGGCAGTCAATCAATTTCAAAATGGAGGAGGCACAACAACATACATTCCAGCAGACAAACTGATCTTCTTGACTTTCACAAATTCTGCGGTTTTCGGCCCCCATTTTATGTTTTCTCTAGATGCTTTCTGCAACTCCTCCCGCACTGGAGAAAGTCCCATCGAATTCAAGGAGTCTGGGTCGTCCAGCTGCGCAATAGAATTCCACTCCCCAAAGCCATCAAAGTAGCCACAAACACCAGGCTTGAATGCGCTCTGTGGAGGAGGTCTGTAGAGGGCGATGCCAAAAGGGTGGTTTTTCATGAGGTCTGCATATTGTTGATCCAATTGCCATCGCGACGACGACATCTGGCCGCAGAAGTAAGTAGGGTTCGGGAGTCGGGACTTGGTCGGGATGCCCGCAATTACGCGTCTTCCAGGCACGAATGTTGAACTTCCTTCTTCTCATCACTCCTCCTCGCCAAAGAAAAGGGTGTATGTAAGTTCAAGTTTGTATCCACGTCTTGCTCCGTTTCTGACCTCGACACAACCCTCGCGCGGCTAGGGCATTTCAATAGATCTCCCCAAGATCTCCCTCTGCCCTTTTTCTTGGGCGTCAACCACTGTGCTTATTCAAATCTCAAAGTTAACTCCACGTTCACATGGCAGAGATACCTATCCCGAGTGATGGGTTAGCGGAACAGGTTAGGACATTCCTGAATGCGATCCAACAGGACATTCTGATCCTTCGTCCCGGAGAGTATTGCGAAAGTCCTTCTTTCATCGACAACCTTTCACGAGAATCGCTAGAGTTTCTCTACAAGCTTTCCAAACTAGAATCGACCGCTGTCCACGCCGGATTTTGTAGCATGCGCAGCGAAAAGGTTCTTCTTGCTGCTATCCGTCTCAACTCACAGGATATTCTGAATCAAGCCATTGCTTTGGGCGCCGTTGCTATAAAATGCCTGCTCCGTGACGATCCAAATCGGGGCGTCGTCGTCAGCTGCTTTGCCCGAGCACTGAAGTGCAGGTGGAATGTCACTAAAGAGGATCAGCATCTTGATGATGCTATCTATTACTACCGGAAAGCCGTTGAGGTCGAGCCTATTGATGATAAGAGCCGCGCACTGCACCTCGATGATTTAGGGTGTGCATTGTGGCAGAGGTTCTCGAAAACCCACACAAGAGCGGATTTTGAAGAGGGCAGAAGCGTTCTTGAGAAGGCCATCTCTTTACCCGATGTTGCAAAACCTGCGTACCTGTCGCATCTTGGTCGCCTTTTGAAAGACCAGGCCGTCCGTTTGGAAGAAGGGAAAAATGCAGCCCTGGACGTTTCCCTTGAGATCCACTTGCAAGCGATCTCAAGCATAACGAAAGACTTTCGTGGTCCTCCACAATTTCTCCATCAAAATCTTGCTCAGGCCTACTTTGAGCGATACGCTGTCAGCGAGTCTCCGCGTTCCACAGACAGTCTAAAAGAATTTGTGATGGAGAAAGTCAATGGATCAGGCCATCGTTGGATGTTCCTTTATGAGCTCGCCGTCTTGCATCGTCCTGTTTTCATAAGCACCGGTCACCAAAGCGAAGCAGACAAGATGGTTGATCTCCTTCATTCTGCGTTAGTGGACAGTCCAGGCAACGTCAATATCATGATCGCTTTGGCAGATATTCTTGAACAGAAGGGAATATCTCTCGCCTCCCAGTCAATCCTAACTGAGGCCTTGCATTTTGCTGAAGAGTCCATCAAAGCTACTTCCGAATATGACCAAAATATGCCATTGCGGCTCCGCTCGGCTGCTACCATTTTGGCTCACCGATTCGACCTTGGTAGTGACTTACAGGACATCGAGCGAGCTGTTTCCTTAGGAGAGCAGGGTCTTCAGTCATCGTGTCTCCGTAAAACCGATCGCTGGAAGGTCCTTGCGGTTCTGGCACCCCATCTGCTTTGTCGCTTCAACTCAACTGAGAGCCTCGCGGACTTGCAGCGTGCCCACTCGCTTTTGCAAGAGGCATTGATGACGCCTGACCTACCCGACGATGCGAAGTCGGATTGTCTACGAGAACATGGCAAACTTCTGTTCAATAAGTACAAGCTTGACAAAAACCCGGATAATATCGAGGGGTCAATTCAATCGTTGTCAAACTCTATTGCCCTCGCTGACAGCCAGAGTATATCTGTCGCAAGTGCATACAACGATTTGGGGAATGCGTATTCTCTTAAATTCGAAATGAATGGAAAGAGTGACGATTCTAGGAAGTCCATCGAGGCTTTTCTCAAAGCAATCGCATGCGTTGACCGTTATCCCATCATTTCTGTGCAAAGGCCTATGTATCTTCACAACCTGGCGAACTCTTTTTTCGTTCACCACGAAAGGGGAAATGAAGTCCTTGATCTGGACCACGCCATCTCTTATTATCAGGAAGCTCTTGATGCTACTGCCGACCTCTCTCCGCAGGCTTCGAATCGTACAGGTGCTTTGAGTTGGGCGCTGCAGCGGAAATTTGATGTCACCAAGGACCCAAAATACCTCAGTCAGGCTCGAGACTCTCTTGAGTTCGTTCTTGCCAATAACCCATCTTTAAGACTACGTGATGTGGCGTTTTTAGAAAACCGACTGGGTGCCACATACCTTCGTGAATTCTACGAAACACAGGATATCTTCTTGCTTGACAAGGCGGCAGATTGCTTTCGTAAGGTCGCCAAGGACTCTGGATGCACTATTCCAGAATTTGTCAACCCAGGAATCATCAACCTGGCGAGAACTCTGATGCATAAGTACGAGATAACGAAGACAGACGAGGATATGAAGGCCGCAGCTGCTGAATTTTTCCAGCTTCCGAAACAACTGTTAAACCCTAGCATCCGGGAGACGCATGGGCTCTTGGACAGTGCAGGCCAGTTTTGCAGCTTGGTTTACGATACCACAAAGCGGAAGCCGTTTGGCACTATGGCCATATTGTTTTACAAGTTGCTCGTCAATGAGCCCTCAACTTCCAGTCTGGAACGGGTTTATACAGCAATGCTGCACGCACGGCTGCAATATGAAGTGAACCTCGACGCTTTTGAGGCAATATCTAGTCTGACCCTTGCAGTGGGGCTCATGTCAGAGGCTATTATGATGGGATCGAACCGGGCCGACCAGTTGCGAGCAGCGAAGCGGATGGCTTGGCTTCCAGGACATATCATTGCGTTTGGATTGGCTGCGGGAAACACACCTGGTGATATCGTCCAACTATTTGAGCGAGGACGGAGCTTTATTTGGAATCGTTTAGTCGACCAAAAGACGGAGATCAGTGATCTTTGGGAAGCACATCAGGACCTAGCAAACACCTTCGAGGCCCTGAGAGAGCAACTTACACGGACAAGAGCACAGTCCCAAGTCATTGAATCCACAGCTCGCTCCCGACTTTTTCAGCACGACGTTGCCGTTGAATACAATTCGATTCTTAAGCTCATTCGACAACAAGAGGGTTTCGAAAACTTCTTACTTCTCCCAGCAAGAGTGTCGCGACTACAAGACTACGCCTCGTTTGGCCCTATTGTTGTCCTTAATGTGACAAGCTACCGCAGTGATGCTATCATTATCAAGTCTGAAGGTGTTATTCATGTTCCTTTGCCACTCTTTACTATGCGGGACTACCTTTGGAAAGGCATAGAATTACAGAATGCCCTGAATGATGAGGATGTGGAAGCCGGATCAACCTTGTTCCATTCCGTGTTGACATGGCTTTGGGAGGTGGCAGCACATCCCGTTCTAGAAGAATTGGAATTTGTGGGTTCGTGCCAGCCGGGTGAGAGTTTGCCTCGCGTGTGGTGGGTTGCAAACGAGCGAATCGCTTCTTTGCCTATCCACGCTGCTGGTGATCACAAAAGAGCTTTGAAAACGGGTGCTTCTTGCAGCGTCATTGACAGGGCGGTCTCGTCTTACATTCCAACCCTCAGATTTCTGGCACTTTCAAGAGAGCGTGCAGCATTTTTGCATTCTGAGCAACACAACGAAGCTCCTGGGACCGCCCTGCTTGTGCAGATGCCAACCACGCCTAACGACAAAGATCTTGTCAATGTCTCTATAGAAGTCGAGGCGGTGGAGAGTATCCTCAGTTCCGGGCTGCAGATCACGAACATGGACAGGCCGAAGAGGTCGAGCCTTCTTCCATCCTTAAGTTCCTGTACTATGGCGCATTTTGCATGTCACGGCGTCGCACATCCAGAAGATCCTTCTCTCAGCCAAATTAAGCTCCAGGATTGGCTCTATTCGCCGTTTGATGTACGGTTTCTGCTTAAAACGCCGATGCCAAAGTGTCAATTCGTTTACCTCTCCGCCTGCGAAACTGCACTCAACAGAGTCACTGGTCTCCGAGAAGAAGCGATTCATCTATCCTCTGCGTTTCAGATGGCAGGTGTCCCTTATTCTGTTGGAACTTCATGGAAAATCGACGACAGCTTCTCTGTGGACATTGCAGAAGAATTCTACTCTAATTTGGTTCAAAGGTGTGATGGAAAGTTGGACTTTTCAAGGTCGAGCTATGCATTGCACGATGTAGTCATGAAAGCTAGAGGAAGAGGGGTCGACGCAATGCTGTGGGCTGCATACATACACTCCGGCGCTTAATGGTCATGAGGTTCTTAGATGTCAATCATGTGAATCTTGCAAACGAAGCTATAGCAAAGAGTTCCAAATGTTATCCGAAGAAAGCCGGGCAAAGATATGTGTGATAATTTATCATAAATGCTACGTGAATGTCATCGAAGGTGATATGCCGTTATTGTCTTGAAGCAATTGCGGCGATCAGAATGTCATAGTCGATTTTGGCGGCTTCAAGCTCTTGTTAGCAAGAAAAAACAGTATTGTGAGGCCACACACCTTTGAGTACAAGTTGAATGAATATATGAGAAAGTTCAGGCTCTTCCATCCGCAGTTTTATAAGGTTTACATTGCTTAGCTTCCACAAGACTGCATCATGTTCGACAACCACGGTGGCATTACGTGGGGAATCGGAGAGGGCCGATAGCTCTCCGGCCACGGTACCCGCGACCATGGATTCCACAAAACGTCGTGCAGGATTCGCGAACTCATACGTGGCCTTAAGCAGCCCTGACTCAATGATAAATAGGCCATCGGCCCGATCATCCTGCGTCCATAGCACGTGGGTGGCAGGGAGAGTAAGACGCTCAAGATAGGGTTCGATGGGACGAAAAGTGACAGGATCAACCGTTCCATACGATGAGAAAGCCTTGATGAGGGTGTTGAGCGGTTCAGATGGGCGTTCAGACCCTTGGTTGACCGGTATTTCTAATCAAATAGTGAGCCTGTGCAAAATTTCGCAGATGGGTTGTGATTGATACCAACCATTGGCAATTGTACGGTCCCCTGCATCGCGAATGTGCGAATGGCGCGGGGAGAGGATGAACGCGGAAATAAGGTTATTATGTTCGATATCACCGCCCTCTCGACTGGGAACAGCTAGGCACAAAAATAAGCGACGAAAAGAACGTTTCAGATGAATTGAGCTCACGAAATATCGTCGCAGATCGCTCAACCTTCTGCGCTCTGAACCAAGCGCGTAGGTAGGCGTTCTCCGTCCCTGAATACAGCGACATTAATTCTCCTTCAAAAATAAGAACGTTTGGCGGACTGACATTCCATAGCATCGTTAAATGTCGAAAAAAGTTCCACCTGTTCAGCGCCAAGAATTTCTACACTTTGCAATGCCTTGCCGACAGGTGAATCGACGATAAACCCACAGAATACCAAAGTGACACATTTGGAAGCTAAGAGACGCTGAACGCGAACCAGAGCCTCGGCCGATGACATATCCACGCCTGCGACCAGGGTGAAGTCAAGCACCAGAAACTGAACCGGATTCCTATGCCATAAAGGGCCTTCAATGAGAGACCTGATTGTCTCTTCGACATAGGTAATAGTCCCAAAGAAAAGGAAACCTTGATCAAAAGTGATCAGCCTAGATACTCATTGTGGAAGAGAAACAATGAATTGTACCTTGCAACCGAAGAATTGTAGTCTGCTTGGCTACCTCCCTGATATAAGCTCGTTGCAAGCTGGGTCGACGAACTGCCGACATTGCAGTCTCTCCAGTTTGAATTGCACGGATACTGCTGAGCTGGGAATTTTGGATGACGAAAAAAAAACCTGCCGAAAAAGCGATGGCAATTTTTGAGCTTAGCTTATGATTAATTGATCAGTCAACATACAGCTAACAATGATCCCGAACAAAACCCCGATGACGAAGTCCCAAACAGTCATGCAAATCATGATACTGACGATGGTTATGTATTCGGTTCTGGCAGGAAGGTCAGCCTAATATGCTAGCAAAGAAATACAATCTAACCCACTTGCTGACACGATGCCTAGTGTCCCACAAAGCTTCCTTAACGAGATCGATGCCCAGAACGAAGATCAGAGCTCCCACAACCATAACCGCTAGTCAATCTGGGTTACTTAAGCCGGAGATATAAAGATGAAGACGTACGAATAAATGAGATTGGACCAGTCCCAATGAAGAGCAACAGAACCGTCGCAACAGCAAGCAAAAAGCCTGATATTCTGTTATCCCCGCCGACGCGGTAGAAGCTTGATGAAAACAATTCATTTGCCTTTCTAGACGCCGTAAAGAAAGAGAAAAAAACTCACAGGAGTGTATTGACATAGACTAGGTAGTTCGGGCTAGCAAATTGGACCTCAGCTTCCAAAACGTACAACAAAACGTGAGCAAAAGACGCACACTGTACCAAACAAGCCAGCAAGGAAATTCGAATATCCGTGTGCAACGAGCTCCTTGTTGGTGTCGACATCGTCGTTCAGCGATACGGCTGCCAAATCGTTATGTCCGAACCCTTGTTCCAAGAAGAATAGACGGCCTACCCAGAGCAGGGACATTCAGCGGTGGATGTAAGATATTGAAGAACAACCTGCCAGCAGAGGTTTCGGCACAACATCATCCCCAGTCAACAAAAGAAGCTCACAATGCAAATTGGGTCGGCAAAGTTGACCACAGTGGACCAAACCTTATAGCACTGAGACCTGGACCATATGTGAGCGATGGAATGAAGATGGAAGGAGCATGAAGCGCACTGATATAAGAATAAAATCTATACCACGGTTCCTTATCAGTGCCCATATCAAATATCCATCCATCATCTCGTAAATTCGTCAAGTTCAGCTGAGCAGCAGCGACAATGATATAGAATAGCATAGGTATAATTACGAAATCTTAACGCATACAGTTAGCGATATATGTCAGTGAGATCAAAAGAACTCACAAAGAGGGAAAATGAGTTGATGGCGAAACCTGTGCGTGATAACCCGCAACAGGACTGCGAGACCCAGCGGAATGATCCATAACGTCAGATTGTGCGCATCGAAGAACATGAATCGGAAGGTTTCCCAGTTCATGGCGAAGTCGTCTTCCGATATACGTAAGCTAACCGTCAGGCTGTTAAAAGTTCACAATATTAACATCCGTCCGACCAAGGTTTTAAAAAAAACATATATTTACCCAGTCTCAATAAGAAAGGCGCCAACACCTCCAATACAACTAAAGAGGCAAGGCGGGTTATTTGAGCAGGTGACTCGATACACGAATGAACGCACCCGACAAGTATATGTCGAGGAAAGAACCCCACAATCACACCCAGCTTCAAAGCCCCAAGAAGGAAGAACGAGAGCCCAGTAAGAATCGAGCTCAGCGCGTACGCAGCAAGCGTAGTCGCGATGATCTCCCGTGGCTTGTCTTCCCCTATCTGGCTGGCGATACTTGATGCTAGTATGTGGAAAAACGGCTGTGAGTGGAATGGGTCAATACCCATCAGATAGATAGGGAAAGCAGAGGGATGCAGAGAAAGAGGCACATAACCATGCACAAAGGAACATAAAGTCGCGCATCAAGACGTGAGGTTAAATAATGATGCATAAAGACGCATGAGGTACGTAGAAAGGCAAAGAGAGGCCAAACGATGCACAAGGATGGGCAGAAGGATCAAACGATGCGCAAAGATGCACAAATAGAATCAGAAAAGCAAAAAGATAAGAGAAAGCCATAAGAGTGCACAAGGATGGCCATAAGGATGTGCTAGGTGCGCAGAAAGACATAAAGATGCAAAGAAAGGCATAACGACGCGCAAGAATGGTCGGAAAGGCAAAAGATGCGCAATGCATAATGGTGCACAAATGAGGTTGCGTAAGGGTGCAAAAAATGCACTGAAAGGAGCGCAAAAAAGCACAAGGAAGCATAGAAAGACATAATGGTGCATAACGAGCACAGAAAACCATAAGGATGCGTAAGGGCGCAGCGAAAGACGATGAGATGCGGGACGACGGAGCAGTGAAAGAAAAATAAAAACAAGAAAGAAGACATACCACAACTTCAATCATCATACTCCCATTCGCACCCGCGAACCCGCTCCCACCCAGCGTGAAAACAAGCTGAGCAATAACCGTCGAAAGAAAAAACATCGACACGCCCATTCCGCCCAGGTCTGCGAATACACCTGTGGCAGGAAAGATGATCATGCCGTCTATTCAAATTCAAATTCAACGAGTAATTTAAGAAAGGATGAGATGACGGGACGTACAGGAAACCCCATCGAGTATGTTCAACAAACACCCTAGCAACACTGCAGGAATAGCACGTAATGCCGTCTTTAGATGGTGTGGGGACTTTGAAACGACTTCCTCTTGAAATATCTTGCGGAAAGCCCTGATGCTCCCCTCAATGTGGGACATTGAAGGTTTACCTAAACCTGTGCTTTCATTTGCAGCACCATAATTCGATTGCCCAGGGGTTCCTCCCTCACCCGTGTGCAAATGTTCGCTTCCCAAATCCATGGCGTTATGTGAGAGTTTAACACCACCCAACTCAGGAAGCCCATTCAAATTCGCGTTTCCAAGCAACAAAGGAGTGCGTTCATCCACAATCCGTTCCTCACGCTCGCCCGATAACTCAGCCCCAAGAGAGCTCAACGACCTCGAATGCGAAGGAGCACTATGTACAGGACTCGACGACGACGAGTTGCGCCAGTGTACGTGATGGGGCGTTTGTGTGTGTTCATCAGGCGTGCCTGTAAGCACCTGTGATGGGGGTGGGTCTCGCATGGGGGCGTGTTCGGGTATATGTGCCAGCCTCTCCCCGTCGTGAATCTGAGCAGCAGCAACGAGTGACGTCCATACAGGTCGTGGAGTGGCTATTGGAGTGGTGTCAGTGTATGTATGATGTCCCTGGTAGTCTTCCCGAGAGGGTGTGGCGGATGACAAGGACGACGCGCGTGGACGGAGAAGCGATAGCCCAGAGGGCTGTTGTGGGGGTGGAGGAATTACTGGAGTGAGTGGTAGATGGAGACTGGAGGCCTCAGAGTCCGACTCGGACATGGATATAGGAAAGGAAGATATAGATTGGCTGACCGAAGACGGTGGAGGGGAGGATGTACGTGACTGGGCTGGCTCTGTCTCAGTTTCATAAGACATATCCGCCTCGAGGGTTGGAGAGAGGATCGGTGAAGAGACGGGGAAGATAAAACCTCCTGTACCACCCTGCGAGGGAGAAGGTGAGTTGTCCGCGAACGTGCGCAGAGTAGCGGGGGGTGTCTGGGTAGGTAAGGCTTCGTTGATGTGGGTGTTGGGAGGTGACGTGATGAAAGGCATATCGGAGAGTTGCATCGTCGTGAGACGGATGGTGTCCTGCTTGTGGAGTTGTGGGACGCTAGATTGTGAAGGTAAACCGCCGCTGCCACTGTTCCCAAAGCTTGCTAGAGAGGCATTGAAGGATTTTGATTGTAGAAGGCTAGACATAAATTGTTGGTACGCATGAGCATTTGGCTGTATTTATAGACGGGGTTTAGAAAATGAAAGGCACGAGAACTAGAAGTGGGCAAAAAAAAACACGACCACTCGGGTTCGAATGGCGATGGAAAGCTTCGAAAGAGACGACAGGTTGAAATATGCACGTCAAGGGAAGCAGGGTGGGGGTAATGGTTAGAGGAAAATGAGGTCAGATGGCGCGACCCAGTGATTCACCGGCGAGGCAAACGTAACGGTACTTTTAACAAACGGTTGTGAGAACCGCCCAAAACGTTTGATGGAAAGGGGGTAAAAAACATGGACCGTAAAAGGAACTTGGGATATAAACAACTCACCCAGCTCTGTGCAACGGGGATTCGTTCTGCGTGGACGTCTTCTGCGCGTACGCAGGTCTAGTGGGACTTATTGCCGAACGAGGGAACGAACGGTGCGGATCATCAAGTGCATGACCCTCATCGTTTAGTGCGCCATTTTGGCTCAAGTAGGCAGATGGCAAAGTTTCCAGGCCGCGGGTGGAAAAGGACGGTTTGTTCAGGCTAGGGTCCGACAGCTGTGCATGGGTCCTGGAAACGGCAGTTGGGATTTGGAAAGGGGATGTTCTGTCTGGATCAGGGGTGACAAAGTCCGACAGGCGACGACGCATATAGTCAGAGAGGACAATGGAAAAGGGCGAGAGCAGGAACTAGAACAGCAGACACTCGCGTTGAACCTCGTTCGTTATCAGCTAGCCAGGGAGCAGTTTGGAAGATAAGCTCGGAAGACCGTTTGCATCACGTGCTCGTGCTTTGTGACAAGCGTGACACATCCTCCTCATCGCAAGCGACGATGTCCAACACTATCGCTCTGTACGTTCACCTATTTTTTTCCTAAAGAAAAGCTACCTGCTAATCGTGCCGCAGCTACCCGTTGTCAAACTTCACATTCAGGTGAGTTTTTGTGTCATCTGACGCGGTCTACTGGCTAATATCGCACATTAGTACAAAGGAAGCACAACCAGAAGAAGATCCCTCCGTCTCAGCACGTCTCCAACGCCTCCAAAACAACTATGAAGACTTTGGAATGCGCAGGACCGTAGAGGGAATCCTCGTCGTGCACGACCACGGTCACCCACACATACTCATGCTCCAAATCGCAAACGCCTTTTTCAAACTGTTAGTGTCATATGTTGTCATCACGGTACCGCCCCATAAGCTCCATCCAACTTCGCCGTTATGTTTTCTCCCCCTTTTGTATCGATCACAAGCCCACGCCCAAGGAGCTCTCCACTGGATGTGACTTTTGCCCCAGGTTTCCATTCTTCTCCCCCCTTGACCTGACCTTTCTTCATCACGAGCACGCAATTTCATTCAGTTCACCTGTGCATCTTCTAGTCACGTCTTGACATTTGGTCCTTGACATTTGGTGGCCGTCGCGCGCTTATTCTGCGGTACCTTTCCAGACTTCTGATTTTCTCACCTCACACCTACAGGACGGCTCACGTCCCTCGTCCCTTCATCTTATTATTTAACCTTCTCCTTGTGGGTCCGCGTTTTGACATCGCTTCCCTCCCAACAGCCCCGGAGACTACCTCAAACCCGGCGAAGACGAGATCGACGGCCTTAAGCGCAGACTCGACGAACGTCTAGCTCCACCCGCGGATTCTCGGCAATTCGACCAAGCCACGCATGGCGTCGACAATGAATGGGAAATCGGAGACTGTTTAGCACAATGGTGGAGACCTAATTTTGAAACGTTCATGGTACCTGTTCCCCGTTCCCTAACCCTTCTTTTTTCCTCTACTGATCAAACAACTCAAACAGTACCCATTCATTCCCGCACATATAACAAAACCCAAAGAATGCAAGAAACTGTTTCTAGTTCAGATGCCGGAACGTAAGGTTCTGGCGGTCCCCAAAAATATGAAACTCCTCGCCATCCCATTGTTTGAGCTATACGACAATGCAGCTAGGTATGGCCCCCAGCTGAGCGCCATTCCGCACTTGCTATCAAGGTGAACTTCCTCCTTCCCTCCCTCTCCGCCGTTCACTCCCCTCAATCTCGCCTTCATCATGCTTTCCTTTGCATGATCATCACACTGACCCCACCTTCACAGGTACAACTTCATCTACCAGTAGCCATGGAACCCACCCATTTCGCTCTTCACGACCCGTCCTTATCGTTATCATTCAAAAGTGCAGTATCATAATTCTCACGAAATGCAAACTCGATGCTGTTGTCGCTCTCATGCAAATGTACCCTTGTTTTTCTCACATGTGTAAGTAGATAGAATTCTGTGTATTTCTGGAAGTCCTTGAGCTCTCTTATCTTGGCGCATCAGTGATCGTCGCGTTCGGATAAGTAAGGATGAGGGTTGTATTTTGGCGTCTTCTATCGCACGTTCGGGTACAAGGACATGCTCAGTTGTTTCGGATTTTGACACACTTTCTAATCACACAATTTCTCTCATCAGACAGATGAATGAATGCGAAACGAACATGTATACTATATATGAATGATGGTAATGTAGATATACACAGAATGAACGACAAATAAACATGCGAGAGCGACAACGGGCAACTATAGTACAAACACCAACCAGCATAGGTTCGATGAGGTGTGGCGAGGAGGCAGTCCGACGATGCAAAGTCTGGCAATGCAGCTTTAAACCACTCCAGGAAGGAAGGACGAGAGTGACACGACGGGGGATTCAGGTGAACTATCTATCCACCGATGATGATGATGATGGGCGAGACCAAGAAAATAAGAATCTTCCGTCCAATAGCAACAAAGAATTCTAAGCGTTTAACCAAAGTACGCATCAGCTCAGTGCTTGTCGAAATAATCGCGGCACGCCATGGGCAATGTGAACCCCTACAGCACCATCAGCATCACGAAAAGCGAGAGAGAGAAAGAGACGACGTACATTAGTCCTGATACCTCCACCCCACGGCGTCTGTCCCTCAACCTTCGCATCAGGGCCCATCCCCCTCTTCGCAAAGCCCTTCCAGAGCTCACAAAAGTTCTCTCCACCCGTCAAGATCTGATCAGCCTGAATAATCGCATCGCGCGCCTGGAAGAACGTCGGGCGGCACGCCTGGAGCTTCATGCCATTGAGCACGAGCTGTAGCATGAGGGAGTTACCGTGCTTCGGGACGAGGGGCTTCCCATCCTCCGTGACCCTGTAAAAGTCACCAATGGGGATGGTGCCGTCTGTGTGTGGTGCAGGAGGGAAGAGATCGTCCGAGTATCCGTGTTTCTTGATCAGCTCCTGTGAGACGACCCAAAGGATCTCAGCCCACACTTCACCAATGGCGTGCACGCCCCAGTACCCAGGCTTGTCAAGGGTCTTGTAAGTTGATGGGTTGACGTTTTCGTCCTGCAATATCAACGTGAACAAACAAGGCCACCACATATAAAAGAAAGACGACGAACCAAAGAGTAGATGTAGTTCCTGATACCACTCTCCCTGTTCGCAGCCCAAGCGCCCATAGCGTAGTCAGAGTAGTGCTTGTTGCTACGAATGGTAGTCGCCAAGAAATCACCCCATCCCTCACCCATACCACCACTCTCTCCCCAACCAAGACATCCAGAGTTCGCTGGGCCACCAGTAAGACGTGTGCTCAGTCCATGGCTCAACTCGTGGATCACAATGCCCGCCTCTAGATCACCATCACGGTAAGGAAGGGCAGTGTTCCAGAGGTACATCCTCATGCGGCCGTTCTGGCCATCAGGTGGCGTCATGAAGTTCGCGTTGTTATATCCTGACCCGTCTTGGGCGTTGGCAATGACAGCGTCGTTCTCCTGCCCGCCACGGCCAAAGTTGTATTGCTGGAAGTTACCAGAGACTTCATCGAATCCATATCTGCACATGACGATGAGGAAAGTATATAGATTCGTTAAAAACCGAAACGCACCTATAGTAAAGATCGTGGACCAAGTTGGTCGTGTAGAAAAGCTGAGTGATCGTTGTGTTGATGTACTTCTGCGCCTCCTCAAGAGCATCGGACCTGTCTGTGATCTTCGGGTGGTAAGGGTAGTTGAAAACCTTGCTCTTGCCGCTATCAGGACGATAGTTGTCAATGAAGGAATTCTGGCCTTCCCAGTTCTCTTGAGCGAAGACCTGCACAAGACAATTAGCTGACAATTCGGACAAGCAACAGGAAGAAAGATACATTGTTACCCCACGTTGTGGTCGAGTTACTCCAGAACTCCTTCGACCTCGAACCGCTGATTGAAGGGTCATTCGCGACAGGCATGGCGTGCCAGCCAGCAGGAGAAGCAAGAGCGTCAAAGTTCTCCTTGTTGATGCTGCGTTCACCGCGCTCTGGGTCGTTGATTCCCCATGCAAAGACGTTGTAGGTCGCAGGTGGCGGGGGAGCGGGCTTGGGAATTGGAGAATCCGATGCCCAGTCGACCACTGAGATGATGTTGTGGGGATAGGACGCAGATACGGAGGTTTCATACCAATTGTCCTGCATCTCGACCTCAAACTAGACAATCAACGGTTAACCATCGGTTTCAAGAAATATCAAAGTTACGAACCTTCCAAACAAGGTGAAGATCTGTCGAGTCCCCTTGAGCATTGGGAACCTGGATGTAAGCCAACCTAGCCTTGACGGGATTGATGGCATCCGGGACGTTGCCCGCCACAAACTCAATAGCTGCCTCTGAGCCTGAGGGAGCAAAGTGGCTAGTGGGCTCAACGGTTATCTTGTTCAAGTACTTCTCACTGTCATTGGCGATATCAGCAGCCAATTTCGAGTCAGGAGTGGCAGTAGCCATGAATTTAAGCAAAGCGGGACGGAAGTCCGTCGGGTCTTCCGAGCTAACGGAGGGAACCTCGGACCCACAGTGTGTATTGTGGATGTGAGAAAGTTCCTCGGAGATGACGTGTTCGCCACCAAGAATGAATTGGTCCCCATTTCCCTGGAATTCTTGAGGCTTCAACATGGTCGCGACGAAATCGCAAGCCTCTCGATGAGGATTACGAACAAAGGCGACATCGGGATTAGTAAAAGGAACGGGAGCGGGACCGCTGTAGAACTGGTTGAAAGGGGTAAACATCGGTCGTGTGACAGCTTTTTGAAATGAGGGCCCACCGAGTTTCCATATGACAAAACAACACCGTCCTTCACGTTGATGTTCATGTCTCCATCTGCGACCTCCAAGCCATTTACGACCTGGCGAACGTAGACATGAGTAACGCCCGTGTTCTTGTCGGTGTACGAGTCCTTCCGAATCTTGTAGCTGGCACCTTTCTTCTGTAGCACGTCTTGAATGAAGAGATGTGCGACCTCTATTGGGCACATGCTCGATTCAGAGGGAGTGAAGCCATTGGTCTGAATCTGGTAAGGACTCGAGTGGAAGACGGCATGAGGATGGTCAGGTCCAAACCCCAGAGTCTTTCTCCGCTTTACCGGACCATCATCATACGGCGAGGGTGCAGCGTGGCGATGGCCGTAGACATGACCAGCAAGGGTAGCAACGACAAGAGAGGCGGCGAAGAGGCAGCGCATGACAGTGATAAGACAAGCAGTGGTGTACCCTCGGGGAAGTGGGGAAAGAGAACGGATAAGGCTTGAACGCGGTTATTGTTTAAGAGGAAATTGGAGGGAGTGGTGTATGCGCTGTGTTCGCTGGAAGGGGAAGATAAGACCCCTGAAAGTTGGAGTCACGGCTGTGACCACGACAACCAACAACAGTTCCCGCCATGTTATTGCCTATTTGTAGCGCCTGACTCTGCTCCGAATATCACCCTGGATACACCGACCCTCACCTCTATGAGCCTCATTGTCGCCCTTCTATCGCTTTGCGACTCTTATCAATCCTTCTATTGATTTTGATTTTCGAGATAACCGTCACAGACAACCCGTCGACATACAACAAAGCTTAACTATATACTTATCGCCTCTGTAGCTGGAATTGGTGCACACGCCTCAATCCAAAGGCAACTGCGGAATCAGCCTGATTTGTTTGCCTGCACTGCACGATGCAAAGTTTAAACTCGCCACCACTCAGCGTGCCCGCCAGGCCCTCCCCGCATGTTTGGTGTTGTAAATTCTTGCTCGTACGACTTGTTAAAGTTTTGGGGCACACTACCAAACTTTACCTAACCCGTTTTTGAACCTGAGTGTTTCAAGAAATTTTTCTTACCGTATTTCACCTGTGTTTATTTCAACCCTTCTCATCATGCTCCGGTCAGGACTCAGGCCTCAGGACTCGGCACCAACCGCCACCTTTCCTTGTCAGGCTACCAATGTTTGGCACACTCTCTCTGGACAAACTCTGCTGCGATAGAGAGATAAGTGGCAGAAGATAGCGTTATCTCACAGTCAGGTATACATAGAACCCTCACAGACGATAGCGGCCTTAAACGCTTCTCCCTATCTTTTCATTCCCTTACAAAGGTTCAATCCCACTGCGTGCCGATTTTTTTTTTTGAGCGCTTAGGTGCCGATACATCAAGGCGTCCTATGGGCTCAAGAAACCAGATCTAGCCTGTTTCGACCTCAAGGCTTTGCCGGTTGGTCATTCTGCGAAGAGCCCCGAGTAGGCCCGGGTTGGCATCACGTTGCCACAAGCTGATACGCCCTCAAGGCCTCTTTGGTGGCGCGGTAATGCCTCACTCCTAGGAGCGCTTCTATCGGCACCTAGTGCCGTATTCAACCACATCATTCATTAAGCTTTGTTTTAATCAAGCGTCACCTATGACATTAACCAGCAATCCCCTTTTGTTAAGGCTCCTATCACTCTCAGTGGACCTCTTGAAGCATACACATTAGTTATGCATCTCCCCACCTCCCATCAGCCCTAACTTCGGTGTTCAATGTCCATTCCCATGAACGCTGAAGTCATCGCAAAAACATTGGAGAGCGTGTCGTCATCAAGCGTTTCGTCATCAGTTCGTCATTCCTTGCACTCTTAAACGTTTAAACCGTCATCACCGTCTCTTCTTCCCGTAAAGAACACCCAACAATACCTATTATTCTATCCGTTGTCCTCTACAAAGTTTCTAAAACGCGTAAATAATGGCCCACCCGTTTACCTCCGGGAAAGGCTGTCGAAACCCACGCGTAACCACGCCCCTTCGCATTGAACTGCCCATATGGCTAAGCTCCGTAAAACCCAATTTGGATGTCCCGCCGGGGCCATTTGGAAGAAGATCTAATAACACTTTGTCGGGGATCTTTGCACTAGTGTTTTTGTCTTGGGACTTCTTGATTGACCAATGGCTTTACAAAAATCTGAGGCGCTACGAGCTTATCGCTCTAAAAGCTCTAATTGTTACTCTCGGTCCTCGGTCGTCCGTGCTATACACCGAGCAGAAGAAGGTCTATCTCGAATTTGACGGGCGGGTGATGGTGGCTGTTGGTCGACGCCATCCCATTTTCAAGTACACTACTAACCTACCCTGCCTTGACAATCATCAAACGCTTGATCAGTAGTGCCACAGACCGTCCTCCAGTTTCGCGCTACGTGATTTACGGAGCAGAGATAACATGGTTTTTGACACATGGAGATAGGATTCTAATTTTATCTAAACGACGACTTTCGTAGTTTCATGATTTGTCAACGAAGACGTTAGTAAGGAAATTAGATACGTCTACCCAAGTTGTTAGATAATGCCACGGGGGATGTGCACCGAATATTTTTTTCTAGCGATGACAGCAACTTTGAGTGAGAGCGAGCCCGCCGGATCACGTCACGGCGAGCAATTTCTCATGTACAAGGTATACGTGTGGTATTCGTCAAGCAAATTGCGTTGTCAACCACAGGGGAAGATGTGATAACGCCTCTGGAGAGCCAGGCATCAAGATGGAAAAATGTAACCCATCCTCCACTAGGTCAAGAATTTTGCGCTCAACCCCTTCACTGAGCTCACACACAGTCGAACTAAAGCTCCCAATACCTACAACTGAAAACGACTTGAGTGTCGTGATCTTATCGCTCTTCCGTCTGCCCTCCAGCATCCTATGCATGTCATGGATATTAAACGAGAACATGCCGCGAAGCGTCAGGGCCTGCAAGTTGGGGAGTGATAGTCGATGGGAGTCGGCGCGGTGTAGGGAGTCAAGAAAGTCGACGGAGAAGTGAAAATCTCTTTCTTCAGCACTGAGGTGAATGAGAGAAGGGACGGCATCTAGGCAATCTATAAGGTCTCCTTCCAGGGGAAAGATGTGATTTATGGTCAGACTTTGTAGATTGCAAGAAGATTGTTTGAAGAAGGAAGCAAGCAAGGCTGGAGTTGTATCCTCCGTCCAATTTGAGCAATTGATTTGAATCCAGGAAGAGTGACCCTCCCGAAAACCGAGGCTATCTCTTGCACTGCAGTGCTCGTGACGTCAAAAGACTCTATGCCGCGGTGCATAACGGTATCTGGAATTGTGACGATGTCTTCAACTTCGCTTGTTGTCCTGTCAAGGTGACAAGTGATCAGATTTCGGCATTCGCGGAAAACATGAAAGCACTCCTCGATAAGGAGACAATCAGCATACAACCTCGTGAGCTGTTTCCAAGGTAGATACAAGTTTTCCAGGTAATAGTGTCCAAGATCGAGGCTCCGAAGTAAGGGGCAATTTTCGAATATGCGTAGGTCGATTTCAATACACTCCTGTTTAGGGGGTCGGATGGAGAGCGATTTTAGGACGGGAAGATTGTCCTTTATTGGAATAAGATCGGGATAATTATCCTCCGGGAGAAATATGTCCGCCGTTTCCCACTGGCGGGAAAAGGAAGCGATAGTATGCATGATTTTGTGTGGAGGGGCCTCCCTCCAACCTCTGTATGGCTCTTCCTCGTTGAGATAAATGTGGAGGTTCCGTGAGCCTGCTTTGGAAATCCATTCCTCAAGCAACTCGTTTTGCACATCTAATCTGGCCGGTGCGACGAGAAGATCGGCGACTTCCCAAAGAGATGGTATCGACCAACAAATTTCCCGCCACGCGCCGCATACTTTTCCCAAGACCAGCGGGGAGGTTACTCTGGGAGGTCGGCGCTGTGGAATATAGTCGCACACCATCATGAATATCTCGGCCATTATTTCTGGTGGTAGTAGCGAGTGAATGGCCGCAGGAGTGGTGTTGCCATTTGTTTTTGTAAAAGAGGTCATCTAGTAATTTTAGCTGCAGTGAGAAGTTATAGAACCATCCACTCACCTTGCGTGGTCGCTCGACCGTAACTCCAAACCAATCATGATCGATGGCATGCAAAGACGGAAAACTCACTGACGCGTGACGCGTTGTCCAAAAGATAATTTGGCCAATTATTGTCCAAAATTGAAAATTCAATCACCCATAAGGTGGCCAGGATATTCGTCGCGCCTCCATACAGTAAGAACAGTCTAAAAGAACTACGCAAGAATGGCACCAACATAAGCTGCTACTCATTGGAAACTCATCCGTTGGGAAATCAAGCCTCCTACTACTATGCTGTTCCAACGAGCAAACGGGGTCACTCTCGATTCGCGCTCATCCTCTCGCTATACACCGAGCAAAAGCTCGAAAATGACGGGCGGGTGATCGTGGCTGGTCGACGCCATCCCATTTCTAAGTACACTAATTTTATATCTATCACACCCTGTTTGACCAATGACAATCATCAAATGCTTGATCACGCACTGGCACACAATGTCCTCTAGTTTCGCGCTACGTGGTTTACGGACCAGAGATAACATGCACATCCGTGGGTTTTTGGCACATGGTCATGATTTATGTATAAACGAAGACGTTACTAAGGGAATTAGATTGGATAGATAGGTTTGACAAGTTGTTAAATAATACTACGAGGGATCGTTACGGCGAATATTTTATTCCAGCGATGACAGCAATCCTGAGTGAGGCTGGCGGGAGAGAGCCCGGATCGCGTCATGACTGGGCAAAATAGTAGGCCTTCAACGAAGTTGGTGGGCAAAATTTCAACGAACTGGAGTTGCACAAGAATTGGAGGTGGTAGTTGGCTTGGAGATCTTGTTGAAATACACCACGTAGCTGTGTAAAGAGCCCGAACGAAAAGGATGTTGGAAAAGGTGGAATAATTTCCAAAAACGGGAGCTTCTGGTATGTGATAGCTCATGGCAAGTTTTGTAAGGCAACAACTGCCAAAGCTTCTGATGTTGGGAACGAATTCAAAGCGGAGGGCGTCAGCGATCCATGCTCAGCGCTCAATCATAAACATGTTGAAGGACTTTACCTCGAGAGAAAAATTTCCATGAATGAGGGTGTATTGTTTTTGTACATGGGTATACATCAAGCAAATTGTGTTGTCAACCACGGGGGAAACTGTGATAACGCCTCCGGGCAGCCAGGCATCGAAATGGAAAAATGTAACCCATCCTCGACTAGGTCAAGAATTTTGCGCTCAACCTCTTCGCTGAGTTCACACACCGTCGAATTAAATCTTACAATAGAAAATGACTTTAGTGTCGTGAGCTTGTCGTTGTTCCGTCTACCCTCCAACATCCCATGCATGTCGTGGATATCAAACGAGAACATACCGCAAAGCGTCAGGGCCTGCAAGTTGGGGAGGAATAGTCCACGGGAATCGGCGCAGCGTAGGAAGTCAAGAATGTCGACGGAGAAGTGAAAATCTCTTTCTTCGACATTGAGATGGATGAGAGAAGGGACGGCGTCTAGGAAATCTATAAGGTCTCCTTCGAGGTGAAAGATGCGATCTATGATCAGACTTTGTAGATTGCAAGAAGATCGTTTAAAAAAGGAAGCAAGCAAGGGTGGAGTGGTATCCGCCGTCCAATCTGAGCAACTGATTTGAAGCTTCGTCAGTCCAGGAAGGGTGACGTTCCCGAAAACCGAGGAAATGTCTTGCACTTCGGAGCTCGTGACGTCAAAGGACTCTATGCCACGATGCGTAATGGGAACAGGAAGTGTGACGATGTCTTCGACGTCGCTTATTATCTTGTCGAGGTGACAATTGATGAGATTTCGGCATTCGCGGAAAACATGAAAGCACTCCTCAATAAGGAGACCATCGGCGTACAATCTCGTGAGCTGCTTCCAAGGTAGATATAAGTTTTCCAAGTAATAGTGTCCAAGATCGAGGCTCCGAAGTAAGGGGCAGTTGTCGAATATGCGTAGGTCGATTTCAATACACTCCTGCTTAGGGGGTCGGATGGAGAGCGACTTCAGGACGGGAAGATTGTCCTTTATTGGAATAAGATCGGCGTAACTGTCTTCCGGAAGAAATATGTCCGCCGTTTCCCACCTGCGGGAAAGGGAAGCGATAGTATGCATGATTTTGTGCGGAGGGACCTCTTTCCAACCTCTGTGTGGCTCTTCCTCGTTGAGATAAATGTGGAGGTTGCGCGAGCCTGCCCTTGCAATCCATTCCTTGAGAAGCTCGTTTTGCACATCTAACCTGGCTGGTACGACGAGAAGATCGATGACTTCCCAAAGGGACGGTGTCGACCAACAAATTTCCCGCCACGCGCCGCAAACTTTTCCCAAGACCAGCGGGGAAGTCATTCTGGGAGGTCGGCGCTGTGGAATGTAGTCGCACACACTCAGGAAAATCTCTGCCATTATTTCTGGTGGTAGTGCCGGGTAAATGGCCGCAGGAGCGGGTTTGCCATTTGTATTTGTGGAAGAGGTCAGCGTCAAGTTGGCCAGCGAACGAGTGGCATCATTTGTAGCGACATTAGAATCTCCATTCGACGCGTTTCTTGGAGTAGAACTGTCGTCCATTGTGTTGGTGGTGGAGGGTAGAGAAGATTTGACTTCGGCCCAACGATCTTCACAAATTTACAAAGTTAGTCTGATCAAAGAGACTAAATTGAGCCGGAGTATGAAGTGGAGAGCGACTATCCACTCACCTTGCGCCAAATTCCCTTAAAACCCTTCGTGTCGACCGTAACTCGAGCCCGATGGCATGCAGTGGAGTGCAGGGGTCCACGCGAGCGTGACGCGTTGTCCAAAATGAGAATTTAGGTCACGAACACCAAGCCATTCATACACCTTGCGCACCCCTTTATTGTCCAAATCACCCATAAAAAGGTGACCAGGATATTCGTCGCGCTTCCGAACAGTTTCAACAGTCTAAACGAACTACGCAAGTATGGCACCAACACCGGCACCGCCTATCAACGTCAAGCTGCTACTCATTGGAAACTCATCCGTTGGGAAATCAAGTCTCCTGCTACGCTTTTCCGAAGAGCAATGGTTGCCGGAGGACGAGAGTAGTGCGACAATCGGGGTCGACTTTCGGGTGTGTGTACTCTGCTCGGTCCTTGGGAGCTACCTTGCTCGGGGTGCTCCAAGGATCACGTACACTCCATGCAAGCTGACATGGCTTAAATAATAGGTGCATAAGATGGATATGAAGGGGAAGAAAGTGAAATTGAGCATATGGGTGTGACCAATGTCTCTTATGGCGGACCACTGCTTATGAGCTGGGCACGTAGGATACGGCAGGCCAGGAGCGTTTCCGAACAATCACATCATCATACTACAGAGGGGCACAGGGTATCATTCTCGGTACGTTCTCCCAGCCCTCAGGCGATACCTTCGCTCATAAGGGCTCCATCTGCAGTTTATGACGTCGCAAATCGCGAATCATTTGACGCCTTACCACGGTGGTACAGTGAGCTCGAGACATACGTCTCGGATTCAGTAGTCAAGATTCTTGTTGGTAATAAAGTTGACAAGGTCAGTCAAACTGCCTTGTCTCGATAGACCCAGGTTGATAATACCATCGTGCCACCAGGAATTCTCACGTCAGGTTCCAACCGCCGAGGCGCAACAGTTCGCAACGCGGATGTCCTCGCTTTTCATAGAAACTTCGGCCAAGACGTCGGTTGGTGTAAAGGAGGCGTTCCAAGAGGTCGTCGAGAAGATTATTGATACCCCTGAACTATGGGAGGGAACTTCGGCTAGGAAGGGGCAAAACACTGGTAACGGCAATGGTGGTATGCCCGGGGGCGTGCAAATTGTTGGGCGGGATGAGAGGCAGGCCCAAGACTCAAGCCGTTGTTGCTAATGGCTATATTTTCTGCCTTGTGTGTTACTGACCTCGACGACCAAGATGCGTCGCGGTTAATTGGGTCTCTTTGCTGGGTTCCTGTTTCCTCTCCCTTGATAAATACCCTATAGCCTTCCCTTTGTTGTGTACTCTATTCCGTTTCAATGTATTGATTTTTGGCCCCAAAACCATTTGTGTTAGAGTGGATTCTTTCGTGCAAGAATGTCAATTTGTAAATCCCCCTGAAGCTTGTGACTTCTGAGCAAAATATGAGTAGGAATGATACCCATAGTATTAGAATGAGCAGGCCACAGATCAAACGAGATTCAGAGGATGAGGGCATAAACCATGAAATGAATATTTATTTATAGCCGGACGTTTTCGGGAAGGCAAACTCCGAAGACTAGGTTTCCCAAATTTCTACCCAATTTCTACCTCAAAATTCGCGATGCTGGCAGCTAGAGCGTCAACGGCGCGCAACATCCAGCGCATAGCGCGTTCATTCGCTACCGCGGTTGACACGGCTGGTGTAAAGGTCGCCTCAGTGAACTACAACCAGCCCACGTCGTCCGTGACGGTCCTCGTCAAGGCTGGCAGCCGGTTCGAAACCAAGGACGGCGTCGCCAATGCACTCAAAAACTTTGCCTTCAAGGTCTGTCTTACTTTCTTTCTCATTTCTATGCAAAATTCTCATAACCAGCTATAGAGCACGGCAAAACGTTCTGCGATCGGGACAGTTCGTGAGAGCGAGCTTTACGGGGGCGTCTTGTCAGCTAGCCTCGGAAGGGAGTACCTCGCTCTGTCTGCCGAGTTTTTGCGTGGTGATGAGTGAGTCTAATTGCTACTATTGAGAATGAAATGCATCTGAACTTTGTGGTTTTTCACAGACCATTTTTCGTTGACCTCCTCACCTCCTTTATCACTTCAGCCAAGTTCACTCGCCACGAGTTCGAAGAATACGTCCTCCGTCTTATAGAAGCTGATACAGAAGCAGCTGTAGAAAATCCCACCTCTCGTGCCATTGACGTTGCGCACTCCCTTGCCTTCCGTTCCGGCCTTGGCAAGTCCCTCTTCGCTCCAGCACACAACTCCCTCACGGTAGCCGACGTCAAGGCTTTCGCCTCCTCCTCCTTCACGAAGGGAAACGTTGCTGTCTTGGGCACAGGCATCGACCAGAGTACCCTGTCTAGCCTCGTCGAGAAAGCCTTTGCTTCCGCTCCCAGTGCTTCCACCACCTCCTCCACATCCCCGACCTCTTACTTCGGTGGAGAAACGCGTCTCCAGTCTCACCACGGACCCCAGACCGTGTTCATCGGCTTTGGGACCACTGGTTCTCCTTCTGCATCCCTTGCCGCGCTTTCAGCTCATCTCTCACCTGCTCCCTCGGTGAAGTGGTCGAAAGGAATCTCGTCAATCGCAACAGGCATTCCGGAGGGCACTTCCGTTCAGACCGTCTATCTGCCCTACTCTGATGCGAGCCTGTTTGGGTTGCTTGTCCAAGGTTCGACCGCGGCGGGTGTCAAGGAGGCGGGTAAGGTTGCTGTTCAGGCGCTGAAGGCGTCGGCTAGCGGGCTTAAGGAGGAAGACTTGAAGAGGGCCATCGCCAAGGCTAAATTCAACGCTGCCAGCGCATCTGACAACCGAGAAGGGTTAGTTGCTGCTCTGGGATCCAAGGTACGCAACTTCGATCTTATCTTTTCGTATGTCCTGACTTATGTCTGCAAAGATTTTGGGTGGCTCTGATGTCACCTTGGAGAGCTCTTTCTCGTCGTTGGATGCCCTCAACACCTCGACGTTCTCTAAGGTCAGTAGTCTGATGGTGTTATTTGCTCGTTGGTGCTCATTACCCTCTAGGCTACATCCTCTCTGCTCGCCTCTAAACCTACATATGTTGTTGTTGGAGACGCGCATGCCCTTCCTTTCGCTGACGAGCTGGGGTTGTAAGTAGATTCGAAATACGGATGGGCTAATAGACGGCTACGTATCAAAGACTTTTACTCCCTCAGGGTCTTGAGTTCACCAACTTTAATGTCGTCGGAGCGTTCATGGAGATTCAATCTCACTCTGTCATGCGTTGCGGAGGCATACTCATAGTTAGTGAGGGATGCAAGGCAGCAAGAGATTATTCCCTAGAACGTAGCGAGGCACGAGTGTAGAGTTAGGGTGCTGTCTTTGCTCGGGGCGTGTGATAATTTACGTAATCAATCTTTGTCTTTCTCCTACAACTATCGCCGCCCACTCTGCCTCTGAGGACGCTGGGCTTGCCTTTCCTTTTCCCCCACCCTCCGCTCCCTTATTTTCTGCCCGCTGCTGGCTCAGTGGCACCCGCATGCTTTCCCGCGCAGAGAGCTCCCCCACTCTGTAGGGCAAGACCTTTGGACGATGCGGGTGTGGTTTTCCCTCCCACCCATCGCTGCTCATCTCGTTTGCCCACAGATTGGACCTCCCTGCCGGGACGGAAAGCCTCACGCCCGTTATTGCGCTTCGCGCATTCTGGCTTTCTCTCTCGGATTAAAACATTACGTGCTCTCTTAGCCCATGGACTACGTAGTACTCTAAGCACCCTGTAATGTTTTTACCCACCTACACTAGACGTCCTCAGCCCTAATACAAAGAGATCCTGCAGAGCTCTCCAAAGTCCAGACTCCAGATAGCTAGCGCACGCATCACCTGAGTTTGAAATAGTTAGACGCCAATCATCAATTCAGATAAAACCAATCCCCACTTGCCTCCACTTGCCAGCCACCATCCTATGCACTCTTACTTGACAACAATGTTGACGGGCGATGGGGAATCGGATGATACTATTTGTGTTAGTGGCGCACAAGCATCCGCGGTACTGTCTCTCCCGCCAGAAATATTAGCAGAAATATTCCTGCGGATGCAGTTCGAACAAAAAACGCCTCTGCTGTTAGGGAAAGTATGCCTGGACTGGCGCGCGATCGCGTGGTCTACACCGTCCCTGTGGAGTAACGTGGATTTTTGCCTCTCAAAAGAGCGACACTCGGTCCGGACTGAATTGTTAGACGAATGGCTGCAACGGTCAAAAGCTGTTCCCCTGACCATTCGTATCTGGTCAAAGGAGAAGGAGTGCGGTTACTGGCAGTCAACAACGCCGACGGAAATGTTGAGGATTCTCGTTTCTCATTCGTGGCATTGGGAAAATGTCGACCTGCATGCTCCGCGCCTGTGGGATACGGCTTTGCAGCCTATCCGGGATAACCTCCCGATGTTGGACACTCTGCGCATAACGCTTCCCACCGTCTCTGCACATCACCTATCTTTTGATATGTTCGAGAACGCACCATCTCTTCATGAAGTCCACACAACCTACGTCTACATCGCGGAGGTCAGATTACCATGGCATCAGATAACCATATTTAGAGGTGATCATCTCTACGTGGACGAATGCCTTACAGTGCTTTGGCATTGCCCTCAGTTGAAGAAATGCTATTTCTCCCCTATCATCAATGACGACGACCTTGCACGGACGCACCTTTTGCCAGAGGCACTCACCCACAAGTCTTTGGAGCGGCTAGACATCACAAACACGGATGCCTCCCTCATCGATCCTTTCCTCGATCTTTGCACCCTTCCCGCTTTACGTCGCCTTCGCATTGAGTGCAATAGGCATATTGACGATACTACTGTATCAATTACGCCTACCATACGGCGGTCAGCATGTATCTTGGAGAACCTCTCTATGGAAGAAGCATTCTTATCTGAAGAGGAAGCTATCAGTTGCTTGCAAAGCATCCCTTCCCTCGTCACACTTGAAATCAGTATACAATCTGCGAAGGGAATATCAGTCAAGTTCTTATCCGCCTTATCTTCCACAGACAAACCTTTCCTTCCGAATCTTCGCATTTTAAGCATCGAAGGATATGTATTTTTTGATGTCGAAGAGTTAACCGAAATGCTGGTATGCCGTTGGACCTGCCCTGAAAAGCGTTCCTGTCCAGTTTCTCGACTCAAGTCCCTAAGAATCACCTCGTCGATCGATCTCGCATTCAATTGTACCAAGGAAAATCATAGCAGGTTGCTGGAAATGGTTCAGGATGGCTTGGATCTGTCAATCATATCCGGTTTCGATGAAGCAGACATTCTCAAGCAGATGGAGATACGAATTGCGGAAGAAAGCAACAGAAGCTAATTGACACTCTGTACGGTTAAATATGATCCTTGACGTCGAGAGCAACGCCGTCGAAAATACAGATCGACTACGCCTTCAATCTGCTCAAATCTACTACTCAGTACCTCTCCCGTTGGGAACAAGTTGCCCAATATCCAACAACATCGGTTTTATATTTCTTTGATAAATTATCAGCGACCAGCTGCGCGTGCTTTTCATGAATCCACATGCGAACCCTCTCAGTTGTTGTAGTTTGGTTGTGGTGATGACTTGCAGCCTGTCCGCGATAATGTCCCGCTGTTGGAAACCCTGCACTTGAAGCGCCATCATGGCGATCCCGACCACCACTGTTTTCAATCGTTAGCCGTGTTCGTGAATGCACCACTCCTTCACGATGTCCATTTAATCTCTACATACGTTCCGGAGGTTGTTTTACCTTGGCATCAGATGACTACATTCAAAGGCAGCCAGCTCGACCTGGCCGAATGCCTAACAATGTTTCAGGATTGCCCTCATATGAGGGAATGTCATTTTTCCCTTGCTATAGAGGACCACGAACCTATGCAAGCGCCCCTTTTGCCAGGTCTCACCCACAAATGTCTGGAGTGGCTAGAAATTAGAAGGGCAAAGAATGCAAACCTCAGTGTTCTTAATCTCTGCACTTTCCCCTCTTTACGCCGCCTCTGATGCTGCAGTGAATATTTAAATCAGACTGTATCCATCACATCCTTTATACAGCGGTCGGGCTGCATTTTGGAGAACCTCTCCTTTGAGAGAATTTTCCTTTCTGAAGAGGATGCTATCGTTTGCTTGCGGAATACTCCGTCTCTCGTGGAACTCCAAATCGCTATGGGCCCGGGATTTCCAGAGTAAATATCGGTTAAATTTCTGGCTGCGTTAACTTCACCAGATCCGCCTCTCCTTCCGAATCTCAGGAGTCTTAAAATTCAAGGTTATGTAGCTTTCAATGCCGAAGAGTTGACGGAAATGCTGGTCGGCCGCTGGGCACGTCCCGAAGAGCTTTCCTGGCCATTTCCTCATCTCAAGTTCTTGACAATCATCTCGCCGATTACTAGGCGTACATTCGGCAGAAATGCCGAGGAATCTCGTCTCAGGTGAGCTGGTTCTGGGTGCCTTGGATCTGCCAATGACATGTACTTACGATAGGGTTGACAGTCACGAGCAGATGGTGATACGGTTTGCGGAAGAAGAGAATATACGTTACTCATCATAGTTAGATATAACTGTTCCAGCCCCCAGGTTTAAACCGCCCATTTTCTCAGCTTTGTCAACTATTGCACAAGCGATAGCCACATCTTGCAGCCCGATGCCTACAGACTTGAAAATTGTAATCGGTCCGTGGACATCCGCGAGAGCGACATGATCGTCTTGTAATTCCGGAGGACCCTCATTGAACATGTCCTCTAATCTACTCAAATCCACCTCCCCCGTCGAATAATCTCGGGGGACGAGCTCCCCAATTTCTACAACGTCATCAAACTTTATTCCTGCGTCGATGAGTTCTCCTGCTTCAGATGCACAGGCTTTGCGTGAATCCACCAGAAGTATCGGGCGCCAGTTCTTGCTTTCAATCGCATGAGCCGGAGGCTCCTGTGGCTCGGGTATAGCTCTCGCAATAAGCTCTTTATCTACCTCTTTCATTTTGGGGGTGTAGCTGCCGATCAAAACAACGTGCGTCCCAGATCGGACCCAAGAGGATGGAAAGAGGGGTGTCGTAGCAGACGTGGCGCAAATTATCAGCTGTGCAGAACTAATTACGTTACGGATGTCGATGCAAGGTGGAGAAGGGTCACGGTACCCTCCCTGCGAGGCAATCAAATCAACAGACACACCGGGGAAGCGTTCTTTTACGCGTTGCAGAAGATTCTGCGCGCGTGCGTTGATAGTACGATTTACGATGGTACACTTCCTCAAGGAAGGAAAACGACGGATGAACAAGTCGAGATGAGCTTCAATTTGTTGTCCAGCTCCGAATACAACCAAATGTCGCGGCATTCGTTGTGCGACTAGGATTGTCGAGAGGAGTGAACCTATCGGAGATTTGAGTGACCGAAGGCAGAAGTATTTATAAAAAGAAGATTTCATAAAGTGTAAGCCTATCACATACCGGCAGCGTTCCTGAGTGCGGTGAGCTTCCGAGCGTTAACGATAGCCTTCACGGCACCGGACGATTCATCCAAAACCAGGGTCGTGGCAGGCAATCCCTGCATATCGGGGGCTCGAGGTACACAAACAATTTTGATTGACGTACCACCCGCGGATGAAGAGGGTGCGATCCGGGCAGGCATGAATAACGCGGTATGGTTGGTCGTTCGTATGGATGTTCGAGCTGGTGCATCAATCTTGGAAGATGGAGTGGAAATTAGTGCAAAAACGCGGGCCATTATAATCTGGAGTTCAGATAGGGTAAATGAATCTACAATATCATCCACATCAGTCGCAGAGAGGATTCGGATCGACATGATGAATGAGAGCGTTGTTTGTAAGTATTTGACAAAGCCTTTGCAGGGACTGATGTGGTACTCCGACCCGGTGTGTTTTGAAAAGGTTAATAGAGGCCATGCCCGTCTCCGTTCGTCATAGGACCAGCGCGCGCCCTGACCCAATCATACAATGCCCGCCCGTCCCCTCGCAAACGTCCCCCTAATGATCTCCGCCGCTGTTGCGGTCGACGACCATCACCAGTCTGTGATGCTCATTATCCTCGCCACGTCTCTTTTCGGTGAGTCTGGCCTCGTGTTCCCAATCATAGCCTCTGATTGACATCGTACGACCCCAGCCGTCTCCTTCCCAGGTCTCTCTAAGCGAATCCCATTCTTGCGGATACCGCATGTTGTCTTCTTCATTGGGAAGCACTTTGGAACAGGTCTGTGCCGACTTCCTTCTCTGAGACAAGCTTAATAAACTGGGCCGTATCGCAGGCGTAATATTGGCGACCGCCTTTATTCACCTACTTGATGACGCTTTTCGATCTCTCCAATCTCCCGAAGTAAAATCACGCTATCACAACATAGGAAAATATACTGGGCTTATCATGTGCGCCTCCCTCCTCCCAGCCAACTCTGTCTCTAACCCATTGTTAGACTATGTTCCTTGCTAGCAATCTTTCTTGTAGAATGTGTGTGTTTTCATCTACTTTCCGTAGATCCCTCACTGACGTCGGCCCAGACCTCTCTACGACATACGTAGACCACCTACACGCAGAGCCTTCGGAGCCTCCAACACGGGAGAACACCCGCCCAAGCAGCCCAGAGCCGGGCCCATCTGCCCCTCGATGTTCAAGTATCAGACCCTCTACAGAAACAACTCCATTATTGGGGACCCGGCCCCTTCTTCACCATTCGCATCATCCTCATAATCGACTGGAACATGAGCTTCAATTATCAGCACCAGAAACGCTGCCCATCGCCACCGTCCTTGCAAACTCTCCGAGAATTCTTAGGTTAGGTCGCGAAGGATTTAGCGGCGGTGGATATCTGTGCGAGTGTGGCACTGAATCGGAGGGCGTTTGCCCTTGCACAGGAACGCCAGACTGTAGGAAGAGCGTCGATTGTGTTACGCCACTGGGACAAGAAACTGATTCGCAATCATCCCGGGAAGGAAAGCGAAAAGACCTTCAACCACGAGTAGGAAGGCGAAGGCAGATTGTTGGAATTCTGGTACAATTCCTTCCCAAAGTTTCCCCAGATATTTTCTGACTCATCGCAGGTGTTGCAACTCGGTATAATGATTCACTCCCTCGTTATTGGATTGACTCTGGCCGTCACATCCGGATCAGACTTTAGTATGTTTCCTTGTGGTTTCTTCTGCAAGTTTACTGATGTTCTTTTAGCTTCATTGACAACCGCAATCATTTTCCACCAGCTCTTCGAAGGGCTCTCACTAGGAATTCGTATCGCAGCTCTTCCCCAGAAAAATAATAAAGTAGACGATGAAGAGACAGGCTCAAGTAAATCATCTCCAACAATACGTGGGGCACAACCTTCAAGTACTACAGTATCTCCTCAGCTTGTTAATATCGACGACGAAGAAGCCACGAAGCCACAGTGCAGAAAGCCAAGTCCAGCAAAACAAAGTTCGAGAATCAGCCAGTTTGCAGCCTGGCTTCGTCCTCATCAGAACCACCACCACCACCATCAGAACCACCACCACCACCATCAGAACCACCATGGAGGGTCGGATTCAACGCTGTGGGAACCGGAGTCAAGTTCACCAGAGGACACAAAAGAGCCAACTCGGGGAATCGACTGGCTCAAATTGACTCTGTCGCTTCTCTTCGCCATCACAACCCCTTTGGGCATGGGAGTAGGCATGATTGTCTGGACTCGTCATAACGGGAGCAGTCAAAAGAATGGTGTGTGCCGTTCAACAGAGAGCCGGGTGGGACTAACATCGAGCTTCATTTAGCACAAATGCTCTTGACCCAGGGCCTAATGTCCGCCATCTCGGCAGGACTGCTAATCTACGCCGCAACGGTGGAGATGATCGCTGGAGACTTCGTGTTTGGGGACGTGGAGGGACATGGGCACCATCACCATGGAGGTCCCAATGCCAAACAAAATGAAAGGGGGGAAGGAGAAGGAGAGGGTACCGTTCATCATGATCATGATGAGGTGGAAGGGCACGGAGATGAGTATGGACACAATGGGCACGGGGCTTCCTCCATGGGGAAGAAGGCTCTTGCGGTGATGAGTCTTCTGGCGGGTGTGCTGGGTATGGTACTTGTTGGGTTAGGCGAGTGAGTTCCACGTTTGTATTGGAGGTATGATGGGAGGGGTGTGAGGTCGGTCTTCGTGTATTACCAACGAGTCCTTACTACTAGAACTCTTAGCTGTCAAACAATGTATCATACTTGCATCGCACGCACCTCGGTACCACCAAATCGCCTATATTGTGCACAATTTCTGACCTCTGTACTCACAACTCAATCAAAAGGGAACTAATAATGCCCTCCCTGCAAAGCAATGAGGCACGTACCGCAAAAATGCTTGCCGTGTATTACTCGATAGACCTCTAACCAACTCTCTAGAACAGCCTGGTTGTCATTGTCCAGTGCAACTTTATGGTCTTAGGCTTTTGTCATAAGCAGCGTGTCGTTGTGCACTCGCGATCGGCACACTGTGTGACGCCAAAGATCGCGTCTTGGATACTTCGTCAAGCCTTCGGCAACTTCCCTACTGAGTACTGAACAGTGTAGAGTTCTATAGTTCTATATAGAGAGGAAATCGAACAACAGTCAAATGTATAACCACCCCGTCGAACAGACAATGATAGATCAAGATCCCTCATAATCTCCGTCAACAAACTTTTTGGGAAGAGAAGAGTCGAAGATTTCCTCCAAATTTCCTAATAATGTGATATTTTATTATTTACAAAATATTTAACAACCTATCCCGTCTATTAACTATTAGCTTGACAGAACTGAATCCTGATCAATCCCAAGCCTGTTCGAATTACGCACGTCGTTGGATGCAGATGGTATCAAAAGAGGTTTTGTAGAGGGTGAAAATTGAAGTAGATGGGGCGAGTGGAGGCCCGGGGTAAAGTTAAGTTGGAGAGCGAAAGTTTGGGGGCTTCTGTCGAATAAGGATCGATATGCGCGAGTCGGAGCCCTCGCGCATCCGCTTCCGGCCAGCTTCCTCCCAAGTCACAGATAAAGAGTTAGCAGCGGGTAGACTCTGAACCACTGCTCGTCCCGTGAGAAGCCCTTCCGAGTCACTCCTAACACAAATCCTCCTAACGGATAGCCTAGTGTCTGAGGCCAGTCGTACCAGCCAGTATATAATGCCATAGACGGTGCAACTGTCGAAATAGCGGCACCGGTTCAAGCTCAAGCTTTGTACCAGGCCAATGCTCTGCACGAGCAACCCTTTATAAGTCCCAGATGGCGCGTCGGGGTGGATTTTCATGGCTCAAGAATGGAACGGCAACGTCAGGCGGTCCATAAAGTCGATCAAAAAGTGGCGGAGAATCGATTAATCCAGCTCAATGTTCTTGCTCCAGGGGGTGTACATATCAGAAGACTGGCGCACTATTAACGATTTCGGCCCCTCGCGATTTCGAAGCACTTCTTTTGCCATTTTTATAGCATTCACCAAGAAAGCATCATTCCCAAGGGCTGCCTCACTGAGGACACGGGTACGAAGTTCAATGTTGACAAGGTTTTTGAGGGGAGATAGTAGAAGAAGAGCCGCCTATACGATAAGGAACCGCAAATCAGATGGGCTCTGGGGCATAAAAGAGGAATCACAAACCGGAGAAATAGAGCAAGGGAATCTGGCTGTCCGAAGGTTAGGCGCCGCATTCACAATTTCTGTTAGACAAGGCATCAATAGTATCCGCACATTCAAAGCATCGCAAAAACGACAAACGTTTCATCATCTTTTCATCTGTGTGAAAGTCCTCGATGACTTCAACTTTTTTGCAGTCCTTGGCTATCGCTTTCACAAGCGCCGTTCCACTACCAAAGTTACAAATTACCCTTCGCACTTCTGGACAGCTTCTCAAAACATTATGAACATGATCGGGTACAACGACCGTTTGCACACTGGGAAATGTTCGGCCTTCGAAAGCCGATTTCAGGCTACTGGTCATCTTGCCAGTATATATGGAAAGAACCGACAGTGTGTGTAGGTTGGGCAGAGCCTGAAGACAACTGACATAGGCGGGCAGGACTGTTGCCGTTGAGCAACGTGGAAGTATGACGTTTAGACATCTATCCATTCAACCATAATTCGCATTTGACTTGAAAAATGAAATACAGGCACGCACCGGACATGAGAAGCGTATTGAGGGTTTTGCGCGAGGCCTTTGCTTTTCCTCTCCAATGATCTGGCGAGCCAAAGATTCCACGCAGCCTCAGTTTTCTGGGATCGGGCGGTGCAGACCTCGACGCGCTCCCAAAGCAGAGACAGAAAAATCAATCTCCATTGTTGACACGTCTGGGAGAGAGCTCTGAGGAGGTTGGTGCGCTCAAGAGAGGAAGCGGGTGGGGTGCTGTGGAAATATACCCCATAGAGAGGGACCCCAACCAGCGGGCGAGGAAAATATGATAATATTTCCATAAGGAGTTCCACAGGCAGCCCTAAGGCACTTGATCTGCGATTGGGCAAGACGGCCACAGCTCTCGAGTCTGACGAGGTTTTCGCGCCGACCACATCTCTCGACGAGGGTGTCGCGCCGACCACAGGCTCCAGTTTAGCGCGCTTCGCACGTCGGGGTGGCATGTTGGAGAGGTGAATACGATGGTTCCTGAGTGAGATAAGGACAACCCTTTTTTTATAACGGCTGTCAGCTCACTAAGCGCTCTTGGAAGGACTTCTTGGGAAGAAGTCCTTCCAAAAGAGTTGTCTGCGGAATGAGTGCTCACTTGGACCATGTCTAGTCCAGATCCTTTATCCCTCGTCGCGCTCATCGTATCTCTGGTCGCGCTCATCCTTACTCTTCTCCAGGTGGCCCAACAATTCGTAGCTACAGCTTCCGACTACCGCCATTGCTCTCAACGAACATTAGGCGGGTGGCACAAACGAAGCCGGCGCCAGTTCATTTGGAACGAACTACGCTTCGAAGTGCATTTCACTGTTCCTATTATCCGTGTTAGTATCCCACCTTCCGATAGTACAGGTGGAGAAGACATATACACTGTACCTACCACTTCAACCGTGACAGAAAAGAAGTCGCCTTCAGCACTTGAATCTTCGACAAGTGGAGCACAGTACATCCTTCATACCCCAGAAGGGAATGAAATCTACACTTCATCCCAAACTCCGTGGTTCCTTGACCTCAAGGGAACGCGCATCGAAGCAAAATGTACTTGGCTCTCTGTCCTGAACGACACAGCCATTGCAAACCTGCAAATCGGTATTGATGAGCTTACGCTCTCGTACGACTTCATGCCCGACGGAATCAAGAAACCTCTTGCGCAAATGGATCGGAAGTCGTTCTTGACGTTGATGTCCCTCTTCCAGGTATCATGGCAGGAGGGATGGGGCGGAGAAAAGGCCGAATCTGGAGGAGGGAAAAAAAGCACTCCGACTGGTGCAGGCCCCTATTGCGAGGTCACTTCGCGTTATCTTGCGAACTTTGGCCCCGTTATCTCCTACCAACCTTCCAATTTCCTACCAACGAGGAGGTTCTACATTGCTTCTGAGAAAGCCCGATCAGCCATGTTCAGTCGCTTCGATTTAGGTTTCCACGTCGTTTTCATACACACTGCTGAAGAGGCGTACAGGAGCGCGTTGGCCCTTGCTGACGAGAGCGCAGCGAGTACTGTTCGGGATTATTATGACGCTAACAACGGCTGGTTGCCAGGCCTGGCAGAGGTAATCGGATGCTTTGCCGAACCAGAGATGCCCAAAGCCATTGAACACGGGTTGGACAGTTTCATATCAATTTTCTCTGCTCGGTCTATTGATTGCACCCTACACGACCCTCCACTCGCCCAGCTTCTCGTCGGCGAGGAAATAAAAAACTCAACTTCCAATTCTAAAACATTCGCCGAGTGGACGATGGATTATACATCATCGCTCAAGGACGAGGTCAGATTCCCGAAACTCCAGGCAGCCTTGAAGTTCGCTTGCAGGTATTATGGAACGGAGACCCACAGGCGTGAACCTATCCCGTGGTCCGAATCCCGAAGGTCCCTGGATGTGATAAAGTTGCTCGATGAGAAGCTAAGCGTTCTCTGCCAATTCCTTGCTCCCGGCCAGTCTGCGTTCTCAGTGCACCGCGAGTTCGCCCAACTGCAAATCCGCTTTTTGTCCACGCTCTTCGACGACACGACTGCTCTCGCTCAGCCATCCCGGGGCTTCTGGGTGGATTTTATTGGCGCTGTCGTTGCAGAAAAGTATGTGGAGATCTGTTCCATTCTGCAGGAGAGATTTCCAGAAAGTAAAGAAGCGGCGAGGCGCGGTTACGTCATTAACAGGTTGATGAGAGGCGTTCTTTGGCACGTCCATAATGGGAATCACCCATCAAATGGGGGCGATGATGAGCGCCTGTTGGAATGTTCGTTGAGTAGCCTTTGGCTTTCAGATTCATCGACTCTTTGGATAGACTAGTCACCTTGCTGTACATACCACCCAGATACCACCAGCCTGTTGCGTCAGATTCCCTGTTGTTCCAGTTGGCTAAGATGCGCTCGCCGCTGATCTTGGCAGAAAGTTGGTTTCGAATCTGTCAAAAATCGCCCTCATTTGTAACTGCCGTCACGAGCTTTGAAAAAATAACATGAGCAAATGGAAACATTGGGGCAGCTTGAAAGGAAATTTTAAAAAGATTACTGGGCACTCAGTTTCGAATGCACAGAAGATTTTGGAAATGAATATATATGTATGACATTTTTTGATTTGCCTGGTGCCATTTGGCCAGATATTTTTTTTGGGTTTTAACTCTACGTTATACGAGCATTCTTCCCTCATCTAAAGGGACATCATTGCGTCCTTGCTTAAGAAATGGTCCTGGTTTGGTAACAGAAAAAAATGCACCAATTTTATGGAAGAAAAATTGAAGATGGTTGAACGAAAACAAGCATACTCAGGCTTACTTATAACTCTCAGCTTTTGTGCAAAAATAAAGTTTGTTAACGGATACAGTCATCCACCTGCCAATGATACACCCAAAATGAGAAATTAGCTTCAACAGATTTGAGAGCAACCTTTCTCTACAAAAACTATATGAAAATCTCAGATAAATGCCCTTCTATGACCATACCAAATTTCAGAATGTTTGACCCACATTTCACGGAGAAAAACTAAGATTATGGGTGTATCATTGAGGGGTGTGACTGTATTTGGCTATTTCCGAAAAACAGTCCATTTTGTATGCTCCACAGCTTTGCCAATTCTGCCTCAATAGCATCCAAATTGTGTACAGTGGTAGATATGAGTTTTTACTACTCGTTACAACTTGTTTTGTAAAAATCGGTCTAGTATTGAGCGAGATATTTGCTAGTCAAAAGTGTATCAAATGGGGGTGGTGTATCATTAAGGGGTGGATGACTGTACTTGAACGGATATCTGGCATGTCAGATTCATTCCAGGACAACAAAGTAGGTTATTTCAACTTCAAACCGACCTGCCACTACAGTAAAGGGCCTAAGCACGAATTCAAAGATGACTTGTAGTGCCATGTATTCGCAAAGCAACAGCCAGTTAGCAATGGCCCACGGGCTCGGGCTACTGCCATAGCGTCTGATATCAAAGAAATGACACAAAGTAGCCATTTCTCTAGCTCATCCTGGCTGAAGGTGTCAATTGGAACTTTGAGGCGATGTGAGATACTAGGCGACGCGGTAGAGTAGACCCGGTATAGGTGGAGCCAAAGGTCTAGGGATTTGGACGCCTCGTAAAGCCGTCGGCTGGTCTGCCAGACAGTGGGGTTGGAATAAAAAAACAGCTACAGATGGGACGACGCACCTGACGAACGCGCAGCACATCGGCGCACTCCAATTCCTTCAACACTTTGGTCAGTAGCTCCATGGGAAGAGATTCAAGCCCCTCTTGCTGCACGGAATCGTGTTCTGGGGCCTATCGCGCATTCACTGGTATGACGCCGGAAATAAATCAAGGCTGGAATCACGAACATGGACGGACGCCGATAGCATTGAGATTTTGGGCCTTGTAGGAGGTGAACCTCGAAGGATAATGCAGTGAATATGGCAAATAAAATCTCTTGACGTTTTGCAAGACCAGGAGAACAGGAAACGTGTTAGGTGCAAATGGGACCTCTTCTGTTATTTAAACCTTTCTGCAATCTGGCCCATCCTATTCCGATATTTGAGCCTTCTCACGCGTGGCCAGCTTCTTCCAACCCTGAGTAGGAGAACCCGCGAAGGCGTAACCAGAATAGGAAAAGGTGCAAACGCGTAATATGTACGCAGGAGGTGGCTGAAAACCACACGAAACGCGCACTCAGTAAATCACGTGGCTTCCCCAAAAGACAACGTGACTCAAAGAACACCAGTGCACAATTCGTATGGAAGTGTATATCGAAGTTATCATATACAGGCTGGTCACGAGCCTAGGAAGGTAGTACCGCTAAGTCTGCTGCGTTTTTCGTCTGTGGTAGCATCGATATTGGGTGGCTCCATCGTTACAGATGGGAATGGTCCTTATGGGGGTCCGGGCAAAAAGTTGAAACGAGCAGTCGACATGATGCCAGCGGTAGCGAAAATATCTTTGTATGTAACACCTATACTGGAAACACCAGCATGAGAAGGATCTTTGTCAAAATTGGTGGGCGATCTTCGCCGAAAGAGCCGTAAACAGAGTTTTGTCAAAATGGTAATAAAAGAACAGTTGGGCACGGAAAGTTGGTTTGATGCATCGAGTTAGCTGAATCAAGCGTTAAATGTTGACCCAGTTCCGTCATCGCCTTTAGGAGACAAGAAAATCGAACTCTCTTTTCACCACATAGATCAAGAAATTTAACAGATGGTAAGCTCGGACTTGAAACTTCCGCGTGGAAGCACCTTAGTAGTTTGGGGATAGGCATCATCGCAAGCAAGCAACCTCCATTTCGGCTTTGCTCTGAGCGCCGCCCTGTGAGGACAGCCGACATGTAAGTCGGAATGTGGGCGCATAAGTCACTTGGTACGTACTACTAGTTTGAACCGGCTACGTCGCACGATACCAAGTCCGCATTGGGGCAGAGTAATATAGAGTAAGGAGTTCGTCTGAGAAAACCATTCCTTGAAAATCGGTTTGACTTCTAGGATGAAGGTCTCGTCGCAAGGCGCGGAATTCGTCACGGTGACACGCCTCACTGACTGAAAGTACATCAGAGCGTTTGTGAGATTGATAATCAGTTCCTACGGGGCGTCAAGTCAGACCACAAGAGTGGAAACTCCCAACAAAATCACCTTTGTAAGGGTCGTCAATGAGAGAACCAGTTCTTCCAAGAAGGGGAAACTCCTCCCGATGGTTGAAAGGTGTTCGAAGGGAAGAGCAGCCATGAAGTTAAACCGCGCTTCCTTAATTTCCAAAGAAGAGCGCCCAATGCCTATCAGATCTAAAATGTTTGGGGTCTTCGGGTCGATAGTAACAACAACTTTCCCGACGGGTCTACATTCTACCATACGGCGAACCAGGTTGAGCGGAACATGGCGACTCCAGCCAAAGTTGGTGAGATTCGGGAGCAATTCTTCGGCAAGAAGGTCTCCTCCATCGAGGGTTTCGGAGCCCTGGGTGAAATGAACCTCTTCTAGATAGGGCTGGGTGCGCAAGAACTCCACCATACCAGCATCCAACGGTAAGGTGGTTCGTAGACTGCGAAGTTGGAAGGTGGTGTTTGAAAAGAGGCGTCGGGTATTTCTATCTGGGGAATCACCGTCTTGAAGGTAAAGCTCAAGATGAGCGAGATTGGACATGAGCTTCAACGCAGTCGCGAAAAGACTTATTCGATCTTGGAAGGCTTCGCGAACTTGAAAAACTCGCCGCGTCCCGTGCTTCAACATATGACGAGCGAACTCCGACTTCGAGAAAGTTTTATCGATAGATGAGCTCCAGAAGTGCACTGTTAGGCTTTGGACAAGGGGGGCGACATGTTGGTAAAAACAGATAGTGGTCAGACATTCCAAGGTTCGGCGGGCATCCAACGCGGGAATTTGATTGTAGAGAGCTCTTATCGCGACGGCTGATATTCGACGATTTACTAAAGCCAGATTGTATAGTTCGTGGGTTCGACATCTGACCAGTATTGTTTCCAGGACTTCGTTTGGGAGTTCGCAGATAGGTGGGCTGACGGTCAGCCACTCGACGGCCAGCGACGCTGCTTTGGAGAAAAAAAGCATAATCTCAAGATGTGAGATTGCAACGATGAAATGTATGAGTCTTTCTGGCTGCTGCGGTAGAAAAGTTTGCGGTCGTGAGCGAATGCAAGAGACAACCGGAGGCAAATCGAAAAGTTGTGAAGGAAGGAATTATTTGGGCGTATTTATGTTCTATCAATGACGTAATACAAGTATAAATAACATCGCCAGGTTCAGAAAACGTTCAGAATCAAAGATTAGCGACGACGACGGTTTTCGTGACCGTAGGCATCTCAAGAGGTTTTTCGCGGTCTTCCTGACTTGAAAATGATCCGACGTTATGGACAAGATGTTGCTCTGGGTCGTTGATATTAGCCAGTTTCGTTCGATAGCGGTCCTTTGAAACGGTAGTATCGTCGGAAAATAGGGCGCTATTTGCGGTTCTTGACAGATGCTTTTCTTTGAGACCTTCCCTGGCGTTCAGCCTATGGAATAAAAGTTGTTAAACCGATGCATCTCGGGCAAACACAAGTAACGCACATAGCGACTTGAAAGGTACACAGTGTCAGTTTAGCAAATTATAGCATAAACTCAACATTGCAACTCACAGAAAGTGTTGACATATAACTTCGTGACGTTGAAGTGAAAGGCGAGCCTATCGTTCGTTGAAGGGTTATATCAATGTTTTGTATGAGAAGCTCAGAGAGACCATACCAATGAAGTCTCGTTGGGAAAGCATAAAATGATATGAGAAGAAGGGTTTGCATTGAAGCGACGAGGGCACCGCGATGGACGATGAATTTCATCAACGAATCAATGAGCCGATTGGTCCTGAATATTTTGAGTAAGAATGTAAATCTGACAAGAGCCTGGGAGGAAGCGCGAACTGTCTCATTCCCGTCTTTGCCGATGTCAAAAAAGCACAGAGAGCACCTGTGGCCAAAATATCTGTGATAGCTCCAAGTGCTTTCGCGACTCCGAAGAAAACCTGCAATTCAGTGGTAAATACTTGAGACGTTCGTTTGTTGCGCAACTCACCTCGAAAGTTCTGTTACGGTCCACCAACACGTTGTGACGAAATACCAACATGGCGACCGTACATCCTTTCCAATGGGTAAGCTTCAATGAAAGACACCCAAGGTCGCTGAAAAAAATACCTATTCCTCCCGCTGTTGAAATTAACGTCCAGACATTAGCGTCTCATAGCCTTGGATGCCATAGACTTACCGAAACCAAGGATTGCAAGTACGACCTGACACCGATTTCGTTATGCGAATGTCAAGGAAACAAATAAAACGTCTGCGCACGATTATTCCTATGATAACCCAGTTCCCCCTCCCGGATCGTTTGACTTGAGGGCTCCATTGTCAACATATGAGCGATCTTGATGGGTAATATTGGGACGCACCGCTAATTAATTGGTGCGCAAAATATAACTGGGAGCTGAAAGTTTGTTGCGTAAGCCACAAACATGTCACAAAGAAGAGAACAAGAAACGTACGTTAGGGTAATCCCCGTCGATATCAAGCATTCGATCGACATTTCCCTTTTGTGAATTCATAAGTGAATACGAGAAATGATCGTGACAGATAGGCGTACGATGTAGCGGTACTAAGTGGAAGTAAGTCTCCAAATTGCGGTACCTGAAATTGCCGATTGAGATTGAATAGATGCTCTCTTTGAGGGATAAGAGAGCGAACCAAGTAATAGTAGACAGAGTAGGCCACAAGTGCTGACGATAGCAAATCTAAAACCCTGCGGAATACTTAGGTCGTAGGTCGTAGAAAGAAAGCACAGGCATACAGCATGGAGGCGGCCTAGAGAGCAGGATGTTAGAGTGGCGTTACTGTCCTAGGAAAAAATATTTACGGCGAAACGGACTCTGAATCTATCATTCGGATACTTGGAGAAATAGTTGTAAGCTTGAACAATAGTCATTCCACCAAACCTATGGGGCTGTCAATACAAAAGATTGCAGTTCAAGTGTTCAAGTCCAGCATACAAAAGTGAGATAACAAATCCTGCATTGATCGATATGAATTGATGTCGGATCCTTGAAAATCTAAAAACTTACCCCAGAATACCGGAGCAAAGATAGATGATAGATCGATGCTTGTATTGGAGGAGGCCATTACGCTTCGTGATTGAGGGTGAATCGACCGCCTGAGGGCGTTGGACAGACGGAAGATACAGTCAAGGAAGGGTGAAGTTCGACTGGGAGGGATCAACGCGTCGGAATCCTTATCTTTAAGTCCGGCGCTGGAGGCTATGCGAAACAAAAGACAGGGCCCCGAGGCTTTGATGGATCAAGAGACGATGGTGATGACGAAACTGTCCAGAACAAGTGGGAGCGAGAAAGCACGAGGACAAAGCCTTGTTCCATTCCATACGTTAGACAAACAACTTTACGAAGGGGCCGTAGGTATCGCGGCCTGCAGAACGAATCCGTCAAGAGGGCGCCAATCGTTCGATCATGCAAGTTTGGCCTCCCCACAGAGGGGAATCAAGATCTAAGTTGCAAGCGCTGGTCGGCGTGCCCCAGTGTGCGCTACTAGTACTTAAACAACTGTCAAGCGAGTCGAACATATCTCAACTCACCTAAGTAAATTGAAACACAATTTCGACCGCCCTGCCCGCAGGCTCTTTTCTCTGGAACGAGAACGACAACAATGAACATCAAAAACACACGATGCCAAGTGTATGTCAAGACTTGAGTTCCTTATGGAAGCGAGTTCACGAATCGTGGCTAGCGCTGTTGGAACGGATACATCCAGCTACAGTTGGTTTGGTCGAGTGCCGCAAACCAGGGAGCATGACGGGTTGGGCTCTGCATTGCTAGTCTTCGAGAACGGAAACTTCCCACTCCAGTTGATGGTGAGCTCCGAGGCTAGTACGTTTGTTCATTGATGGTGCGAGTGTCGGCCTCCAGCGGTGTTTGCAATGTGGCGACTGAGCGCTCACCAGTGGGTGGCTGGGCAGAAATCCAAGATCTGAAGGTGTCATGAGACGACAAGGAAATGTGCCCGAGATTCGTCCGCGATAGGGAGATAGCAGTAAATAGCCACCTTCGACTTTGTACTAGTCCTTGGTGGGTCATGCGCTTTTAAAAGGGCCGTTGCCAGATGTTCGAGACCTAGAATCGATCCGATATCCTATCGCAGTTTTCAGAGAACCCCGCTTGAGAAAGAGGGCTGAAGGGCCGCTGAACTTGCGCTGAACCATTGCTGCGAATTGGTTGCGAAGATCGGAGAGAGTCTAGTTGCAACCTGAAAGTGAACGATGGTCATGGTCATCTTGACAACTTCAAACCAACTTCAAACCAATTTCAAATGTTCAATTGACTTTCATGTTTGCTCAGAGTTACTGATCATTCCAAAGGATAGATATGCAGAAAGAGAAATCCAGGATCCGTTTACATTCAATGAGCACGAACTAGATAGTAGTAGTGCAATTGCAACTTGAGGGAGAATCAGACTCAAAAAACTCTAAAGAGGAGAGGTGCAATCTAACTAGGGGAACAGCTTCATGAACGCTGTTCTCCTACTTAGATTGCACCAAAACAGAATTATACTAGTACAAGTAGAAAGCGAAGACCAGGAGAGAGAGGGGACTACAAATACCGGACAAGTTGGTCCGAACTTCTAATTTTTCTTCTTTTTGAACGCTCTCCTCACAGAATCCGCAACGGCCTTGACTCCCGATAGCCTCCCATAGAGACGGCTTGGTTTCGCAGGGGTAGACTCTTCTAAGGCCCGACGAGGACGTCGAGTCGCGCGTTCTTCCTCAGTATCATCTGCACTCTCTTCCTCATCATCGCTGCGTGACCTCTTCGTTCCCCTGGATCCCTCCGAAGAAAAGGAGGATGTGGAGGAATTAGATGGCGAGGACTGACGTGTAGGCCTCAGCGATGGTGGAGGGGACGGAGAGGGAGAGGGAGATGGAAGGGAGGAACTTGAAGGTGTGCTGGAGAGAATACCCGCGACGATGGCTGCTGGCACGTTGCCTGGGTTGAAGGCAGGAAAGGATGAGTTAGCTGCTGTAGCGGCCGAATCCTCCTCCTCGACAATGGTCGAAGTAGACGAGGTAGGAGACGGAGTCGATCGAGAGGCTTCTAGACGCGCCAGTCTTGCGTAATGAGCGTCAGTCTCTTCCTGGGTAGCGTACATGTCGTCGTCGTCCTCATCCATGGCCTCAACTTGTAGTTGGGCCTCGGGGGCGGAGGGTGAGGGTAGGCGAGAGACGATGGACCCTTCCCCAACAGACGCAGAAACGGTCGTTGAAGGAGGTGGAGACATCGTTGACCGCGACGCGGATGGGCCAGCAGAAGAGGCTCTAATCTGATTGACCAGTTCTCTCGTCCTACTGACATCTACAAGATAGAGCGAAAAGTCAGAAACTACGCCTTGTGTATAAAAAAACCATACTCACGAGGAGCGTTACGGGCATTTTCAACCCGAGTATTAATGTGCACCTGATCTTCCCAATCACGTTGCGTTGGGATCACGACTGGGTCACCAGATTCGGGATGGTTCTCCCATTCGAACGCGTATTGGCGGCGAAGGGGTGTTCCTGATCAAGGGGTTAGTATCAATCGAAGAAAGAAAACAAGAAGAGAAAAGTACTCACCCCTTCGTAGTGCTCCTGATGATGGTTGCCCGTTGTTGGGCATAGCTGGAGGGATAGTTGAAGTATCCGATGTGGGAGAAGCAGCACATTGCTCCTTTTCCTCCACCAAACTGTCACGACGGGCATTTTCAACCCGGGTATTAATGAGCACTTGGTCTTCCCAATCACGTTGCGTTGAGATCACGACGAGGCCATCATTTTCAGGATGGCTCTCCCATTCGAACGCGTATTGGCGGCGGAGGGGTGTTCCTGGTCAAGGGGTTAATATCATTTGTAGAAAGAAAACAAGCACGAGAAAAGTACTCACCCATTCGTTGCATTCTAGATGATGGTTCCCCGTTGTTGGGCAGAGCTTGAGTGATAGTCGAAGTATCCGATGTAGTAGAAGCAGCAGTTTGCTCCTTTTCCTCCATCGAACTGTTACTACGGGCATTTTCAACCCGTGTATTGATGTGCACCTGGTCTTCCCAATCACGTTGCGTTGAGGTCACGACGGGGTCACCAGATTTGGGATGGCTCTCCCATTCGAACGCGTATTGGCGGCGGAGGGGTGTTCCTGGTCAAGGCGTTAATATCGATCGAAGAAAGAAAACAAGCACGAGAAAAGCACTCACCCATTCGTCGTGCTCCTGATGATGTTTCCCCGTTGTTGGGCAGAGCTGGAGGGATAGCTGAAGTGTCCAATGTGGAAGAAGCAGTAGAGTGTTCTTCAGCCGTCAAACAGTCACGAAGCTTCGTTGGGTAATATTCAAAAACTTCGGGGGCCCAGGCTTATTAAGATTGATTGTCAACGAAAAAGAAGATATCGCAAATAGGATTGAGGACTTACTATTACGGGGAGGTTCTTCGCTAGGCTCAGTGAACAGATGGGAGTACTGAACTTGGAAGAGCTTGGCGTACGAGGCGTCACCGTTTACAAGTGGCGGAGGCAAGTCGGTGTATGCAGCTCTGCGGTTGTTTCTGCCTCGAGGAGGAACTTTTGCCTGGTGTCGCGCTATCCAGAGATCGAAGAGTCTCCTCTCCTGATCCAGGAGGTGTCCGTGCCGTTGCATTGGGGTCATTGGGGTATAGTTGTGGTAGGTCGAACCAGCAAGATGTCTTGGCTGGCCAAACGCGTTCATCGGCGGCTTGTAAGGGAGTCCCACACGCGGACGAATGGCTCGCTGTCTCCCTCGCTTGAGAAGCACGGATTTCGATACCCTGTTTGGGTCATCCCATGGGAAAACAATGGAGCCCTCTTTGGGGGTGTTTTGGCGTGGGGAGGGGGAGGTTTCTGCTGCTGAAAGAATCGACGTCAATGTAAAGAAAAAAGCATATAAGAAGGAGAGAGGACGTACCATTGTTTTCTGATATGCCCTGGTTGAACGGATTCGAAATATGGTACAAACGGTCCTCCTCATCAAGACGGGCGATTTCTTGCTCCACAAGGTCGACTTGCGGGGGTTCACTTGGCGGAACCTCCAATTCTTCTGAACCCATATCTTGATCAGGGACGGGTTGTTCTTCTGAAGAGATCGTCCATCAGCGAAAGCAAGAAAACAAGGGTACCATGAAAGACTCACCTTGATTGACTGGCAAGACATCTGATAAAGTCGTATCGTTGGCGGGCAAATTCCATGAAGAGGCTGGCGTAATGTCGTCGTCGTCTTGAGGACCCTCACGGTCGATAAACGCGCCTTCACGTTGGAGGGGTTTTCCTGGTTAAAAACATACGTCAATTGAAAGAAAATAAAAACAAGATGAAGAACTAACCACGTCCAAGCCCACAATGCCTCTTACCCTCTTCCTCCTCCAAAGCCTGTTCACTCTCCTCACGACGACGCTTCAAATGATTAGCTAAAGCATTACTCGTAACCACCACCTCCCTAATAACCTCTCCATTCCCAGAAATCCGTGTATGACATTGAATGGTGATCGACGAGGGGCACCGGCGGGGGCCGGGGCGCGGGGAGGGCAAGGGAACGACTGTCCTCGTAACAGCCGCTTTCGTCTTGCCCTCAGAATCGCCACGAGGAACGGGGGCTGGGGCGGACGAGGAAACGGTGAGAGCCGTTGGGTTCACCGCTTTCGTCTTGTCCGCTGGCGTTGAGCTTGTTTGTTGGGAGACGGAGGGAGAGGGGATGGGAGGGAGAGGGCGAGAGTGGGAGGGAAGGTGGGCTGCGACGGGGGAGGAGCTAGTGGTGGGAGCGTTGGGTACGACCTGGGAAGCTTTAGGTATGACTGGGATAGGGTGGATTACCCGGCGGCCAGTGTTGGCTAAAGCCTCACGAGCTTTGATTAGAACCTGGCGAAAGTGGGCTGCCCGGGACACGTTATCTGTGACCTGAGGAGCGGTAGCTGCGACCTGGGATGCGTCTTCTACGATCTGAGAATCGTTGACTGCGACCTGAGGAGTGTTGGATGTGACCTGGGTGTGGGATGTGTCGAATGCGGCCTGAAAAGCGTTTGCGGTGGCCTGAAGATCGTCGGACACGACATGAGAAGTTTGAGCCGCTAGAACATGCGACGCGTTATCGGCAAGTTGAGAAGTAGTCCCAAAAAACTGATGAAGGTTGGGTACAGCTCCGACTTGGGGCGCGTTTGCTGAGCCGGTGGCAGAAGGTGCTGAGTTTTGGTTAAGAAGAGAATCGACTTGAACAGCGGTGGCAGGTTGAGGGGGAGCGAAAGCGCGCTGAAACTGAGGCTGGAGGTTGTATCCGAATACGAAAGGTAGCGGCTGATATAATCTATTCGCAAAAACAATGTTAGACCATAGAACACAACCATAAAAAAGAAAAAGTTAGCGTACGTGTCGTATTCACCAGCACTTCTCGCAATTCTCCTTCTACAAAAAAGCTCTCATCAGCAACCGTCCTCAAATTCAAACGCAAAAAGCTCACATAGACCCAGGTATATCCTCAAAACTAACCGGGAAACCCGTAACAACCGACCTAACAAACCTCGCAGCAGCCTGATGCTCATCTCCCAGCTCACCACGCTCATCGCGGGTGAGGAAGCGGAGGCAGATGAAGCGGAGTTGTTGGAGGATGAACATGATGTACATCATTTCGTCCATCGCGTTGGGGAAGGGGCCTGTGTAGATGGTGTAGCGGGATGGGTAGGGGCCGTAGAATTCTTGAGGAGATGGGGGTGGGGAGGACGACATTGTTCGTTGTTATAACTGACTTGGCTGGGTGCGATGTGTTTTTGCTTTGGTTGGGTTGGTTGGTGATTCGATTGAGAGGTTTGGACGAGATGATAATGCTGCGTGGGTTTGCTGTGAATTCGACTGGGTTATGCTTGAGGTGGCACGAACGATAATAGTTGGGGGAATTCCAACAGCACCAGGCTCGTCGTTTTATAAATAAGGAGGAGGACAATGCGAGAACGTTCCGTCAAGGCCACCATCAACCAGCGTTGCCTCGAGTCAGATGTTGGCAATTGGCCACCCACCCCAGCTTTGCCCTCTGCCGAATGGGGACGTCGAGGCCACATTAGAATTTCCAAGGAACAAGGCCAAAAATCGTAATTGTAATCGTCGCTGGCGGGTTTAACAACATGTTTTGAAGCCCGGGAAAACGTGTTCTTGCCCGTCGTCAACGTATGTAAGTAATCATTGTGGCTATATTGCAAATTTTCGCGTTGACCTTCCTTCCAGAGATGGGTTACGAGTTTAACATTGTTCTCCGTTTGCAATTTGAGAGCTCCTCTGCAGTTTTGAGAGACCAGTTCCTAGCCCCCGAGAATGTAAGTATGCCTGAGTCAAGTTGAAGCCGTAGTCCAAGATGAGAAGACAGAGCCGTCGTCGATGGTGGCCTGATCATGGCCTTATTGAAGAAGCGCTTGGCGGGCAAGGCGTGTCCTAAAGGGGAAACTGATCTGGATCTGCGTGGCTGTGTCGAAAGTGGATAGATGTTGATCAGTCGTCTAATTGCACCTGTCGTGTCTACAGCATTTTGTATAGCATGTCGTCGTGGTATCGTAAGAAGAGTATGCACTCGAATCGTATAGCGTAATAGTTCCATCCAATGGTATAGTGCTGAAGTAGAGTGAGCTTGTGCAGAATGATAAACGGACTTGCTTGATATATCCATCCAAGGGTAGGCATCTCCTCACTCAGCGCTAGCGCTTCACATACCTCCCCACCCTATGCCAAAACAGATGTTCCTCCGGCTCGCCCTCCTTCCCCCATACACTACCCTCCCTCCACACCGATTCCTCTTCCCCATCGTGCGTCCTTTTGAGTCCCGCAATCCACAAATGAGACGGTCTATCCATCTTACATCCATCGAATATGATAGCCCACAACGGAGCCCAGAATCTCTGCCACCACGCGACGTCCGCCCGGGGGCTCAACACGTGTTCATAGTAGAGCAGCTGGCCCCCCGGTTTAAGTGCATCTCGTACGAGGGTTTTTAACGTGTTTTGGGGATTGGGAATGGTGCATAGTGTGAGCACTGAGATGATGGTGTCTACTGGGGCGCCTAAGGAGAGGATGGTGGATGTGTGTTCTGCGCCGCAGGAGAGGATGATGAGTGTCCCGTCTGATTCGTGGTACCCCGCCTCATTGGCCAGAGCACGTATGTGCGGATGCATGAGTGTGTTGGGCTCCAAGGCAACGTATTTTGAGATCCTAGCGCGGTTGAGGTAGTTTACAGTATGTCCGTGACCTGTTCATTCGAGTGTATGTGAGCGGGAGGAGAAGAGGGAGGCGTATGTTACGGGCCTGCGCCGAGATCTAGGACAACGCCGTATGCATTTGGAGTGATAAGACGTTGTTTTGTTGGACGTCCGTTTTCGTCTGTCCCTGGGCCAAAGGCGACCCAGAGGTTTGCCATGAAGGTGCGTGAGAGGGCATGGGGACAGAGGAGAAGGCAGGGGGAATGGAGGATTGCGCGGAGGGTGGGGAGGATGGCTACTTGGATTGCGAATCTGAGGTCTGTGAGGATGCTCAGTGCAGCAGAGAGCTTCATGTCATGGAGGGGACGTACTTGGAAGCGATCGGGCCGTGAAAGAAGGGAATAAATTTGTTCACACGGTAGGCTGATCGTTCTTCTCCGTCATGTCAAATGTGCTTCGCCAACGAGGATGGGTGAGTCGAATGTCCGCCAACGTCGTTAGGGCATTCCTGGCAGCAGTGGCACGACTCGACAAGTCACTGTCACCTTCACTCACCCTCTCAAGACTATGGAGTCACCCCTTCACCTGGTCAGACTCCATCTACCTCTTCCACATCGCCTACTTCACCTTCTGGCTCACCATCATGGGCTCTCCCCCATTCCCTTACAAACTCGCCATACCCATTCTACACATCACATGTCTCCTCATCCCCTTCACATCTCAGTTCTTCCTACCCGCTACACCCATCTTTGCCTACCTCATCACATTCTACACCTCTCGGTTCATCCCAGCCTCATGGCGACCCGCCATCTTCGTCTCCCTCTTACCCACCCTCGAATCCGTCCTCTACGGCGCAAACATCTCCGACATCCTAACCCGCTTCACCCACCCCTCCCTAGACATCATCGCCTGGCTCCCCTACGGCGTAGGGCACTTCACAATCCCCTTCGTCGTCGCCGCCTTCCTCTGGCTCTTCCGCACCAAACAAGCACTCCACTTCTGGGCCCGCGCATTCGGATACATGAACATGGTCGGCGTCATCATCCAAATCCTCCTCCCATGCTCCGCACCATGGTACGAGCTCATCCACGGCCTCACTCCAGCAAACTACTCCATGAAAGGCTCCCCAGGCGGTCTAGCCCGCATCGACGCCCTCTTCCACTCCCACGCATACACCGTCACTTTCACAAACGCACCCATCCCATTCGGCGCGTTCCCCTCTTTACACGCAGGCTGCGCGACCATCGAAGCCCTCTTCCTATCCCACTTTTTCCCAGCCACTACAAAATACGTGTGGGCTTACACGGGCGTGTTGTATTGGGCTACGATGTACCTATCACATCACTACCTCATTGACGTCGTAGGCGGCGCGTGCCTAGCCACTGCCTTCTTCTACCTATTCCTCCCGGACGACCTTAGGGGCTCCGCAGCACTCACGCCCCCGCCCAACCTCACTTCCTCCTCCCGCTTCAGGGGCAGGTCAAAGTACGAAGTCTACGATTTGGAGGATCCGCGTAGGGGAGGAGGGGGAGGGATAAATGGGACAGTGGATACTGCGGATTTCGAATTGAGCGAGACGAGTTCGGATGACGAGGAAGTGGATATCACGTATCGCTCGCCCGTGCCTGGTTCACTTGCTTCTTTTGGCTCGCAGCAGAAACAGGTTTGATTGTTTTTTTATTTTCGGCATGACGTCGTTAACGAAATATCTATTCATAGTTCATAGCGCCCAAGAGGGATCAGGGGAGGGGCGGCCATAGGCATACGGCGAGTATTGCGAGTCTTATTAGGGGAGATGAGAGGGGTCCAGAGGATGGTTGGAGTCCTGTCTCTGGCGCGTTCGTCATTCCTCATGGACGGGATAGTAGGGTTTAGAGGCACGCGATTTGGACGTTACCCCCTGCTCCCCTTTTGCAAGTTCTCGCCTCCCTCCAGCCTCCGAGTTTCCTCCCCCCCCTCATCCCTCACTTTAATTCCAACAACCCCACCCACCCACGTTCCTTCATTGCCCCCCTGAATCTACCATTTATTTATTTGTTGTGCCACTGTGCAGGATCCCCCTCGCGATACCACATACATTTGACAAACTATTAAGTACACTACAATTTGATGGCTTTCTTTCTTCTTGTTCTCTTTTTCTTCCATTGAGATGTTTTTGAATTTTGAGTGTGCATTCACCAGCTCATGATATATCAAAATTGGGATATTAGCTTAAGCACAAGCATTCAGTACAAAAACTACATGAAAATTGCCCTTCTATGATTGTAACAAATTTCAGAATGTTTGAATGAACTCTTCATGAAGAAAAACCCAAGGTTATGGGTTTATCATTGCATTGAGCAGTGAGTCAAAACTTGTGCAACACCTTGTAAAAGTGTAGAAGTACAAACCAAATATGTTGATAATAAAGTAAAAATACCTCACCATTGCTGATGTTATATACTATTTTCAAGGTGCAGTGTATACTGTCACATAAGAGAATCTGCATGAAATATAGCCAGAAAAGCAGGGGGAAATAGCAATTGTGCTCACTGTTAGTGATGAAATTGAAGAAAGATAATTTCAGGGTCTAGTGCATATGGTCCAAATATGGAAACTTCTCCATTTATAACAAAAATGGAAAGAAAACCACATAAAACTGCTTTCAAACATTACATTGTTCTCTAGCTACATTTACCTCAATACTAGATCTTGAAATGTCATACTTGGCTATTCAAGTCACAAAACTTCATCCCAATGTTTCTTCATACAAAAATACTACCACCATAACATCCACAGAGAGGTTTCAACATTCTAGATAATCATCATCTGACGAAAAATCATCACTGCCATAATCTGACAGGTCCAACATAGTTACAACTGCCCCATTCTCTTTCAACAGCCTTGCAATGGCCTTATGGCCTCTCCTTGATGCTGCCTGGAGTGCCTTTCCATACTTTCCTCCCCATGCATTTACATCTGCTCCCTTCTCTATCAGCAGCTTTGCAATGGACTCATGTCCTTCACTTGATGCTGCCTGGAGTGCATTTCCATAATATCCTTCCTGTGCATTTACATCTACCCCCTTCTCTATCAGCAGCTTTGCAATGGCCTCATAGCCTCCATTTGATGCTGCCTGGAGTGCATTTCCATAATATCCTCCCTGTGCATTTACATCTGCCCCCTTCTCTATCAGCAGCTTTGCAATGGCCTCATATCCTTCACTTAATGCTGCCTGGAGTGCATTTCCATACTTTCCACCCTGTGCATTTACATCTGCCCCCTTCTCTATCAGCAGCTTTGCAATGGCCTCATAGCCACTTGTTAATGCTGCCTGGAGTGCATTTGTATGCCATCCTCCCTGTGCATTTGTATGCCATCCTCCCTGTGCATTTGTATGCCATCCTTCCTGTGCATTTGTATGCCATCCTCCCTGTGCATTTGTATGCCATCCTCCCTGTGCATTTACATCTGCCCCCTTCTCTATCAGCAGCTTTGCAATGGCCTCATGGCCACTTGTTGATGCTGCCTGGAGCGCATTTCCATATCTGCCTCCTTGTGCATTTACATCTGCCCCCTTCTCTATCAGCAGCTTTGCAATGGCCTCATAGCCTCCATTTGATGCTGCCTGGAGTGCATTTCCATAATATCCTCCCTGTGCATTTACATCTGCCCCCTTCTCTATCAGCAGCTTTGCAATGGCCTCATATCCTTCACTTAATGCTGCCTGGAGTGCATTTCCATACTTTCCACCCTGTGCATTTACATCTGCCCCCTTCTCTATCAGCAGCTTTGCAATGGCCTCATAGCCACTTGTTAATGCTGCCTGGAGTGCATTTGTATGCCATCCTCCCTGTGCATTTGTATGCCATCCTCCCTGTGCATTTACATCTGCCCCCTTCTCTATCAGCAGCTTTGCAATGGCCTCATGGCCACTTGTTGATGCTGCCTGGAGCGCATTTCCATATCTGCCTCCTTGTGCATTTACATCTGCCCCCTTCTCTATCAGCAGCTTTGCAATGGCCTCATGTCCTTCACTTGATGCTGCCTGGAGTGCATTTCCATAATATCCTTCCTGTGCATTCACATCTGCTCCCATTTCTAGCAAATTTTGTGATGCTTCAGTCAGTCCAGCCAGTGATGCATAATATAGTGGTTTAGCAATCTGATCCCTTTGTCTTTGTAGCTCTCTAAAGCCAAAGTAATCTATATTGCAAAGTCGAACCCAGTTCAGAAAAGCAACATTCTCATCTGTCAAGAGCTTCATCATCAATGTAAACAGTATAGATGACTGAGATCCATTTTTTCCACTGGAATGTGTATGTGAAATCCAGTGTTTTGCAGCATAGTTTGCAAGAGGGGAGGACACTTCCAGATTTGTATCAAGTGGCTCAGATGTATGGAATTGCAAAAGATATGCCAGACAGATTTGAGATATGACAGAGTGTGATAGCTCTTTATTGAAGCTGAAGTCTCTGATATGTGTCACTTCATGATTTTGAATATACCCAGATATCAGATATTCTTTGACAGAAAAGTGGGAAAGCTTGATATGACCTATTTAATAGTCAGTGCTCATTTCAAACTGCTATTATTCTAAACCATACCATCTGATTTCATAATAAGACTAGAACATATTTTCAAGACATCCTTAATATCTCGAAGCTCATTATCAGAGTTATACTCTGGTCCATTCTCAGCACAAAGATCAATAGCAGCAGTTGCAGCCAGTTCTTCCAGTGTCAGTGGACGAACAGCAAAAGATAGCCACTGCAAAAATGTTTTTGCATAACCATGATCTTCTTCATTGATCCCCAGCAAGATTTGATCATAGGTTTTATCCAAACCCTGAGGTAGATCAGCTAGCCGCTTTTTTAGGTCAGCCTTGTTCCGGCACTTTTTGAACTCATTTAACTGTAATGCAACCCAGCGAAACCTAAAATTGCAGTTAGTAATTATCCTGTCATTCAAATGTTAAGAATAAACACACATTCCATCTGCTTGTTTCATTAATGTCAACTTTATTTGCTCTTTAGTCTCAGAATTCCATTTTTGTAAGCCAGAGTCATTCTGAAGCTGATAGTCAAGATAGGCTACAAGATCATGATTCTTAGATTCCTTGACCAGGTCAAGATAATGAAAAGACTTGAGCTTGTCCTCAATCTCCTGCTCTGGGCGACTAGTAACTATCAAGTGGAGACCTAGATTGGTTTCTTTCTCCAGAATCACAGTCTCAATCCAGTTAAGAAGCTTTCCTCTTTCAATACATTCATCAAGAGCATCCAGAATAATGAATGTTGAGCTAAAGCCACCAAGAATTCTTTCAAGAGTATTCTGCAAATCATCCAGAGTTGGCTCCTGATGGCCATTGCCACAGCCAGTATAAAGATCTACCAAGACTTTAGGTACTCCACCCTCACATTTGAGACTGAATTGCCAGATGAGTGAGCGCATCAGTTTATCATGCAGCTGGAAATCCTTCTGTAAGTCTCTTCCATCAAAAAAGAAATATGCAGTAGCAGAATTGAATCTTTCAAGAACATTGTGAATTATTGCTGAACTAAGAAAATACAAATCAATTCAGTTTCATGAAAATGCTGGAATTCTCAACCTTAAAATGGTTTTACCAGAGCCAGCTGGATAGTTTGTCAATATCACATAAATTTACAAATTTTGACAAATGACTTACCTTTTCCTTTGATCCAGAGAAAGCCAGACTGTTTGAGCCACCCAAAAAATGTATTTCCTTTGAGAAACCATTGACAGGTGTTTAGTTGACTCTTCCAAATTTCATATGCAGCATTGTAGTTAACAGACTCCTTAGGGGGAGAAAGCCACTTATAAATCTTCTCCACTAACAAAAAAATGAAGTTAGTGATACATTCAAAATAAGAACCTGCAACAATACCCAGTTGTTCATCCCTAATCATCTCAAGTGTGATTTGAATATCTGAGTCCACCCCTACCAACCATATATAATTAAGTTGAATATAATGCTTTTCTTACTCCTTACCTTGATTGATGGTACCTATTGGGATTTAAGTGAAAGCAATAAAATGTGATGACCCAAATGCAACGAACCATAGTTGGGGCCTGTATTTGTATATTTACCTGAGAAGTTGTTTATAATGCCAGCTTGGTTTGTTGACAAGTCTGCATGGTCTATTAGATTTGAGCAGACCTGAGCTATATGCATAAGAGTACTGACTGGCCGGCATCCCTCCTTCATTGGGCAAGTCAGAACTTGGAGGATCTAAAAGAGTTATCAGGAATAGAATATAGAGATTTGGAGCAAGCATGAACCAGTCAAGATAGGAGAAGAGATAACAACATCACCTTGCACAGGGCCTTCAACCTGATCAACTGTGAAATTAGAATCAATGAAGGTCAACGTCAACATTATAGCAATTGGGGGTATCTCACAGGCAACAGTCATTTCTGTACCCATTGACACTAGGCCTACAGTCAGAACAGAGGCAACAGGTGGAGCAGTAGGCAGATGAGAAATCAGGAAATCAGGAAATGACAGAGGTTTGGGGTAACACAGACCCATGGAGATGGGTAAAACCTGCTGTGAGTGCTCAACCTCTCCTAACCCAATGACTTCAACCAAATCGCCTGTGAATTGATTTGATGAGGAATCAATGTTGACTCTGGGGCAGGAAGATTAAGATGTAGCTCACTGGTGGCTGGCATGGCTATGTCCTCTGCACCGATGGTGGAAGATGGAGTTATCAAGAGGCTACTGCCATCCGGGGATTCAGGTTGACATTTAGCTCGTAGGACAAGGTCTAGAACTCTAACCTCAAACCGCCATAGCGTTTATTACGAGGGTGGTCGGTGCTCGTGACTTGATTGGGCAATTCCTCGAACTTGCGTTTCAAATGATTTTCGCGGGGGTTATTAGAATCAGACATGGTGGTTCAGAAGAGAGTATCGATGCTGTGCGGCGCCAAACGTCAGAATGGGTAACGGACCGTTTCTCAGAGTCAGCTGACGTTCCTGATTAAATAAGGTCCCTCCGACTCCCTAGACGTTGTATCGAGTAGCGCAGAAGTTTGAGGGTGTAAGTCTTCGGCGTCAAGTCAGCAACCAGACGCACAAAGGACGGCCGTCAACGGTGACCGAGAAGCAAAACAATGAAGTGACGGAACTCAGAGTCGAAGGGACGAAAGGAGGATGTCATGGTGTGCTTGTTTTGGCTGTGGCTGTGCGAAAAGACCCAAAGCTTTTGCAGCTATCGACGACCCCAACGCTAAACACATCTACGTCTTTTTCTTTCGACACCTTTCGACGCACCTAAGGGCCCTTCGGCCAGCTTCGATGGGATCCACCCATGGCTTCAGCTCCGCCGCGAACCCCCTCGTTGAACATGACGACTCGTCCAATTTTCCTCTCTGGGTCGTTCAGCCACTGCCGACATCGCCTGGAGATCCTTACTCGACCTCCCGCTGCAATCAAAACGAAATTCGATGGCCGCTTTCGTCAACGTGTATCGATATAGAGAGAGCGGGGAGCTGTAGAGATTCAAAGGATGCGCGAAGACTTTGTTCATGGGATTCATCGCAAAGACGGCCGGGTGCATCAGCTCCGAGTGAGTTCCTCCTTCCATCAAGTCCCGTCCCTTTTCCACCTTACCTCGTTTGCCCGTTCTGTGCTGCAAACTTCACCTCCCCCTCCCCCTCGTTATTCTGCATGCAGCCGTTAGTCTAACATACTGATGATTCTGTGGCAGCTCTGGTCTCCTTAACCTCGTTTACGAGCGCCACGCTTTGAAAGCATACAAGACCGCAAAGCACAGGTTCCCAACGTTTCATTGCAGACGTGACGGGCGTTTTCAACGATGCCCAGCTCGACGAACCTAATACGCTCTCGAGAAGCTCTACATACCATGGTATGTTATTGCCGTCCTCCTGATCATAACCGCAAGCTTCAGCCGGAGTGCTGGAGAGTAGGGATAACGGCCGTCTTTCCTTTGGTAAGTTATCGCCCTTGCGTTACTTATTCATTCAAACCCTCCTTCCTTCCTCGACCTCTGAAGTCCTTATCACCTCGCATACATTCAATCTTTTCCTTCACTGACCACCCCCATCTGTTACCCAGGCCCTGGTTCCTTAGAACTAACGCAAGCCCCACTTCGATGATCTTACCCGTCTTTCCTAGGTCCACCATGGCTCGCACGACCGGCCACTTGCATCCCTTCGCGCATCGACTCACGAAGGCACACTCGCACGGACATTGATCATCTGATCGGTTGCGCCCAGCCCTGTGGCTCTTCGGTCGTTATCCTCTACTCGTTGCTCAGAACTTTTCAGCTACCCCCCAATGGCTCCAATCTCTGCCCATAATACGAGCAATCGTTGTCTCTGGAGTCAGCGTTCACACCGCGTAGAATCTCCATCGTGCGTATCCATCCGCAGCTCGTCGTCGCCATGGGCTGCCGCAACCTCGCACATACAAATGTACCCATCGTTGAGTGGGCTCTTGTAAGTTTGGATTAGACGGGACCGACGATGGTTACTGACATCCGCCTTCTTCTCGTTCAGCAGATTGAGGTTGAGTCGAAGAATTGGAACGGCATCAATATGCACGCGACCTGTCGTGACATTCGAATATGTTACTTGTAATGGAGCGATAACGTATAATCATAACACTCCCCCAACTTGACTGCGTAGCTAGACCCATTGATTGATACTCACATTCTACCCACAACTAGCACAATGTCAATCGTAATTTCATTATTTCCGAGAACATGAATGGTACTGATTGATTGCTATTACTTCCTACTTTCACAACAAATATACATACCCTCCTTTGCCAACGTGACGGTTCTGGCGTTGATGATGCCAATAGTCGGGAATGCGGGATACGGCGGTAGGTACAGGTGAAGAACTGGGTTTGCGGCCGTAGAGGTCGACCAAAAGTGATTGGAAGCGGTGTACATGCAACCTACGTCCGTGTCATGGAGCAAAGGGTGGGGTAGGTAGAGTTAGGTGTCTAGGAGATCTCCCAGCACAAAGAAAACGTTGCGAGGATGAAGTGTGTGAGAAGAGGAAGATGAAGCGGCGGCTCAGAGGAGTGGAATCCACTTTTGAGAGGGCTATAACTCGCTCCTACGGGCCGCACACTGTTCTTTGCCCTGCGCGCGTCATGATCCCCGGTCAACGCATCACCACCTCCTAAGTATCTTAACGACAGCTTAAGTCTCTCCCGGTTGGGGTGGTCACGTTGCCTTGCAAGCGATTGGATTCCTCAATCGTGGGATTCAAGCTCGTATGGGAAGAGTCGAATGAAAGTGGGTGGTAGCCCTTTCGGTCCGAGAGGGGAGGGAGCCTATGTAACATCTATCCGTCAAGATTTTCCGAACGCGCCGTTGTACATAGACCCAGCGACGTATTTTAATTCCTTTAGGTCGGACCCGCGGCGAGGCTGTGAATGGACCAAGACCTATTATCAAAATTGATCTGTGTAAGTAGGCAGAAAGAGAGGGCAATGGGGACGGTAGGACTTACGAAAGTCGTTAAATGCGCGAGTTGTTAATATAAATTCAACGAGTCTGGCGTCCTCGAGCTTGTAGCCAGCATCATGAGTTGGTGATCAGATACGCGGACGTCGACTTGGCTTGGCCCGCTGGCGCAGGAAGTTAGAGTGGAAACAGGTGAAGAAGAGAAGAGGAAACACTTACTGATCAACTTTAGGCGCTTGTTACTCTGAGCGACATTTTCCTGCTGATGAGCCTTCGTTGGGCATGAAGAAGACTATAATGATAGATCAGCCCTCTGGAATTACTCACGAGGATGGGATCGGGGTGAACTCACTGATAAGCCAACCTCATGATATCCTTGCCACCAACGAAATCCTTCAGGTGGTCCACTCGTTCAATCGTACCCGGCTTTTCTCTCGACATTCTTTAATTTATCAACCTCCCTTTCACGCGCCGATTCCAACAGAGGGCTTGTCAAGTCTTGGTGCAATAACGACTGACGAGGCTTTGGGGAAGTCGAAAGTCGACCAACTTCCGTCGTTTCAACGCGTGACCCTCGTCCGGTTCGTCCTGTGGATGGCGGTTGTGGTAGTGAAAAATCCAGGAAAGCGCATCAGCGAGAACTCGGGGTTGAACGAAGAGCCAACAGGTTTGCGCCGTAAGATCTTTACGTTGACGCCTGGGTTAGCAACACATTAGAATAGCCAAAGGCGTAGCACTCACTTGATAGTTCGAGCTCGTCCATGACCATCCACTGCACCTGCTACACCTTAATGTTCGTTCAGTGGCATTTGAGGTTGGCTGGATGAAGTTCGTTGCAGTTGCACGGTTGGAGGTGATCGTTCTGGGCCACTGGCGCTCGGATGTTTCCTCGTAACGCCCACCTTCGTCGTTTAGATTCCTAGGTTATACGGATTGCGATTTCTGTAAAGAGACCGTCAAAAATCGAGAATGATCCAAAGCAACGTAAGTACTCACAAGATACAAACTTCCCGTCCAATTATGAGTAAAAACACGGTGCGCGGTTTGCATTATCTCAAAGGAGCTGATAGTAGGTGTCATAATAATGAGCGGGAGAACGGATAACAAAATAGCAAAGAACTCTTACCAATTCATGGGTTTTCACGAGAAGGAAGTGCGACAGACGTGAGCGGCTGGGCCAAACGAAGTTGTAGCTTTATGGAATGCGTATTCGAAGATTGCGCGTGGACAGGTAAGTCGTGCATGATCACGTAGAGTCAACGCCGAGATTTGTCGACTAACGAAAAGATTGATGGGATACATTGATAGAGGGTAGAAAATACACTACTGCATCGGATATTGGTATTGTCCCAGAAATGAGATGAAGCATCAGACGAAGGACAATCGCGTAGAGCAGAAGAGGCGGAGAGAAGAGAGGTGACTCGGGTCGTGACCAGCGCAAGATCAACGTCATGAGATGGTCCAACTTGACAACCATTATGCCTTGACGTCGACCAAGACAGATCCAATACGTCGCACCGCCAGCTATCCCTGTCATTGCCTTTGCACCTCAATACCTCGCAGTACGATCATTTAATTCTCCCTGCCTCTTCGAGTTGGCCTGAGGCCGTTTGATGGCTGAAGCTGGGTTGGATAAATCTGAGGTGCGTTTGCCAGCTATCCCGCCAGTTTCGCCTTCTAATCTTACATAGTTCCTTCAAGCCCTGCAGTGTGCTACTCCATGGCGGTTCAGTTGGTCCTAAAAATTTGGTCGCAATATCGTGCAGTTTTACCTCACAGACATGCGGTTTCATCCAGACAGCCGCCATCCTCCACCTCTCTAGTCCTTCAGCAGGATGTTTAACGTTACCTCACGTCTTCTCGGATCTCGTGTTCGCCATTTAATGCCGTGGCATTGCTGCAGTTACCCAGGGAAAGCCTTGGCGATTCGGCCACGGTGACGTTCCACATCCTTGTGCGTTGTCCCCGTTGTGCATGAAGAGGATCCACCGCTGTTCTCTGTCGAACAGTCATCGCCATCATCCACTTACGAGGCTACGGTTACCGGCTACAGACCAGTCGGCCACCCGGGTCCATTGACCTTCTTTCAGCGCGAATCACCACCGCTTTTGACCACCTCCCACAGGCGCCCACCTCCCCGTCATCGACCGAACGGCAGACGATCCATATGGCCCGTTCATTCTTGCAGATTGCTGTTTCGGTCGTCTTGACGAGGGGTTAGACGAGGATCCGTGAGTGGACCCTTTTTCTCTCAAAGTGCATACGAAGATCTGACATTGTCGTTGCATTCATCAGGGAATGCTCTGATCTCTTTTTCCCCGTCTTCCCGACTCTTACTCTTTACGTTCTCGGCATGGCGAATGAACACTGTTCATCAACCTCCACCTATCACCACACTGGCCGATCAACCCGCTGGATAGACGTTGGCTTGGAATTTGCGTCAGATGTCCATTTCCAAATGCCACGATCCTCCAAACCTACCCACGTTTCCTCTATTTCTCTTCCCTCCGGACAGTTGCACTTTTCATATCATCGCATGACGAATTCCGGTGGATCCAAGCGCATCAGGACCATAACCGCTTGAAGCAACGATGTCGACAAAAGTTTTGCAGGAGATAGTCACCAAGACTTTGGTTGTGAAAGGGTCTGTGATCTTGACTGATCTTTCCGACGAAGTCGTGAAGGGAGATGCGGCTGTCGCTCATGGGACGTTCTCTGACGTATTGAAAGGTACTTGGAACGATCCAATTGAGAGACGGCCTCGGTCGGTAAGTTTCTTTGTTGTGGTGTTGTGTTGCAAGGTAGCTCATGATATGATTCAGGTCGTCATCAAGGTCCTGCGTCAAGTCATGGTACAAAACGTTCGAGAGAAGCTCATCAAGGTATGGACTACTTCTGTTGCTTGAATGTTTTGAGCTGAATTGATGCTTTGTTAGCGACTTCAAGCAGAGGTTATTGCTTGGCATCGTTATGTCATCGCAATGTATCGCAGCTATTTGGGATAGTGCGTCTTTCACAGAGCATTGGCATGGTATCGCCTTGGTGCGAACATGGGACGCTTTGCAACTATCTGGAGCATTTCCCGAGCGTGAATCGATCAAGACTTGTACGCATTTCAAATCATCCACCGAGTTTGATCATTTAACTCTTGTTGTAGCTTGCCCAGGTGGCTTCTGTCATTGCCTATCTCCATACATTCAGGCCTACCATCGTCCATGGGGACTTGAAAGGAGTCAGGCCCCTTCCTTCATCCTCTCCCGCTCCACGCTGACCCCAAATCAGGGAAACATTCTGATTGGGTATACCATCATCACCGACATTGGGCTCTCCAATTGAAACCTCCGGCAAAGGTATACGCATCTGGACGCAAGTGCCACCTAGGACTCCCTCCAGATTTGCGTTATCGCCACGCTACACGCACGAGGTTTCACGGCCCCCAAATCGACGAATATTATTCGCAAGATGGGCTTGAAGAAGAAGAGAGTCAGTCTCTTGGCAATCATTGTTCTTCCTGCGATGCCCTGGAACTCAATTGCCTGCGTTGACGGCTTATCATTGATGAGCTGAGGAGTTGCTTTGGGCTTCCGAGTCGCCACCCGAATGGCAACGGGCGTAGACACGGTACATTGCTCAAGATTCTTCAGCTGCAAGTATATCTTTCCGTAGTTTAACAATTATTATTCGCTAGTTTTCCTATCGCCTGCTCATTATCCTGGCTACAGTGTCAACCCTTCTTCACCTTAACACCTTGAAGCCTTTACGTGTATTTTTTCACACCCTAGGACCTCCTTCGAAAATGTTATCTTGTACATGCTTTTCGCCAATTCAATTGATTCCAATTTCGCCAACGCGTCCAAGGCCGTTTCATCCCCCAACTATTTTGAAAGCGACGGTACTTAGCAAGTAAGAGTCTAATGGCTGACAGAAGAAATATGAAGGAACTGCACAGTAGATAACTTATAAAAGGCTACAGGTCCATCCTAGTGATAAAAAGTCCATTTCAATGCCCTGCCATGTCCGGTCAGGGGTTGTTCTTCGCTGATCAGTCGGCTGATCGCAACGGTGACAGTGTGGTATGCTCCGTAGCACAGTTGTATTTAGACGCTACAGATGTGTATCGGGAACCGGTTGTTCCTCATTGCGACCGCTCCGGAATATCTCTCTCTCTCTCTCTCTCTCTCTCAATAGCTTTGACCTTGGATTGTTCAACAATCCTTACCCTTTCTCTTTGCCAACTCCCCTTGACTAACGGGAGAGTTCAAGATCCCCACGCCCCCGGCGTCCCTCTTCCCCCCACCACTAATGGACACCACGAGCGGGGATGGTCCCCGCCTCCCATCTCCCCCGCTATCAGATATCTCCGTGATTTGGTGACACCACCAGCAAAAACGCGTCTCTGTGCTCTCAAAATGTGCCTGTGTTGCCGGGGTTGCCAGATGGAGTAGTAGGGTTATTGCCAGAGAGGAAGTCAAGCCAGTTGCTTCCCCCACTTCCCGACTCGTTGGCTGCACCTGAGGGTGTAGATGAAGATGAGGGAGGCGGATTGGGTACTATACAATTCGTCAGAGAAACTAACGGTTAAAGGAAGGGAAACTCTAACCTGGATTAGGTACATTCGAACGTGGTCCGTGGACAGGCCAGTCCAATCCCGTTCCACCATTTGGTCCCCCACCGCCCGAACGTTCGTCCCCTTCCATAAAAGCAGTGAAAAGATCACTTTGTCCACCTGCACCACCACCACTACCCCCGCCACTGGGAGGACCCTGGCGCAATTGGTGGTGGGTGTACATTCCGCTATCATGATTGGAAGAGATAGCGCTGCCTGGCAGAGGTGGGGGTCCAAAACCTGAGGAACGAGTAGGAGAGTGCGGGAGCGGATTGAAGTTGGATTGGGACAGGGTGGGGGAGGGGTATGGCCCGACCCAGAGAAGAAGGTGTGTATTGTGAACTTGAGGCTGGGTGATGCTGGTGGTGTGAGGATTCGCGCGGCCCGTGCTGGCTGTACCCTCCAGGCTGTTGGCCTCGGCTGAAGGAGATGGGGCTTCGGTGGTAGCTGTAGTTGTCTGGAGGGGACCGGCTCAGGGGAATAGCAGCGCTTCTGTCAAATCTGGGTCGCTTGTGTGAACCAGAGATGCGATCGTTGGAGATGGGGTGGAATGCCATGGGAATTGGGGGCTGTGGAACAGACGTTGGGCGAGAGATACAATCAAGCTGAAATGCGCCATGAATGGAGGGAGAGCGGTGGCAACAAGTGAGGACTTACATCGCTAGTGTCAAGGCTCATGTCGCCAGGAGTCTTCAACTTTCCATTATTCCTACGCTTGGGCTGCACAGGTACATCATCGTCGTCATCAACCTCGTCCCCTTCGCTGATATCGTCCATGTTGGCCAGGATATTACCTGAAAAGTTGAGCCTTCTCGCCATCATGCTTGGGGTGGAAATCAACAGGGACATAAAAATGGACAGTGGTATAGATACTTACTCGAAGCTGTCGTTACATTACAGTGTCTTGCATAATGCTTTGCAGCATGAATTTTTTCAAATCGTATTTGATTATATTTATAGTGAACCTGATATGTCACAACTACAGTGTTCCGGCACTCCTTCGGACAGGCTAAGCACATTCCCGTTTTGTAGTGGCCACACACCAAAATAACTCATTCTGAATTGACAATTCTATTTACCAATACATCTTATATGTAATTCCACATTTTCAGGAGAAACGAATTCCGGTACGTGAATAAATACACTGTTTAAGAAAGCGGGCAAAATGTCACGATATTCACTCCTTCGGACACTACGTGACACCACCAAAAAGTGTGTGAGAAATTAGCTTATGGCCATGTCGTGCAGTCACATTCTTGATGTTCCGTCTGTGCAACATTTCTGCTCCCCTCATTTTCCCTTTAAATGTCCCCATTCTCTTATTATTACCTTTACAGTAGGGTTGTATATCTATGGGATTTTTTTGCTGTGTGTGAGGTTTGTCGGATCTGGGCAAAACCTAAGATTAGCATAGTAACATTCCACAAATTTCATCAATTTCAGTGTAATTCACTCAGAGCACCTTGAGAACTTTACCAATTAATCCAATTTTTTGAATACGTGATCTCTATACCTATTTACAGACATATGCCAAGTTTGACAACGAGTGATGTTGATCTGCATGAATTAGAGCCGAGTGTCCGAAGGAGTGATGGTGTCCGAAGGAGTGCCGGAACACTGTAAGGCCCAACGAAATGATCTCTGTCCGGAATAAGCCTGAATGTGACATCTCAGGACCAGTTTAAACACAGCCAAATACAATTTCAAAAAATTCACGCTGCAAAGCATTATGCAAGGCACTGTAGTCCTTGATTAGTCCTGTTTTTACCGCGCCCTCCGAACCGCGTCAGAAAATGCTTATTGCGAGCAAAGCGAGCAATCCTTCACTAAAGCGCTGAAAGTTCGAACAAACAAGAACAAATTTTCCATTCGCAAAGGTCGAAACTTTTGGCGGGGAAAAAGAGTGTTTCGCCAATACCTCACGTATTTCTGAACCTTTGCAAATGAAACTTGTCAAGCACATTTATGTAGTATACCTTTACACACCTATCACAAAAAAATGCACTTTGTCTTATGAATTGCATGTTAAATTAACCCTCAAATTTAGGTGGCATTTTCAACAATCTTTCAAAACGGAATAACAAGAGCTAGACTATTCAAACATTTGTATCAGAGTAATTTACACATCTTAGATATCTTATTGCATGTTTCCTCAGTTGTTTTCCCCTGTAGCATTTGTTTTTGAGGATGGGACCAAGTCACGTGAAGTTGCGTTGACGTGGTCATGACTTGGGCCACCTCTACCCAAGCCACCGCAGTGGCCATAGTCAGTATATATTGGAACAAAGTTGACTTGTCCTTACCCAATGCCAGCTGCCAGGTGCCCGCTCCACAACCACAACAGTGCCATTTGCCCCCAATGTGACAAAGTGTTCGCACGCACCCGTCATCAATGGGATTCTTCCACCGAAACATGTTGCCTATGTTCATTTGAGCAAGCTGAACGGGAGGCTCATCAACGAGCACGCCTGACCATTCGCATACCACCACTTGGACCACAGAAATCCTGTGAACTCTGTCAGGACAGTTACTTGCTTGCTCAATATCTTGAACCTGGAAACGAAAACATCCATGCATGATGCAGCGCCTGCCGAAAGTGTGAACGGTGCACCAAATGCCATAAGATCAAGAAGAGAAAAAGATTTAAGAAACCCACCAAAATCTCCACCCTATTTAAGACCTGTGATGCCTGCCAGAATAAAGCTTTGAAGATCGCTCATTGAAAGCGACAAGAGGCTGAGGCACTGGGTCAGTCATCTGTTGTTGAAATGTAAACATAAATTTACGAGATCTTCGAACTAGGGAAGCGGTGGTGCACAAGTGGCGCACATCAGGTTTCCATAGACGCTTGCCGTGCCGCTGATGGTAGTATTCGCACAACGTGTAATGATTGCCAGAGAAACCGACGTGATGCTCGTATAGCAGCACAAGAGGATGAGACTGGCAAGGATGTAATGGGTGATGATGGCGCCGAAGGAGTCCACATTGAGGAGGTCGATGAATTTGATGAAGTTTTTGGGAATGGCGCTGACTTCATGGACATCCATCTGCCAGGAGATCCTGCGCTTTCTGCAAGAGAAACCGTTCTTCTGAAGAAACTTGACGAGAAGCTTAACGCGATCACATTTCAGTTGTGTGATTGCTGTCTTGAGGAAGGGTTTGATTTGAATGTTGTCGATGGCACATGCTCTAGATGTCGCAACAATAAAGGCGATCCTGTGAAGAAATGGTCATCAGAAAATAAAGTAAATCCAGGTATGTCGCAAACTCCTTCCAACTTCATTTTTCTAACAACATGTTAGCACTCGAGGTTCCTCTGTGCCTCAGAGGACTTACTGATATGGAGGACATGGTCATTGCACGTGTCAAGTCTTACATGCAGGACAGATGGACAAAGGGCTGACAGTTATGCTATCAAGATCATATCATTAACTTCCGTCAAGATATCACAGAGGTAGCGACGCGGCTCCCACACCTACCCGAAGAGACAGACCTGGTGATAATTTGATGCGACAATGTCGATTTGTCTGGCCACATCGACTTCACAGTGTGTTGACCCAAAATACTAGCTGCTCTTCAATATAAAATACAACATGACCCTGATTACGCGGACTTACTGATTGATCAAGACACCCTTGAACAGCTTCCCATGAATGGAACTGTGGCACACCGTATTCCAACTTGTCGAGAAGGACGCCAGAATGAGGGTGCACCTGAGCCCGCTGGTCCTGCTGCTGCAGCAGGGGAGCCTGCTGATGAAGATGACGGCACAAATCGTCAGACTGTTGGCGGTATCCTCAACCTTGCAAATCAAGAGGGCATCAAGGTGGAACAGCTCCGGCATGGTGCAAACACAATCATTCATGGCACAGAATATCAACAGAATATCGTAAGTATTTGCTTTATATCCCACAAATCTGCCACTTACAAGAGTTTAGATCAACACACCACCACTCAACACAACCCCAATCAACAAGTCAACTCCAGGGTATATGACTCAGGCATTTCCTACCCTTTTCCCAGACGGAGTGGGAGACTTCTACCAAGCTCGTCTTCAGAAAGTGGACCTTGGTGACTACTTTGCTCACCTTCTTCGTTTTCGAGGTGGGCGTTTTGCGCAGCACCGGCAGTTTCCATGGTTTGCATTCAACACGCTACAAAGACAATGAACAAGATGTCAGTCAAAAATATTCATCAAACAACAGCACGATGCCAGCCATCTTATGGTTGCTGATATCCAGTCGCTACTTGAAGGAGGCGACCAACAAATCACAAGTAAGATGGTATGATACGGAGCAAAGCTACGTGGCACACGTGCATATTGGCTTGCACGTCGCCACGAACTCATGGATATGATCCGTGTGCAAGGTTCTCCCAATGTGTTCTTTACACTAAGTGCCGCAGATTTGCAATGGCTAGATCTTCATCGTCACATGCCACAGAGTGAAAATGATGATCCGCCAGGTGACGAGAGGGCCGCACATCGACGACGCTGACTGGCGTTGAACCAAAATCCTCACATTGCGGCTGCATATCTCGATCAGAGGCTTCAAGCATTCTTCAAAATTTTCCTTGTTCCACTTCTCGGCGTTCAACAATTTTGGTATCGATATGAGTGGCAGGAACGAGGAAGCGGTCATATACATGGGTTCCTTTGGTTGAAAGATGCACCTGATACTGAAAGAATTGACTGGAACCTGTTGAAGAACCCAGACTCTATCATTTCTGATGATCAGCAAGAGAAGATGAAAGAGTTCATCACCTTTTATGACTGAATCATAACGGCAGTGAACCCTTTCCCAAGGGAAGATGAAAATGTCCCCCTTATTGGAGAACATCCGTCTTCCATTGCACGCGACACACTAAATCACACAAATCAAGAGCTTTCAGACTTACTCAACTGGGTTGAACGACATACCCAATGTGTCCCCGGTTATTGTCAAGTTAAATGAAAGCTTCCGGGACAGGAAGAGTACCGCATCTTCTGTCAATTTGACTATCCAATGCAGTGCCGGCATGATGCTGGCATTGGAAAAGATAGTAAAAATCGGATACAGTTTGAGCCTCAACGCAACGATCGACTCTTGAACTTATTCAACACACCGATGATTCTTGCTTGGCATGCCAACGTTGACATAAAGCCTGTCATGAGCAAAGATGCAGCAATTATGTGAGTGTATATCTGTATAGCCATGGAACGAACTCACGTACATACTAAGTTACATTGCAAAATATGCTTCCAAAGGAGAGAAGCAGGCCCCCGCTTTCACAGAACTCTTATCAGGAGTTGTCAACTCAATGGGTGAAGGAGGAACTGCACAATCAGCCTGCCAAAAGATGTTAAATAAAATGCTGGGTGAGAGGACCTATTCAGCCCAAGAAACAGCACACCTCCTTTTAGGGATACCACTCGCCCAAGCATCCTCCTCATTTGAAACTCTCTTCATTGGTTCAGATGGCGGAATGCAAGAACTTGGCCAGACAGATGAAGACGGCTCTGATGTGGAAACCGGTGAAGATGAGGAAGATCTTGCTGTTACTGGAGACTTGTGGTTGCAGAGATATATGAAGTGCCCACCATCGATGGAAGATCTGTCTCTGCAACAAGTTTGTGAGAAATACACCTGGCGAAAGAAAGAATGGAGAAGGAAGCGTGAAAAAACTCAAACGGTTCTTCGCGTTTATCCTCGCTACTCCCCAAACCCAGAAGATCCCCAATACAATGAATATTGCCAGACTAAAATCATCCTCCATCATCCATTTCGTGACCTCAAAGATCTGAAAATCCACAATGGTGAAGAAATAACATGGCCTGAAGTCCTCGCAGGATGTTGGGCCTCAGAGCATACTCACGAAAACGACACCCTTCGTTGCTGGGAAGAAGAAAATTGGACAAAAGACAGTGACGACGAAAATGAGGATGATGAGGATGTCATAAATCCTGATGTGGCTGAGTTCACAGAAGCAGATTGGCAGGCATATGCGCATATCCACCCCAATGTTGAGATTGAGCCCTATGGCGTGGCTGACCTTGGACGCCGGCCTCTTGATGATGGATGGGATATTGATGCATCACGCCAGTGGTGGAACGATGTCAATCTGCTTTCTACATGGATTGATGAGCAAAAACGGGAGGCCCCACAGCAAATTGAAGATGACAACTTACCTCTGGTGAACATAGACTCTTTGGAAGCTGAACAGCGCATGATTTTCAATGAGTACATCGACGCTGATACGGATGAAACCATCTCACCCGTATAAAATTCGGTTTTAACGATTTTACCGATAAAAGGTCATCTCTAATAAATACACTACATACAATTGCAATGATACAAAGAGTCAATGTGCATACCCGGCACAGTTGACTAAAAATGCAAATGCGTGGAATCTGAAAATAGGACAAGGCTTTGGAACTGGCAGCAGTACGCATCGTGACATTATACTTGGATCCTATCTAAGATTCACCTACCATGAAATAGAGCACGAAGAGGTTCTAGAGTAAACACCCAACGCAGGGAGAAGAATTGCATTACTACCAAAGGGTTTAGAAACACATAATGGATTTATTGTGAAAACTCGTGCTTATACAAGAAATACAGAAAAGACGACATAGACGCTTAAACGGCATGTCTGAAACATGGAAAGACTAAACTACACCTAGGTAGTAAACGTATGAAGACTTAGCGTGGCTCCCGGCCATTCAGAAAGTCATGTACGGCAGTTCCCGCGTACGCATCAAAGACTGATGCGTCTGAACGTCACAAGTACAAACATGAGAAAAAGACACATTCTATTATATGAAATATAATAAGAACCCCCTGACAATTAAGAAAGACATTTGAAAACACCTTCGGAGTGTCTCCCGACCTCCGTAATGAAAAGACGAGCCAAGACAAGGCATTTTAATTAAAAACTCGGAAGCGACGGAAGGCCGAAGACTATTGGTAAACGCGTACACATGCGCATCAACGCATCAGGAAACGTTAATCATTTTGTGATGTCATCTGTCAAACCGGTAAACCGGGCCATAGAAAGAAACACGCGAGATCATGCCAAGCTAAGAATAGCTATGTCGGCTAACTCCGCGTACGCATCAAACACTTGATGCGTTTGAAAATGAAAGACGCGACACTACAAAATCTGTAGTGTTCACAGAGATAGACTACAAAATATACCACACGTTCATTAAATTTCATATTTGTAATTCGGACCGAAGTATCCCGCATTAAAACACATGTAAAACATAGATAGGGGTTCCTGGAGTATATAAGGAGCGCGCTGGCAGGTCAAAAGGGAAGCAATCGTCCCCCGTTGACCAGCTAGTTGCACTCCAAGTAGAGACTTAGGAGGTGGACAGTTGTAATCAATTAAAGGAGATTTCTTCGTGGTCAAGAAAAGTACAGTGTGAACGAAGCCAGCGTGCTTGGGAGTCAACTTGCTTGGAGACTTTTGAATAAGAGGTTTTAAGGACACAGTATCATTTTAGACGAGACAGCGTACTCGTACCCTTGGTTTTGGAGCGTAGTGACATAATAAAAACTCATGGGAGTCATAAAAGTCAATTAAAGTCGTGTTTTGTGTTAATAAAAGAAACTGTGATCAAAGAACTTTGCATTTAAGAGACCAAGTTCCCAGAAAGATATACTTTGTTCTATTGAACTATTCTAAACCACACCTTATAATAAAAACCCAATTTTGAACGAAAACTCTTGAGACTTGAACCTAAGAAGACAAAAGTGGTATTTCTTAATACCAAAGGCCCTCGAACTCTTGCACCGAGATTGTGATAGTGTGTGTGTGTGTGTGTGTGAGTGAGTGTTAGGTGTTTAGGGTTTTCCCCCGACGCGCTTGATCCTTGTTTGCGTGTTTCGCACTTTCACGTTCATCCCCGTGCAAAGCGTATCATCTGGAGCCCACCGCGAGGGTCTCCTTTTGTTTTTGATAAAGCAAAGACTTGAAAGTTTAGTGATCTACTGGATCATTCTATTTGAACAAAAGTTTGAATTAAAAAAAAAAAAAAAAAAAAAAAAACCGCTAGCGTTTGAAGCAATTTAAATACTAGTGCAGAGCCGTTCACCACGGCACCAAAAATCAGACAAACAGCGAATTCTATTAGAGCAGGGGAATCGTCAGGTTTACCACCTCCACCTAAACGAAAAGCTAAGCAACCTGCAACAGCAGTAGAGCAAAGGTTTCCGTTAAGAACAGAGACAGTATCCCAACCACCTCCTCGCGTGACTTGTAGAAAAACTGTTAGGGCATCTGATAATATAAACCTGAACTCGTTAGCCCAAAGAAATATTACAAACATGCCAGATAATACCCAAGATGAAGCTCCTGCCACTGGAGGCAGAAGATCGTCTAGACCGATGCCATTGCCAGGCTCTCGAGGAGCCCCTAACTTTGACAAGGAAAAACCCATTGAAATGTTGAGATTCATTGACCAAATGGAGGACTTGTTCAAAGAGCATGGTATCGATGATGATCAAGAAAAGAAGAAACAGTTAGGAAGGTATACGGACCAGATGACGGAATTTGAATGGCAAGCATTTGACACGTTTGCTCCCGAAATTGAATACAAGGAGTTTAAACAGGCGTTGATCGATGACTATCCAGAGGCAAAGAATGCTGGAAAAGGAACACTAGCAAATTTGAGAAAAATTTGTAATGACCATCAGCGCATTGATATTGATGACATTGTTGCACTTAAAAGCCTCACTAGAGGTTTCCGGGCAGAACAAAAATTACTCTTGGTGCCACCTGCCTTGGTGAGCAACAGAGAATTGGTAGAACTGTTTTTAGGATGTCTAAGGGATAGTTTCCGAGGACAAGTGGAAGGAAGTCTCAATATTAAGCTTTCCCGAGACAAAGGAAAAGCTGTCGATGGAAAAGAACGCCGTCCAGAGGATCCATATGCCATCCTAGATGTAATTGAAATGGCTGAGACTATTGCAGGACGTGCACAAGGGATTAGCTCTTCAAGTGATAACCGGGTTGGTGTCAATACGACAGAAACACGGACAACATGAGAGCATCACACGCATAATACACCGGCACATAGTGTTAAGCTAGAAGATGATATCCGAGAATTAAACCAGAAAGTGGCGTTACTCATGGATAAAATTACATCGAGTGAAAAAGCACAGATGAGCGCTTTCCAAGCGTCTAGACAAGAAATGAACAAATTAACTGAGATGTTAATGACCCAGCATGTTACCTCGGCACCCACCATGAGGCAGACACAGCCTACTTGGAGAATGGGTTCAGATGGATGCTGGTACTGTGAAGAAACGGGGCATTTCGCAATGAATTGTCCTCATAGGGAAGAACATATTAGAACGGGAAAAATTAAAATGTCCGGTCATAAGATGTTTTTCGCGCTCACAGGACAACCAGTACCTAGAGGGACAAATGGGAAGTCTGCTAAAATGATTGTTGAGGAAGCTAGCAATAAAGATATGATGGCGCAAAGCAATATGTTTGCATCGCCTGGAGAAATTTACACACAGAACAGCGGAGAGCCAGGTATCATCCAGTTGGGAATAGATGCTCGAGTTAAATCAGTATACACCAACCAGATTAGAGATTCGAGAGATGATCTTTTAGATAAAATGGCTACTCGAATTGATACGCTGTTGGGTAATAAAGTGCCGGCACAGGTGGCACGTCCATCGGCACAAGAAGTTGACATAGTTAACAATATGAAAAACATTCTGTCATATTTTGAGGAACAGCAAGGTCAAGGTCAAGAAGCTGCAAGTTATGTAGCTACTAGACGCAGTCAAGCTGATACTCAGGGACAGCAGGGTTTCTCGTAGGTTCAAGGATTGAGCGATCTGGTAGGAATGCGGCCAATACCAGAAGTAAGAAAGCTCTTGAGAACCAAACTAAAGCTAAAAACCGCAGACAATTAGCAGAATTCGAAGATTCTGATGATGAGCAAGAAGAAGAAATTGAAGAAATGGAGGAAGAAATTCCGCCTGTAGTAATTAAAGAAACCCAGAAAACTATACCAAAACCGAAAGGGAAGCCTAAACCACTTCTCCCAAGGGATGATGAAGAAGAGGATCCAGTGCCTAGGCATAAACAGTTACCATACTTAAATATTCCTGACCTGAATGATCCTAGACAAAAAGAAGAAATAAAGATTGATAATTTTGAGCCAATTATTGATACTGAGAAAAGACCTGTTTCTTATAAACACCAAGCACCAATTGAGAATGTGACACATGAGAGAGAGGCTTTAGCGAATCTCTATAATGCCCCAGTTACACTGACGGCAGAGACTTTGATAAGCATTTCCCCAGGTATTAGACACGACTTGATTAAAGCTTTATCTAAGAAAAGGATGCCAGTACAACAAGCTCAAAACCGAAAAGTTACTATGATGGAAGAGCCTGACGTTGATGCGGTACCGTTAAAACCTACAAAATTTGAATTGGAGGCAGACGCGATATCTATTAATGATTTAAATATAAAAGCGGCTTTTATAGTGACAACAAGAGATGAAGGAAATGTGCCAAAAGGGTCTATCATAATCAGTGATCCAGTAGCGCAATACCTGCAGAGTTTAGGTCCGTCTGAGAAACCGAAACAAATCTATGTTGCAAAGGAGTCTCATGCATTACGAACCGTCTTCCCAGTAATAATAGAATGGACAGATA